TAGGTTCTGCGCCGCGTTTATGTTATACCCTGCACCACACGTTACAAACACGATTCGCTATACATACACGATCCATACATTGTACGGCACATACAAATACGCATATATACATACGATCACTTGCACATTTGCACGAAAAACGAAACGATATTGTAGGCATGGAGCTAAAGGGAAGGGATGCTATTGTGGGATGGACGTCAATACATCATTGGATGGAATCGAAGTATGCTTTTTGTTTCTTACACAACGACCTACCTTATGGATCGGCCATCACAGCATCCAGCCTTTGTATCTCAACCTTGCAACAATGATCCACACAAATACGAAATCAATGTAGCAACGATGATCGGATCCGTTCGTTACGGCCTTATCCATCACCAGTGTAGTTGCTTTGTACACGATGGAAGTAAGCAGTTGGATCGACATAAATTTATAGGTAGAGTATTGGGAGATCGAGCGCATCGTGTATGGATAGGAATATGGTTTTTTATAGAAGAGAATATTCAAACAGACATAAATACAATGGTATTCTATACAAAAGATAATGAAGCGATAATAATAGAATAGAAAGAAGATGAAGAAAAGGGCTATGGGTTTTGCCTTTGGAAGTTGGAATTCGGCGGTGTGGAAAGGATGTTGTTCAGGGAGGTATCAAAGTCGTTTGTCCATTTTTCAACTGTGGCGAGCAACTGGGCAACCTCATCAGCTTTGCTATTATCTATAATAGATTTGTCTACGCGACGCATCATGGCATTTGCCTTACTAATATGCTTCTTTAATGCGCGCTTAAGGCTATCCTTTGGTCCGTCATTGCGTTGCAATTGATTTTTGGTGGGTGGGCGTGTAATACTATTGCGGGTGCTTGATGTAGTGCTGTTTGTATTTTGGACAGCTGCTAACCAATCCTTTAGGGATGGTCGCACTGTGATGTTGCTCACCGCCTGCTCGACAAGGAACATATGTTTGCAGGGAAAGTAGTGTTTTTGGTATTGAGGGCACGAGCAAGAAACAATTTGGCTACTTTCAGTAGTTATCTAAGAATAAACAATGTATCCTGTTATCATAGCATACATGATGCTGGAGATATCTGATTGGGTATAGATGCTAAAATTTGACTTGATTACATACTGCTGCAGTCAAAATAAATGCATTGGAACAAATATTTCTTGCTTTACATATTTATAATCTTTGTATTTCTGTAGAGTAAACGTACCCAATGGAAAAAAGGCAAAAGTGGAAGAGTTATAATGAATAATCAGAACATACAGTCAATGATGGTTGGCAAGTGGGAAGATAAACAGTACAAAATGGTAGTTAATGATGCTTGTTGACGCGAGCAATACTTCGCCATACAGAATCGCGTTTTTGTTCGGGTGGTGTTTTTGGTGTAGTAGATGTGGATGAGCTATTGCTCGATGACCATAATTTCTTTTTAAACGTGGTGGTATTGGTAGTGCCTGTAGTGCTGTTGCTGACTGTGCTATCATTATCGTGTTCCGTGATTGTTGCTGACGAAAACCGTACAGACGAAGTCAATTTTCGTCCCCGCGACATTAAAGATGGGCTCGGTGATGCTGGGCTTGTTGGGGATAGCAGACCGCTACGCGATGATGCGGTATCGATACGTGGTGGTAACAAGGAAGTGCTTTTTGTTGGGTTTTGATTTGTCAATGTTGCTGTGCGTGCCCATCGTCGATAACGTGTGGACATCCAACCTTTTGGATGGCGATCGAACACAGACCATAGCAAAGTGCCATAAGTCCATCCAAGTGCATCCGTTTCTGTTTTTGACGCAAGCCGCCATTCTGTATCCGTCCATGACCATGTCCACGCACCAGATTGTGCCTGAATCGTTTCTGGAAGTTGAAATTCGGTCTTTGGAGCCAGCGGCTTCTTGGCAGGATCTGTCCACGGTGCTCGATCGATAAAGGGCAGTGTTGCTGCGCGCCAGCCTGTCAATGGCCATGATCGCTAGTAAATCAAATGACCAAGAATTGTGCATTCGCTTAATTCCTTCATTTTGCACTCATATCTTCCCCTACTCCCCTTCCCTCTGGCATTCGATTTTAGATAGTGTTGCACATATCGGATCGTACCTGGTTTTCATAAATGACAAATTCAAACACAGAGGTTGTTGCATTGAATTGCATCTTTTCACACTGGAAATCCTCCACGCGTTGTGTCAATGATCGTCTGCGCACCAGTGCGTCTTCTGTTCCGTGTTGAGACTCCAATGGACCGATGAAAACACCCATAAACAAGGATTGTAGAAACGACGTTGGCAAAATCTGTCGAGCAACACGAATCCAAGGCGCTTGCCATACTAAAGCAAGAGTGCCTGCGGCCAGGGCAACTTGTTGGGTCGTAGCTACTTGGTGTGCAATAACCCAGCCAATATAAGCATAAACAAAAACCAGTAAAGATTGTCGACCATCTTTGAGCTGCCATAACTGTTCTAGAGCCTCAATCCCATGCAAAGTTTCGAGGGCCTGCTGTAGTCGCTTTTCTTCGTGTCTGTCTTCACGGAATTCGCTCATATACAGCAGTAAGGCAATCATTATGATGGGTGCTATGTAGATAGATACAAAATAAAACTGCCAACATAGAACCCACCAACTCGCCAGCAAATAGAGGGAATCCTGAATGGTAGTCGACTGCCATGTCGCAGCCAGAATGATATGTCTGGCAATTCGAGGTATGGGCACTATTCGTGCAAGGCATCGTAGTGAAATGACCTGGTCATTCGATTCTGGTGGTTGTGGTTGTTGAGGGTGCGAGTTTGGCAGTTGCTGTGGTAGTGGTTGTTGCAACGATTGTGCTCTGGAAAGAAATGTTTGACCATTGCCCAGCATTAGTGGTAAGTATATATAAAAGAGAAAAGGAAAGGAGAGAAAGTAGACTATACCAGGTCCGTGCCACTTATTTTGAAAGAAACAAAAACCACAACGGGTGAGAGAGTTCAACCGTTGGTGTAACAGACCACATGCTTTGCACACCGCACTGGTTCTTTGGTCGTTTTGGAAAGTGCACACGCGCTTTGATGTTTTGGCATATGGGGCTTTTTGTTGTCTGGACTGATTGTTGTTTTGAGAAACAATGATGCACTTTCTGTTAATTACCTGGCTCACATGAGTGAACCAGCTAAACATATCATACAACAGAAGCTGATGGGTTCATCACCTCGTCAACACCAGCACAAGATACATGTTACTGCATCGGGATAACACATTATTAAAGTTTAGTCATAAAGCAGCATCGGGATCCAAATGAAGCCCATATATTATTACATGAAAGAAAAGCACTGACAAAATCTGGATGAGCCCTTTTGCAGCAATCCGGATAAAATCAGCCCCTTGATATGTTCTGCTGTCAGACAACAATGATGATGATCATCTGTGTGTGTGTTTGGCAGCACAAAGCTAAATTATCAAGCATCCCACTTAAACCGTAGCACTCTTGTCAATACAATTTTTCATTCCGGGGTCTGCTGCGACAAACAAGCATGCGATTTATTGACTTTTTAGCTTCTCCAATACTGGGCCCATTTATGAACTGTCTCCATAATCTGAGGGAAAAGTGCATTAACACTTTCTGAGATCAGGCTTTGGAAATATGCAATAGCTGCTTCCTCGGATAAATCCAATCTGAACTTTTCCTGGACTTTGTAGACTGCCTTGTCGGGTTCGATCTTGATATCCGGTATGTTCGCATCCACCATCAAAGCAAACAAGTTGAGAATCAGGTTGGCGTTACGTCTTAGAGTTGTGAATGCTGTATAGCAATATTGTCGGAACTTGTTATAGTGACGTGAATTTGCACCACCCATCGCTTCAATCATTTCTTTGCATAGTTTCATGGGCGGCGGGAAAGGTTTTGGATCACGGCCCAAGATGAATCCAAAATCAACGTGGAATAGATGGCCTATGTTACGTGTGTAAAAGTATGTCATCTTCATGTCGGGTTGAAAGGGAAGCGCTATCTATGATATACAGAGAACATGCTCCTTACCATCTGGAGAAAGTAGCAGGTTATCCAAATGGCGATCGCCAACGCCTAACAAATACGTAATGACACAATATCCGGCTGTTGATAGATAATAAAAGGGAAAAAAGTTAATCGTTCAAATCGCCAAAGGAAATCTTTTTCGTAACAAATCTCACCACAACTGCGGATATAGGTTTCCATGACCTGAGCATCGACTCCCATAATGTTGTCAGGCCCATCGTCTGGGTGATGTTGCTTCAAGAATTCGACAACGCTATTTTGATGCTCGTTCAATACCGCAGCAAGAGGCTTTGACGGTATAAACTGTACCAATCCATGCTCTGTTCCAGTAGCAAGTACTTTGTAGGGCGTCAGCTTTAAATCGAGATTCTCCTTTCGTAGCAGTTTGTCCATCAACGTGATAATTTGAATCACAAGCTGGTCCTGTCGCAAATCATCACCATTCTTGAAAATAACCTTTTTTCCCAACATGAAAATCGCATTAGATATGCTTTTCGGCATTTTCTCTTATGATTCAATCAAAGCAAAACCAAGAGAAATAGATGTTACATACCGGATATTCTGTCTCGTCTTGACAAACAAATGTTAATCGTAATGGCTGCAGGTTACTGTTGAAGATGCTAGATTTTGCTGTCATATTTTTTTTGTGCGTTAATATATTTCATTTTCCGAGCAACACAAACAGCAAATATCAACAGTTTCAGTTTTGATGTCTTACCAGGAATGACTCGAGATACGGTCTTTGCTGGATCAAGTGGCAACGGAAGATCGGGTATATTGGCCAACATCCCTTTAGGATCAGACAGCATTACACGCATTTTTTCAATCTAAGCAAATAACAAGCATCAGTACTGGCCAGCATAACACTGATTTTTCCTTCCAATGTAGGATTTACTGTCTATAAAGAATATCTAAATGGTATACCTTTTTAGCTCTGACGTCTTTCATTAGTCGGACCTCTTTTGATAGCTTTGACATAGACAGCACTAGTTCCCCTTGTTCTCGAAGCACATCGCGTCGTTTATATCCATTAGGAGCCTACAAAAAGACATTGTATCTTTTTAGCTACAAAATTTACATCAGCAGTCCATGTAACTACTAAACAGGAATACATTTTTTAGTCTTACCTCGAGTAACGTTGTAAAATATTGAAATGCAACCTTCCCATACATTTTTCCGACTACCTTGTCCCCGCATTCAACCATCAAATACCAATGGAAGTAGTTGCCCAAGATAGGGTTTCGAATTGCTCGGTCAATTAGAAATTGAAGCAACGACGAGTCATATGATTGTGGACCCTTTTCGACCAGATGCTCGAACTTGAGAGCCTGAACAAGTTGTAGCAAATACAACAGCAGGTCCTAATAAGTACATTCACGTGGCAGCCAATTGGCAATAAGTAGATAGCGTTTGAAGGGAGGAAAGGAAAGAGTGCTTGGACATTCCATACTTACATCATCGTCTGCTTTTCGCAGTTGGTTGACAGCATACGAGCGTACCGATCGATTGCCAAACTCTTTACCCAGCAACTCTAGCGCATCATCAACGTCAATGTCAACCCAGAGTGGCAGCAAATCGACTGCTTGGCGGACTTCGGTTGGATCCGTCCATACCACACATTTGAGAAACTTGGTGAGTGCCTTGATAATTTCAAGTAGACAGGAGTTAGCTTGGAGTTTAAATGATACATGGTAGATTTAATTTTTGGAAGAATAGAATCTTTACCCTTTTGTCTCGCGTGAGATAAAATCGGAACTTCCAGACAAGATCTTTTTCTTCGGTCGTGAGTGTTTGTGTTGGAGGGTATGACATGATATTCTATATACATCACCAGCAACAACTGCTAGTCAGCATATTGTTGGAATCACTCGTATGTGCTACGCACACTAGTGCTTTGCATGACTTACGTTGAGTTCATCACGAATTTTAGGATTTGGTTTCAGATCACGGTCCAGGGGTCCGTTTCTATGGCTACGGACTAAACGGCGGTGCTTGGCTTCAACTGGATTATCGCGAGCAATATCCAGATCCAAAACAAGCGAATAATTTTGTGGGTTATCGGTAGGGTGGGTATTGGATGATTGGATTGGATTTCCATTCTCGGTATACATGGGCTGATTCATGGCATTTGCAATAGCAGCGTTTGTTTGATTTGATGGTTGCTGTGGATTGGATAAGGCCGACGCTACACTTGGAAGGGTATATTCCTGTTATATCAAAATATATAATCAGCTCAACCTTGATCTTCGCTTCATCTTTTTGCCGATTTTAAGATACTAGACATACCGTTTCTCCAAAGACAACTGGGAAATCAAACTTGGGAAGATCGACATACAAGGCCATTTCTGTCGCTCTTTCTGCCGCCTTCTAACAGTTGTTATAGAATTATAAGAAAATCAGTTTTTGACATACAAACAAGCGTTTTTCTATAAAGAACATACCATATGGATTTGCTCGATCTGTCGAAACGCCAGCTTGTCCAACCACTCAACTGGCCGTATATCTCCACAGTCGTACCGTTTGACAAGCTAAAGAATGTAAACATATACAATCATCTTCGTTAGGGAGCAGCAACGATCGTCGGTTATTCAGATGAGCGAGTTTTAACCTTTTCAAGTTTTTCCATATCATCGTCCAATTTGACTTTGCTTGGAGTTGTAGTATTTACTCGGCCATCCGCTTCCTTCCCCGGCCAAATATGTAGTTTCTGCTTGCCCCTGCGTAAAGTGCTGAATAGTCGATGAGTGATTTGGCATCAAAGAATACCGATGACGTGTAAAAGGGAAAGCTAAAGTATGACTTACAAGTGTTTACCGAATAATTCCAATGTTGTGCCGCCTACAGGTACAGGTTTCCGTGGTCCAACAATATCCCACACAGTGATAGCACATTGAGCCGAAGACGGCAAGTCGCAATATTTTATCGGTAACGTCAACCATTCGTTCCAGCTATTTCCAATTCTCAGAGTTAGCTACATGATATATCATTGCATGATTATCAGGGACTGATACATTACGCATGATGGTTGGTAAACGCCTTGTAGCTAGTCCGAACAGGCACTGTCAACGGCTTATTATCGCCATACAACTGCACCGTAACAAAAAAGTCAGAGTTGACCCTGAGGTTTTTTTTACGTAGTTATTCAGCTTTAGTAACCTTCACTATCAATTTAAAGCTTCGTGTAAGGAAGAAATGCAATCTGACGCCTACCCTTCAGCAATGTCGTCCAAACTGTTCGTCCACTGTTTTCGATCGCACGATCCTTCAAGCGTAGCACTAATGGAGAAAAGGATTGAATTGAGAAGGTTGCGGTTCATGTCAAGCAGAAGCAGATATAAAGTATGTATCTAATGCTGTTTTCGCTAATGCCTACATTCGAATTGACACGGGTAGCTCGACGTTTTTACTTAAGCAATATGAAAAATCCATATTTGAGTAGCATGAACGAACGCAGCAGAGTTTAAAAAAGTGATCACGAATTTATAGGATAAGAGATTCCAATATGATTTATTTTGATAATTTTTATCAGAGATAAACAGAGGGTTATTCATATAGGCAAGAAAAATGACAATTGATGATATCCAAACGGATACTTGAAGAAAGAAAAAGTTATAACAGAAAATGAAAGTTTTTAAGAAAATAGAGCAGGATCTTTTTTCTTTTTGCTCGCGCTTAAGTAATGATGTAGCAATCATACAAGAGCAATAGTAATTGAATGCAACAGCTACACATGGTATACACACTTTCTGCTTTTCAGCGCTTACATGAAAACGGAGCACAATGTCGACAAGTGGAGACTTACCTTTGTTGAAAGTCGTATCTCATTCGCGTCGTAGCGTTGACTAGTGTATAACATCTAGCAGCAAAGTCATCCGGAGACTTTTCGCTAAAAGATGTGCGACAGTATTTGAGCGGGTTGTTGTTTTTGTCAGTGTCTCTCAAATCCATCGACTTGAAGTTGCTTGTTCCAATGTCCAGAGTGAGTCCAAAAAGGTCGTCGTCGTCATTATCACTGTTGTCGGCGTGGTTCTCAACGTCAGCATCGTCTGAATATCCAGGAATGTAATGCTGCTGCAGATCTGCTGTTACTGCTGCTACTAGCGGAGGCAATGTCGACATAAAGTCCTCTTTTTCCCTGCTTATTGCTGTTGTAGCATAAGTAGCATCTCCCGCTATGTGGCGCCGCCATCGTTCATCTTCTTCTCGGCGCGGCTGCCACCGCCGTAACGACCCACCCGCGACTCTGGACACTGGAAGTAAAATTCAATCAGAGAAGAATTCTTCTTCGGAATCGTACATGAATTGCTCAAAGTTGACCTAAAAATCACATAAAGCAGGTTTTTTGCCAGTTGTTTATTAGCAAAATCTGGTTACTTGTTCCCCTCTCATCTACAACTTGATTAAATCAACAAAAATATGCATACCTTGTAGCGAAGAAGGCCACCAACACCACCAAAGCCTTTCACAAACTGGGCACCCTCTTGCGAGCGGTTAGTGACGAAGTCTAGCGTAGCGCCATAATCCTTGTAAGCCTCTGTGAACCATTCCAACAAAGGCACTGAATGAACAACCTCGACCTCGTCACTCTGAGTCTTTTCTTTGAACAGCGAATGGTCACGCTCTTGCTCCTTGGTAACGTGCATCACCTGCTCTTGGTTTTCGTCATCTCGCAAAGTGCAGCGGACTGTGTCCAGGTTTTCCCAGACAATCAAGCGATCAACCGCGCCCATCTCAAGCGCCTTGAGCGTATCATCCACGCCGTAGCAGAATTTGCCACTGTCTTGGGAAATTTCATCAAAGTATTGCTGGATCAATTTCTTTTCTTGGACAAACTTGACATTAGACAAGGACTCGGCCGATAGTTGAATGGCCTGATTAAATCCATTCTCGCCACCATACGATACGTCCACCACGCGCAGCACCTTGGATGCCAACCTCGGATCAAACAGATCGGACTGCGATAGTTCCGTCTTGAAATCGGCAGAACCAGCCAATACAAGACCGGTGACATTGATTTTGTCGTTCGTGATAAAGAAATCTGTCGCCAACTCGGCCACTTTACGCACGTAGTTGTGTCGCTTCTCCTCTCTTTGACGAGCAAAACGAACTGCTGATTGACCACCGCGACCGTGCTTCTTGGGCAGATCAACTTGGAACTTGTGGATAACCTCACGTGTGTTACCAGCAAGCGAGCCAAACAAAGTGCCGTTACCATCCATGACGATGAAGCCAAACTTGGAGTCGGATTCCAACAGCTCCCGCAATGCTTCTGTATGGAATTTATTGTCGCAGAGATACAATGACTTGTTTAAAGGTTTGTGGGGCTCAAAGTCAATGTTGACCTTCTTTTCCTTCCCTTCTTCTGTCACCACCGTGCCGCAGTAAAGCACCAGGCCATTCCTGGGCACTGTGTAACAATCCACATTGATCAGTTCTTTTGTGATCCTCGTCACCGCAGCACGTTACCACTCACACACACACAGAGAGAATCATCATTGTCAAGATACCTCTGCTATAGAGCTTCAATCGCTGTTGGGTGGATGTAATAGCGCTCAATACAGAGAGCCGGTTCACGCGGGATTTGATATTCGACGCCGTTCCAAACTCATCCGTCAACATTCTTGTCATGCGGGAGAGTTGGTAGTTTGGTGCTAAAGTTTTACATTAACATGGGATACGACGCTATATTTTTCTTTCTCCCTACTCTTTTCCTTGAATTTCGAAAACACTTACGGATTATAAGGGAGATCATGGATGTGCCATTGCTAAGGGATGTGAGGCTAGTTAGTAAATCGCGGCAACCGTTTACGTTCAGGTTTGATAGAAGGAAAGCGACAGCTCTTATTGGAGGTAGTAGTAGCAGTAGTAGTAAGTTACCCTCTTGCAGCTTCAAGGCCTTTGATGAGACGCTTGATCTTCCAGATCTCAATATTTTGTTCAGCCGAATTTGTTTCTTGTTGCGTCATGCTTTTCAGACGATGAGTAAAGAAGGAAAATATTAATGTGACGAAACAAAAAAGAAAGACGTGTACACGTTTTTATATGGTGTACAACTCCCACTCTCACTTTATATGAAGGTTTTCTTAGTGCATGCACACCCATACTACGTCACAGGCGATGAGCTGTAATTATTCATGATGAGCGCTGTAAGACATGAGATGCCTGTAATGGTAAAGCTCATGTGGCCTTAGCATATAGTTTCCATATGTAGTTTAGTTGCGACAGGAGAAGATAACTATAGTTGCCTGAGATCAACGATGATCGATGGTGCAAGCAGAATGACGAGGGTGCAGCAGCTGGGTGCCCTGCTTTTTAGTTTAGAACGTCTCAGGCACCACAACGTCAGCATCAACATTAACAACACTCTCCTACATAACAACAAAGATAATTTGCTCCTTTGCAATTCATGCATGCACAAGTATTATTATTTACGTAGTTTTGAGGTTTACTGATCACCCTGTATGTAGTTTCTCGACGTTGTCGGGCGCTTTTGTACACTACTAATGGTTATTTGCTAATATGCAGCAGACGCATACAAGCCGTACCTTTCCAGTATAGATTTTGGGTGTAGTAATATGCACTAGCATTGCTGAAAATATATCATTATCATATGCGATTCTTTGATCCATGCATGTTACGCTCCAAAAGTGACAACAGGCCAGTTTGAGAAAACATCTAAACGGCCTTCGACCCGCACTTTCTACAAGTACAAGCCATCTGGGTCGAAGGGAGGAGAGCAGCCAATGCGTTAACCAGTTGTCGCTCCCCACCAGTACCCCGTCACAAGAGCTTTACGCGTCATTAAAAAGGTCAGTAGTTCCGCTTTTTATCAACGCAGTTGTTAGACCATTTATTAATTATACAGTAGTGTCGTGCTGCCGTTGAGAAAATTGCAATGAAAACATATCTTTTTGGACAATCGAGGATAAGTGTATTGACTAGATTTCAGCTTGCAGCATTCTTGCTTGTAGTGTAGCCATTCATCACGATCTTGGGCTCATAAATATTAGCTTGATGATGCGCATTACTGTTTCTGTTGGTGTCGAAAAGATATTCTCAACGTACACGATCCTTGTAAATGTCGTCTGCTTTTGAGGTGCTTTCTTTCTGGTGGTGCTGAAACGTGCATCAGAAACGCACATTCAAAGACAATATGTCGAAACGCGGGACCAAGGTAAAACACGGCTGTCCGGTGTAAATGCGACGATTTCTTCTTCTCCATATGCATGATGTTTAGCTATGATGGCTAGCTTCTGCTCCATATATCTGACAGTTTCTCTGATCAAAGAGATTACTACTATGCACGATACTCGTGAATAAAGTTTGCTTTTTCAGAAAACGTAGGCATAGCAAAAATTTATAAAGAACAGAAAGAAGATGACTTGATATAAATGGACGATCCCATTATCTATATCTTTTCGCTGATGTCGACTTGGCACTTGCACTTATGTGATGTGTAGCAACAGCATACAGTAGAATTGTTTTCAATTGGAGATGTTATTGAGAAAATAGGTGCTCATGTTTACCATTAAAGACCAAAAGTGTTTTACACTTTGATGGAGAGCAGCACGGCAGCCATAATACATACGTCCACGACAAATATCCATATTTTGAATTCTTAGACAATGTAACTAGCGTTTCAAATTATGTAAGCTGCTGGTTAGCGTTTGAACTTTAACATAAAATGATTGGAAGAAATAGAGACCAATGCCGAATGATACTACTCAAGGGACGTAGCATCAAGTCGTGCTGTTGTTTTTGTTTGGATATCACGTCTAAATTTTGCGCAGCTCCAACACAATTCGAAAGAGTTGTATGTTCACTGTAGATGATGATCATGCACTGTTGAAGACTGTTTGTTGACGGGAATGATGGATGGTGGTAACTTTATGTCAAACGAACAAAAAACAGACTAACAAGAAAAAAGAAGAAATTGATACCCATTATTACGACGGTACCTTTAGAGGTATATGCCAAATAATCATTTTCATAACATTAATCATTTTGAGCTTGTATCATTTATCATAGAGTAATCAAAAGAAAAAGTATGGATAAACAAGCTCGCTACGCCGCGAATGTGCTGTGCCAAGTGCTTCTAGCTGCTGTCAAAATCTGGAGCCTGGAGTTGCTGTAATTTCTAATCAAGGCACCCTCCCTTTTTCCCAATTTTGAATCTTTTGTTCCACTAAAAAACATACCACACATCTCCCACTTCCTACTCAAGCAATCTTTACAATAATGAGCTCTGCCATGGATCTCGACCGTTCGCTCGATGACATTATAAAGAAGCGTAAAGATAAGAATCAAAGAAAACAACCAAAGCCGCAACCGAAAGCAAAGCAGCAAGGCAACCGAGGAGGTAGCGGTCGTACCAGACAAGGTGGAAGTTCATTTCCCAATAATAATAACAACAACAATGGTGGCGGTGGTCGACGTGGTGGAAACAAGAATCCCCTTTCTGTAAGCTCGAAATCGAAAACCATTGGCAAATCAGCAAAAGGCAACAATAACATTACGTCTCGAGTAAAGTCTTGTTCCCATCCTTTTATTTTCTCATCGATCTGTATTAATAAACGCGACATGCAATTACAAAAAAAAAAGTTAACACTAATCAACTATAGCGTGGTGGAGGTGGAGGACAAATGCAATTACAAAAACAACAACAGCAACGACAGAAGAATACTGCATCGGCGCTGTCGTCGTCGTCTTCAACGATCGATCCATCAAGTATTGTCATTACGAAAAAAGTATCACGTAACAACAGCAACGGCAATAACAATTATATCAGCAATAACAACCACAACAACGGCAATCGTAATAATCGCAACATCAATAACGGACGAATGAACCCATTCATACCGACAGGTCCAGCAGCAGAAGCAAGAGGACCTTCAGCAGGACCCGTAACACAGCGTGGTCTTTCGATCCGTGGCGCTTCGTATGGCGCTGCTTCTTCGTCAATGTTTGCCAATGGCAGCGATGGTTTTAATATTCGAGGAGAATCAGGACCGGCCATTGTTCTGATAAGCAACCTGGATCCAGGTGCTAATGCGGATGACATTCGGGTAAGTTTTGGGAAAAAAAGGTTTGGCTAGTGCCAGTGGGAAAGACAGAGGTGGGATGTATCGTCTTTGTAATTTTTGGTAAGCTAACACATCATGAACTTTCTATGCAGATGATTTGTGCACAATTTGGCCAAGTATCTCATTGTGAAGTCGCTGTTGACCAAACGGGGCGTTCGTTTGGGGAAGCCGAAGTTGAGTTTGTCCAAAAACAATCGGCATTGGATTGCATCAACAAATTGGATAATGAAGTTGCGGATGGTAAGGCAAAGCTATTAATGGGAAAAAGATGTGTGTGTGTGTGTGTCATCGTTATTAACTGTTTTTGATGGATATGCTACGTGTAAAATAGGTCGTATCGTTCGGGCGATTCTGCGAAGCAGACCCTCTGGTATGTCGGGTGGATATATGAATCAGTCTGTTCGCTCGGTCATTGCTCCATCGCGTTCAGGCTTTACCTCTGCATGAAAAAAAAAGGGGGGGGAAAGAAACAAGACACCAACACGCTCATTTAACATCTTATTAATGTTATATATACATGCTATTAATTTAGCAGCAGCAACAACGCAAGCCATTCAATTTCAACCCACAACATATTTTTCTCGATAACCATTCACAAGAAAACCAGAACCCAATGTAGTCTTATAACATTTTTTCTTCGAAACAAGATTAACAATAACAAGCAAAATATACTGTTGTCTCTTTTTACCACACGACATTTATCATCTCCTCATCTAATATTGCATACAATACAACCTTGTTTATCATCCACAATGTATATCCCTATTTCTCTCTCTCTCTGTGTGTGTGTGTGTGTGTGTATTACGTTGGAGGACCACAGCTTATTTAGCTGCTGCGCTGGAAGGATAACCTGAATTCCAAAAATGGAAATATCATTGGATCTCAGTTTCCATTTTCTCGTGGCGACGAGTTGCAATCATAAGCACCTCCTTCAATCAAATGTCGCGAGTAAGTATCAAAAAGGGGAGATAGGGAAGATGTAAAAATGAATGAAAGGACGGGTGTGTATGTGGATACAAAAGGATAAAAGGATGGATGGATTAAAACCATCAATGGATGGATGCTTTATTCTTTAAGAAAAAAAATGAGAGCAAAACAATTCCAACATTGGAAATTGAAGGGAAATGGTGTGGTGGAATTTATTTCATAAACAAAATGTACAAAAGACTTACCAAACGAACGCATTTGCTATCACAAACTAGTTCCACGAGTACCAGGTATATAATTACAACATTTCGAATTCGAACTCTCAAATTTTCTTTTTTCTGTCCCGAAAATCTGGGACAAAAGTCATTTGGGACAATTTATGCAAAGCAGTAGTTTAGGAAGTGAGTTCGGATGTACTTACCTTCTTTTTTTTTTCTATGAAAACAAAAAAGGTGGTCGGCCGTAAGCTCCCTTCGACCAAGGAGCCCCAACCCAAGTTGTATCGCATGCGCGTCTTTGCCCCCAACGAGGTTGTTGCCAAGTCGCGCTTCTGGTACTTTTTGAAGAAGCTTCGCAAGGTCAAGAAGGCTGCTGGTGAGATTGTCTCAGTCAACGAGGTATATATTGTTTCTGGTGCAGCACTTTTAAGAGTCGGGATGAGATACAAGTGCCCCCTGAATTGTTTAATGGTATTAATTATGCCCTGTGTGCGTGCATTATGATGATTGCAGATCCACGAAAAGCGTCCTGAGCAGATCAAGAACTTTGGTATCTGGATCCGCTACGACTCGCGCTCTGGTACCCACAACATGTACAAGGAGTACCGTGGCATGTCGCGCGTTGAGGCCGTTGGCACTTGCTGTAAGTCGCTCGTCAGAATTTTTTAGATGTAAAAGAAAACTAAACAATATGATTGTATCATAGACCAAGACATGGCTGCTCGTCACCGTGCCCGTTTCTCGTCGATCCAAATCATTCGCGTACGTCTGCTCATTCATTTTTGAATTAAAGTTTGATAGCTTCTCGCATTGATTGGTTGGTAACACAAAAATATACATGCTTTCATTATTTAGGTCGCCGAAGTCAAGGCCGCTGACATCCGTCGCCAGTACATCAGACAGCTCTTGGTAAAGTAGATCCAATAGTAATATGGGGCGAGTGAAGAAGAAAGGGGAATCTTTGACTAACATTACCGATGCCTATATAACAGGACAACAAGCTCGCTTTCCCTCTTCCTCACCGTGTCCAGCGCACTGAGAAGTCTCAGCGCCGCTTGTTCATTGCCAAGCGCCCTGCTACCTTCTACTAAGCTGTAGTAGTTCTCCGTCCACCTTTTCTGCTTTATTTCTGTTTGTGATAATAAATAAAAAAAGGGAAAACAAGACATCTGTTTGTGTGTGTGTGTGTGTGTGGGTATGCTTAAGAATCGTACTCCAATAAGAATGAAATCATTTCTGTTCGTTATGGGTAATAGGGGGTAAATCGATGGTGGCATCCGAGACTATCGATCACGCAATCGTGGGGCGTTTTTCCACCGGAACAGACACAAGTCAGGGCAGGGTATGCAGCCGCACATCATTTACTGTCGGTGTGAGTCCATTATCATCTGAAAATTCACCAATCGATCCAACTCAGCAATGGCGACATAGCGGTCGAATGGAGGAGACAGGCAGAGAGCGATGCCCCCCCCTGAAACCTTCGGGCAAGCCGGATGAAATACTTTGTGAGCGAGCCACTATAAAAACCGACTCAATCTACACCAAAAAAACTTTTTTTTTTCCTTTTGCTTATTCTACTACTATCTCTTTTTTCCCCTCCCACCACTCTCTATCTCTCATTGTCACTATAGCTACTTGTCTAATCCTATGATTGCCAACAACAATAACAACAACAACAACCCACACCCCATACCTGCCGTGCCAGCCGTCGTCAAAAAGGCACAACAAGATGGGCGAGACGTCGAGCAGGCCATCGTCGCACAGGACATTCAGGGACGTAGTATCCACAACGATACCGTCGGTCCAGCGGGATGGACGGACGAAACGCCCGAAGATTTCGCCAACTTTGTAAAGAGTTTACGTCCCGTCGATCGAACACTGCTCGACAAGGCTTTGCCTGCATTCCATGTGGTCACTGACGATTATGTTCATGTCCCTATCGTGGATGCATTCAACTGGGACGAAACGGCTCAACGACTCGGAAAGGAAGCTGAGGGAGAGTGGTTCATTGTGGCATTCCGAAGCGTTCGCAAGGCAGATGCGGATAAGAAGCTCTTGTTTGAAGCGGATGCCCGGGCACAAGAAGAAGCAGTCCATAGCGGTGGTCTGCTGAAGGTAAGAAATTTTTCGGCTCACAACTCTCAAACAATGCAAGAGATAGAATTAACGAACTTGTCTGGATGCTTCCATAGTACTGGTACGGTGATCTGAACGAACACAGCGAGTGCCTTGCAATGTGCATCTGGGTCAACCGTGAGTATGCCCTCAAGGCAACCCGCAAGCCGCTGCACATGAAGGCGGCAAAACTTGCGTCGGAAATGTATATTTCGTACCAATTGGAACGATATAGTCTGGTCAAGCGGGCAGGCGAAACTGTTTTCCAGATCCAGGCACTCTAAAAAGATGCCATTGTCATCAGACCGGCCTCTTTCTACCATTTCCTATTACTACGACAACCTCAGTATAAACAAGATTCGAAACACAGCAGCTGTAGTAGTAGTAGTAGTAGTAGTAGTTATAATTACATTATTACATCATAGTCAGCATTTTCATCATCACCACCTCCAGCTACAGCACCACCCAACACCATCACCATCATCATCATCATTAGCTTCTTGAAGATTCCCACACATCTTGCATGTCTTTTTTTGGAAAAAAAACACAAACGTCAATAATAAACATTAGAAAAATTTAGTCCCACGGCCCCGTTGCTCCATGTCATTTTTTTGAAATGTGTTGCTCCTGCAGAAACAGCAGGCAGATCACATTTTCGGCTGAGTTGTCTGTGTTACAATACAGCAGGGCCCGCCGCTGCATATGTGTGATGATTTGTTTCTTTCCATTTCCATCTACAAAAAGCAGAAAAAGCAGACAAGCATGACCTGGCGTTACTGTTGGCGCAAAACTGCAGTTCCGGTGTCTTTTAAACCAACGACACTTGTTATTGCTACAGCTGCTGCTGCTGCTGCTGTAACCAGCCATTTAAGCCAAAACCACACATTGGACTCTTCCATTACTGACAACAACAACAATAATACTAAACGAAGAACGGTGGTTGAACTGGCCTTACCTTCACCACCCACACTGCCATTACCAGCACGGATCCTGTCACGCACATTGTCAATCACTTTGGCCGAACAGCAACAGGATAACAACAACAATGACAAGAAAATAAGTTCGTTTTCTTCAGTCGATGAATTAATTAGCCGATTGTTTGCACGTACTACCGCCACCAGTGATAACAACAAAAGTAGTAATTCTTCCCCTTTACCAACAACGACTACACTACCGGCGTTCAAGTTTCCCAAGCCAAAAGAAGTGGAAGAAACCATCTCAAGATTGTATCCAGCACTGGCGACACAAATGGAAAATATACGCGAAAGTTATGCCAAGTTTTGGGATTTCTTGACCATGGACGAGTTTCGACACATGGTCGAAACAGCAGAAAAGGAAGCCAAGGATCCAATGCTTCATCCTGAGGTGGATAAAGATGCAGCTGTGCGCGTTGGTTCTGGCTTATGTGACCAGGAGTTGGCGTTTATTGAGGCACGCAAAAAGAAACAAAAGGAGGCGTTTGCACGGTTCATTGGCGTGTCTGTCCGTCAGGTCGAATTAGAGGATATTCCCGTCGTGGGCATGGCGGCTAGGTAAAAGAAAAATGGACATTCTGCAAAATTGAAGCGTGGCTAACTGTAAAGTGGGAGAAAATAGTGGTGGTGGATTTCGAGCCATGATTGGCGTCGCTGGATATATGAAGGCTATGCAGGATACGGGTCTTTTGGACTTGGTCATGTATGCAGCAGGCGTCTCTGGATCATGTTGGACGTTGGCACAACAATACAGTCCGTTGACAGAAGCGAAATTTGACATATTATTGGACCATCTGAAAAGCCACACGCATGTCCATCTTGCCAATGTCAACAACTTTGTTGCAATCCTCAACGCGTCGCCCAAGAACAGAGAATTGATGATGCAGGGAATTATTGAGCGTTATTATCAGCAAAACGAAGAGCTCAATATCGTGGACGTTTTTGGCTTGCTTCTTGGCAGTGTCTTGTTGACAAAGAACGTCCATGTCAACAATAGTGAAAAGGCTGATGAGGATGAAGACAAGGAACAAGGCAAAGTAAAGGAAGAAAGCGGATCCATGGTCAAACCCATTTTGCTCGATCGAAACGCGATGAAAATGTCCAAACAGACCAAGTATTTCCAGGACGGAAGTATGCCTATGCCGATATATTGCGTTGTGCGTATCGATGAAGAGGACGGTCATGACAAGGATCTGTATCAGTGGTATGAGTTTACACCTTTTGAGATGGGAACAGAGGAACTGAATGGTAAGTCATAGCATTTGTCTGTGGTTATAACATACTTTCAGCGTGTGAGAGATAAAAGAATCAAAAACAGAGCTCATTAGGAAAAGCTCTCTTGTTTTCTTTATGGCGATTTACCTTTCCATCTTTCTACACTAACAAATTAGCATGGATCCCGGTCTGGGCGTTTGGAAGACGGTTTTCTGAGGGCAAAAACACTCAGCGATTACCCGAACAGACGTTGGGCATCATGATGGGGTAAAGTATTCTCTTTTTCCTTTGAAGAGGAGACTTGCGGCGAAACACTAATCTAACATACGTATTATCTAGTGTCTTTGGCTCAGCATTTGCAGCGTCACTAGCCCATTTTTACAAAGAGATTCGCGGCTTTATGCCGACAACAGCAGTTGAAAAAGCCGACGAGATGATTGTGCGATTTAAGGATTCGATGTCTGGATATTATCCCATATCACCTGCCTGTTTTCCAAATCCATTCTATCGACTATCTGTACCTCACGACGCGAAAGATGATGGTCTTGTCGAGTCAAAACAATTGGCGTTGGCGGATGCTGGCCTAGATAACAACATTCCCTTTTATCCATTATTGCGCGAGGGCCGAAATGCCGATGTCATCTTGGCGATTGATCTAAGTGCCGATATCCAGACCTCTTCTCACTTTGATCGTGCTGAAGGATATGTGCAACGACGAGGGATCAGTGGATGGCCCAAGGGAGCTGGCTGGCCTAAAAAATCAACGGATGATAGCGAAACATCGCCATCGCTGTCGGAAGAATCATTGGGTACATGCACGGTGTTTGCATCCAAGACCTATGATGATGAAGAAGAAGAATCTGAGAAGCCAATTACGGTTGTGTATTTCCCACTGATTAGCAATCCCAACCATGATAGCACGTTTGATCCACAGACAGCCGAGTTTACAAGCACGTGGAACTTTGTCTACTCTTCAACGCAAGTCAGCAAGTTGGTGGGACTGGCAGAACGGAATCTGACGGATAACGTGGACCAGGTGAGACAGGTTTTGCGTCAGGTATGGCAACGGAAAAGAGCCATGCGGTTACGAAAAGAAAATAAGGAAGATGTGTTTCGGATTGCCTAGGCAGTAGCGGTAGCAGGGCTTATGTGTAGTTGTTGTCGTTGTCGTTGCTGTAAAAAGATACATAGTAATAATAATAATAATAATAATAATACGTAATAGAAAATGTAAATACATATATAAATACAACCAAGACAAGTTCTGTGTTTTGCTATATAGAAACTGTGTATTATCGTGCAGCAAAAGAAAAGTTCAGCTATTATAAACAGGCCCAAAGAGAAAAGAATTGTGTATGTGACAAGAAGAAAGAGATACAGAGTGTGGATGTGGGATGGAAAAAAGCAAACAAGGGAAACTAGGGTTGACACACTCAGTGTTCAATGTCCTCCCAGTCGCGACCCTTGACCTCGGCCAGCTGTTTCTCGTCCATGACGCTGCCAGTGGTGAAGTATCCGGAGGCAATCTTGGCATCAATTTCAACCCGCGAGTCTTCGGGAATCATTTCTTCAGGAATAGGGACACGTTCGATGATAGGAATGCCTGCACCAACAATGGCATCGTGCTTCATGTTGGACATGGACTATTATATATATACCCAGCAGTTACAGAACAGACACTTTTGGGTGATTAAGCAGCTTTCAGTACACTTACCATCATGCGATCGATCTTTTGGATACCGAGCCAGTGAAGCACATCAGGCATCAAAGCCTGGAAACGCATATCCTTGACACCGGCGATGCATTCTGTTCGCAAAAAGTAGTGGTCGGCAGTATCACCACCAGTTTGTCGTTTTCCTATAATTCAGAATTAAACGTTGTGAGTATATCGCACATACAAATAGAATCATAAAGACACGTGTGTGAGTGTGTGAGGGAGATACCTACGTGCATTGTATACCAGGTACTTTGTCACTTCACCCAAGGCACGACCTTCCTTGCGGACTGAAATGGGTTATATGTGAGTGCATATGTAGATACATCCGTAGTAAAACGAAAGACAATAGTATGTAACACTTACAATAAACAATGACGCCCACGCCACCTTCTTGTGCCTGCTTGACGCATTCCTCAATGCCATAAATCAAATAGGGTCGGCATGTACAGATATCGCTGCCTACAAACCCATATTATTATACCAGGTATAATGAGTGCTGTGAGCCACAACCCGAACAATGAACCAACCAATGACTGGCCCCGAATACACACACACACACACACACACACACACTCCCTCCCTCTTCCCCTTGAAAAACATAATTGACACCTTAAGTTACCAAATACGTCGGAGCCGTTACATTCGTCATGCACACGGAGTGTGAGTTTTTTCTCAGGGTCTAAATACAGTGCGTGAGTGAAAGCGAGAGGACTCTTTGTACAAGAGCAAAACTTTTATACCTGAGATGTCGGCAGGGTTGCCAAAGATATAGACAGAGATGCCGCCAATGGGAGGCAAGAAGACCTTGAGGTCCGGACGAGTGATCAATTCGGGATACATTCCTCCGGTATCCTCAAACAAGGCACGACGCAGTAAGCCCTCGTCAATACCAAAGCGCTCGGCTACGCCAGGCAAGTACCATACAGGCTCCACGGCTCCTTTGCTTACGGCCAAGTCACCACGGTCATTGACGACGACCTTGCCATCCACCTTGAGCTTGCCTTCCTTGACCAGATTCTCCATTTCGGCCATGGTCATGTGGGCCTTGGTGACGGCAATCGTGGGTCTAATAACAGTAATTTGTGTTTACACATATATATATATATATATATATATGTATCAGTGAGTGATAAGTCCTCCTTGTACACATAACCATAACAGGATATATAACTCTTTACCTGACATCCAAACCATTGTCAAACTCCTCCTTGTAAATTTGAGGCGCCAAGTGGCCCCAGGGGTCCAAGGAGACAATCTTGGTTGGATCCGACCACGACGGATGAGGGCCTATTTTAAACGCGGGCTCGGTCATTTCAAAGTTAGGACGGTGGTCGCTTGGAAGGTCACCAATGGCCACAGCTAAGGCACGATAGACACAGTAGGAACCACCATAGGCACCAATGGCATTTCTATATCAACGGGATGGGGGGGAGAGAAACGTTTCAGCATACACACATATCCCTTCTTTCATCAATTGTTATACCTCTTTTTGATGCTGTCGGCATGACGGGAAGCAACCACAGGGCCACGCTCCTTGGGATCTTTAGCACCCCAGGTCAAGTTGACAGGACGGATACCGTGCTGATGGGGGTAGGCTAATAGAACAAATGCATATTTCTTAGTACATCTGATGTCATAATGCAAGACGCTGCTGGTTGCAGCCCACGGGTGCTGCTGCTGATGATGATGATGATGATGATGTATACTCACACGTGAGGATGACACGCTGGGGGTACAATGAAGCAGTGCCATTGCTGCTGGTCGCGGGCTTGGTGCTGCTCGTGGCGGGAGATCTGGGAGCAGACACGGAGGGACTGCTTGAGGTGGGCGACGATGGCTTGTTTTCGACCGGATGCATCAATTGATCGACCTTTCCAGAAAGAAGAGCACAGGTGATGATAAATAAAAAGAGACAGAAGAAAAAGGAGGCATATAGTCCTTGGACAGACTTAGGGTAAGTGTACCTGGGCCGAAAGATGCTGCTGGTCGGCACGGATAGCCTCGACCGTAGTCAGAAGCTGCTTGAGCATTTGTTCGTCAGGAACAGTCATTTTGTTGTTGTAGCTGTTGTATAGGAAGAAAACAAGGGGAAAACAGAGAAAAAGCGAAAGTGAAAGGAAGAAGAGTGAGGTGGGGGGGGAAGAAGGGCCTCAGTTGGGTCGTGCTTAAATGTGTTTTTTTTTTTTTTTTTTTTGCGTGTGGGGACGTTGGGCGTACATCGAAAGTGCAGTGTATAATGGGGATTGATAGCGAACCAGAGTTGCAAAGTGATTTATCATGCGAAAAGGAAGGCCCAAACACCGTGTGACCTCTCCTCCCTTGCCTCCCCCCCCTCTTATCGTCTTGGCCGAAAACACATAGTCGACTCTCTGTCAAAACGTTGCAAAAAGGGTTTTTTCTCTCATACCTGCTATTTTGGTTGTACCCAACAAACCCTCTCTATTCCGTGGTGTGTATAAAAAACAATCACCTCTGTCTGCCCAACCCCCCTCTCTCTCTCTCTCTCTCTCTCTTTCTTCTGCCTTTCTTCTTCCAACTTGTTCTTTCTCTCTTTTTTCCTTTAACTTTGAAACTGCACACCATGACTGCCACTCTGCACATTAGCCAACACCCCATTGTCGCTGTAAAGCTCGCGCAATTGCGTGAGGCCAAGCAAAACTCAAAGGCTGTGCGTGAATTGATGCGCGAGCTGTCCCTCTTGGTCGGCTACGAAGCTACTGCCGATATCAGTGTTTCGACAGACAACGCGGTAATTGCTGTTACTTTTTGCATAATTTCTTCTCGTAGCTGACACTTGTCGGATCCATTTTACATAATGATAGTACTCAAGTCCCTACGAACAATTTCAAGGTGCCGAGCTGAGCCAGCGTGTTGCCCTTGTGCCTATTCTGCGATCAGGCCTTGGACTCGTGGATGGTAAGTAGCAGTAACAGTGATAGTGGCATACGTAGACAGGAGCAGGGGGAAAAAAATCACAAGGTTGGATGACGCTGAGGTGAGAGATGCTTATGCAATGCGCTTTAGGGTTCTTGACTCTGTTCCCGGAGGCACCTGTCCTTCATTTGGGTCTATACCGAGAAAAGGTCAGTTGCTTCCTCCCCCTTCCAACCCCTTTGCCGCGCACGCGCCTTTTCTATAGTTTTTTTCTTTCTTTCCCACATACACTAAGACGCGTATGCATCATGCATGCTCATCATGTGTTCAGGTTTCTCTGCAACCCGTCGAGTACTACAACAAACTGCCTCAAACTCCCAATGCGGATGTCTGCTATGTCTTGGATCCTGTTATCGCCACAGGTAGGAAGTGTACAAAACAGTTGCATCGTGTGCTACGACGACTGACTTGTTCTATTTGTTTTGTTTTATATACTTTTAAGGCAACACGGCCGTAGCAACTGTAAATATTTTGAAGGAATGGGGTGTTGCAGGCGAGAATATCAAGTTTGTTGGCGTTCTTGGTGTAAGTTTTGCCGGGATCAAGAGATCACAGGGATATACATTGAGTAAAACTAACACGGTATCATGATAGTCTAAGGCCGGCATTGTTCAATTGCAAGAGGAGCATCCTGAAATCCATGTATACGTTGCAGCAGTCGACGATACCTTGGATGATCATGGGTAAAATTGCTCTTTTGATTTCTTACAGAATACGAGTTTGTGCGCGAACAGGACTGACATTCATTTCAACCGTCTATGATAGCTATATCCGCCCTGGTCTTGGTGATTCCGGTGATAGACTTTGGAACACTGCGGTCTAAAGCATTCGTTTTTCTTCTTCTTTGCATTGCACCCACAAACCACAAACACAATCCATAAATGTAGTATTTTTCTTTCTTTTGCTGCTTATGTGTACATAACCAATCGGGCTAGCCACGTAATAAAAAACACCCATACCTTTGCAAATCTCAGATAAAGTAATATGGTGACCCACGTGAGCAAGTTCCTGAATGATGATAATGCATAACACCCTCTTGATTAGGGATCTGTATGCGCCTCTTTGTGTGACACCCAGTTGATGCTATCATCATCATAGACTGTACAGTACCTGTCAATTTCGATAAATTTACCCGGTTGCTATGATTACACAAAATATTTCCAACCTAACGACGATGACAAGCTGTTGGATCTACAGCACATACTCCCGGCTTTATTTATTTTATAGTTTATACTGTAGAAAATTACTGCTATATACACCTTTACAAATAAGCCAACGACCAGTTATATTATCTAGGCAAGAATTAGAGCTTACCAATTAAATGTGTGCTGTATGCCGCTATGAGCTGAACTTGACATATTTCGACGACATATTTTCATATGCTGAGCAATTGGGCAAAATTCGCATTAAGGTAACACAAGTGCATGGAAGAAGTCCCGGTTATCTCCAGAAAGTAGTGGTGTTCCTTATCTAACTCTTCTGATAGGGTTTCTTCGATAATGATATAACAATCATTCCTGCTAACAACCTGCGTCCGTGAATTTATACACGCGAACATGGGGTCTATTATGAGCTCTTTTTCTTCCCACTTTGCAAAAATAAGATAGTAGTGTTTTATATTGTATATGTGTAGATTGCCCTATTCACACCACTTTAATATACTCTAAGTATAACTATATTTGACAGGAAACGTTTTATTCACAGAAGCTTGGTACTGCCGTCACATATATACCATTTGTCTATCACCAAAGCACTGATTAAGAGAGCTCACTATCACGACTGAAAAATCATCTTTATCTTATTTGTTTCGATATTTCTGTCATAATAATGGCTTTCTCTTTATATAAAATTGCAACCGATAGAATCGTATCCACCGCGTTCACAACACACAGATACACACACGAACCATTGTGTGTACGCTATTATGATTTGGGACATTGTTATCGCATCATAGAAGTGGGCAGGTTCTTCAGAAGCATTGTACTGTATATTACTGTACTACTACAATAGAATTAGCGGTGCTGCTCCGTAATAGTCGTGAATGTTATCTCTTGTCGTCCCATTCCGTGACAAGTGAAAATGCATACATTACTGTAGTGCTATCATAATATCCTCCTACTATCAGCTGTTGTTGTACTGTAATCTTCACTTTCCCGTCATTTCCAGCCAATAAGAAACAACAGTCTTTGCTGTCATCCCCAGATCATCGTTGTGATTTAGACCGACTTAAAGCGTACACCTCTGTTATTGCTTTGGAATAAAGAAGAAAGGGCGAAAGCAAATCTTGCGAAAGTTAAGAAAATTCACATTTTGTAGGCAATGGTTGGCGCGCGATATCAATGATTTCACATTTTTGCACTGTGTTCTGCGTCGCTGCACAATGATCCATACGAGGTGAATAGCTTGGAGTTTGTGCGTCTCACCACAGTTTTAAGATAGTCAGGGGACGAATTCTGCGGTCCACAGCACAGCCGATTTTTTGTGCGTATTTTTTTGTGTCTTTCATTCTGAAGCAATGTAGATGTATCACATCCTAAATTAGTCGTTTTTAATGTTTTCGTAAGACTTGGGGCCCATGTTTAATCCACATTCTCATTCAAGGACGGTGAATAAATAATACATCACACTTTTTTAGGTTTCATCTAACATCTTGAACAGAAACAAAGAAAAAGCACTGGCCAGACACCCACACACGCATCTTGTTTATGCTCCTCATGTTAAATACACAAAGATATCTACACGCTAATCTAATGAAGCATCTTCCCCACTCATTAGAGCCCCACTCCATGAATAGAAGTAGACGATATACTTATCTGAGATGAGCCAAATTGCTATCAAAGTATGTGCCATTATCTATATTTAAAAAAAGTTGTAAACAGTCGCCATGGAGAATTAGTTTGTATTGCATCGCGGCAGATACATGTCCAACCATGCTGAGGAAAGTCCATTATTCTTGACAAATTTATCATGTCCAGGAAATAGTGGAGGCCACTTTACTGTTACTATTGCATCTTCTTTGACTAATACTGCATAAAATTGCAAACCAGTCAAGTAGATGGCTATCGGTGGTAAATCCAGTGGCACACCGTTATAAAGTTTAGGCTCGCGAAAGGGGAGACAGGTGGAGCTTCCTTGTGAGGTGAACATAACAACTGGTCTGTTGTATGTTTCAGCCAACACACGCGGGCAATACAGTACATCAAACCACTGGGCTGACGGAGACGGCCCCTCTGGTCTAGACAACTTCTTTAGAAGGACTGTGACGATATCGGCACCAAGGTAGTTGATAAATAATGCGCTTTGAGCATTCAGCGTTGCCATCATGCACATCTTTACAACTTTGTATTCATGCTCGTCTTCATATAGAACCAGAGAAGCCGCCTCCAAAATGTGCGCACGGGTCGTCCCTCTTTCGGCAGCCATGAGATTCTCCCAGGGCCCGCGCAGCGCTTGGTATTATATTTTCTGCTTTTTCACTTCGGGTCGCCACAACAACAACCTTATCAGGCACGGCCGGCAGCTCTGGTCCAAGCAACAATTTCGATCGTCTTGTCAACATCTGCCTGGTTTGTAGTTAGGAATTTTTCGTATTTTGAGGGTGGTGGCGTGCATCCTTCCTGCGTTCTCTGAAGCCGCTCGCCAGCCACAGTTGCCGTCCGCCTTAGGATTGTACATGCCATGCACATCGTCAGCAGTAAGACTATAGCTTGAGGCGAAGTTGTCTGGCAGAGGTACGAGGTTCAATCGTTCGGCAACTGTCGATCGCACCTTTTTTCTACTTCAAAAAACAAAAGCATGAGTATATTGTTTACTAACCATCTAGCTAATGGTATATATTTTAGTAATAATAGTATCATCAGTCAGCCATCTAACCTACAGTCGACCCCCGTTAACGTCAACCCTCAGGGTACCAGCAAAAGTGTTGACCATATCGAGGGTTGACGACCACCGGGGATAGAGAATAGGCAAGATATTTAACAGCTAAATTTGAAAGGGTACCAGCGAATCTGTTGACGCTCGGGGGTTGACGTTATCGGGGTTGACGTTAACGGGGGTTGACTGTATATAATGGAAGCATATCAATCAAAGGATCTATATATGCCCATTAGTTTACGTCCATCTCTCAGAACAACTATGAGCCCTTTTGTGAATTCAATATCAACATTAAAACATCTGCTTCCTAGTAAAAGCGAATTACACGTCAGTTTCTGTATTGAATTTATATCTACGTCTTGATTTCTCTTTTATCCACGATCGAGCGAGGAGATTAATATCTTGTTGATATAATAGAAAACAGAAAGACAAGTAGTGTATTGTTGCCCAAGACGACATCACGTGTGCTGGCTTATTCTGGATCCTACTAGAATCCAGCACAGCTCTTGTCACCACCATCTGATCAGCCTTGTATTGTAATGATGTCTTATACTGTAGGGGAACCAAGTTATTAGGTGCATACAGTATCATAAATTTGTCATATACTGTAATGGATTGTCAGTTAGATCACCTGTATTATATTTCAAGTTATAAAATACTACTAGCAGGGGGTATGAATGCTTATGATGAAATAAGTCAATTTAATGAGCACTACTGAAAGTGGTGAGCTGTATACAAGCAAACAACAGCTTATTATGGCTTATTCTACTGTGGCAATAAATAAAGCATGACCATTAGATGACTTTATCGATATGTTGGTGAAACAGCATAGAGAGCTGTCAATGTTAACTAGGCTGATTTTGGGAGATCGCCGTTAATGCAACAAAAGTTATGCGGAGCCTCAATAGACTGATGCAAACGTTTCCTGCTATTGTGGTTCACCCACGAAAAACCGAAGCCTTGAATTTTTCTAATGCCACACTCTACACTCTTCTTCAACAGGTGAGAAGCAATAGAGAACTCAAGCCATACCAGTAGCTTCTGCTCATAGACAAGATGGAGTCAAGAGTGGCATGTCGAGTCGCGCAACAGATCTACGACATTCCTCAAACGTCATTTCTGGAACGACGTAATAATGACGAGATAGAATACGGACATAACCCACTCCCCCGAAATTTCTTTAACTGGGGGTTGTCTACAAAATGGCATTTGAGCGAACACACCCTTGTTATATCACATCTTTCTTTTCTTTTTTCTCATCTTTTAATCCTTCATAATAATAATGCTATTGCTACGCAAGTGTTTGCTGCTTGCCATTGTGGCAGCAGTCTGTCTTGGTGTATTCGTTTCAACGACATCCGCAAGATGTAAATACCCTTTCTCGTTTCTTAGATGATGAAAAGAACGATACAGATCGCGAAGAAAGAGAAGAAGAGATTATATGAAGGACGTGATGTTTACTGACTTAAAAAAAATAAAACTGTAGTGGTGACTGACGACATCGCTTCATGGACCAAAGAACAATACTACGACTTTTTGGACAAATACAACATCCCATACAAGGAAAGCGACCCGTCCATTGTAGACACGGTCAAGTACTACAAAGACGCCGCTGCCGCCAACGCTGAAATCTTCGGTGCCAAGATCGATCACATTTTGTCTGGACTAAAGATCAAGCTTGAACAGCAAAAGGGTATTTCCGAAACCAATATGGAAACTGTGATCGACACGGTCCAGCACCGTCTTCGACAACTTGAACTCCAAGGCCAGCTCTCACGTGACCGAGTGTTGCAGTCGCTTGGCAGCATCGAGCGCGATCTTACCAAGAAAAGGATTGTCACCGAAGCACAGTGGCGCGAAATCTACAATGACTTGGCATCCTCGTTCCAGGAAAACACCGCCTGGTACCAGCGTGTGTTTACTCGCAAGTCCAATGACGCTGCTGCTTCTTTGAACCGCTGGCTGAGTGGTGTGCAAGACCGTCTCCAGCGATCTGCCGAGTTGACCGAAGCCCAAACAGACAACGTCATCCGCCAGTTGCGCCGTTCCATGGAGTCGACCCGCGATATTAACAAGCTGGGTGATAAGCACTGGCGTCACCAGTTCAAGCACGAGCTGAAGAAGCAAGGCGACTTGACGCAGGATCAAATCAAGCACGTGATGCATTCGCTTGAAACCGATGTGAATGGCTACAAGTTGTTTGCCATGGACTATATCGGTGACAAGGCCGACCAGTCGCAACAGTGGGCTGGGGACATGTCCCAGAAGATCAAGGACTCTGGCTACGACACCATGGACTATGTCAATAATTGGTGGGCTGCCATCTGTGGCAAGGCTCGCTCCTACTTGACCCCCATCATGGGAGATCCTGCCGATCCGTATGCAGATAACTCGGCCTATGCCACCATCCGTGCTGCCGTGGGCTCTGTTACAGATGACTGGAAGGCTTCATCCGCTGCTGCTTACAGGTCCAAGGAATCCGCCCAACACGCTGCTGCCCAGGCCACAGATGCCGCCGGTGCCTCGTTCGAATCCGTCAAGGCTCAGGCCACCGACACAGCTGCAACATGGCGCGACTCGTTTGCCCATTTTTGGAAGGACAAGGAGAACGAAGCGTATCGGCAGATGGGCTACACCGAGGCGCAGGTCAACTGGATTCAGTCTTATTTGAGTAAGACCTTCACTGATCAGAAGTCGCTGACCAAGGCGAATGTCGACCATGCTTTGGATAACATCCGCAACTACTTGCAACAATCACAAGTCCAGACACAAGCACAGATCCAACATAGTATCGATCGTTTGGCTTTGCTGTTAGAGACTTGGAGAACCAAGTTCTATAAGCAGAAGGCCAATCTTTGAACGTTTCTTTATCATCCTCACAAACCTTTTTAGCGTTAGTTTTCTCCATATTATCTCTCTCTTTACTGTGTAATAAAGTATGTAAAAAAACGTTTGATGCAATGCAGCTGTTCTTTCTGCATATCTGTTGTGACGGCCTTGTGTGTTTGCCCACTAATAACCTTATATAATTAATACGCCATTCGGCAGTAGCCCTGTTTTACCCCTTGAACGCATCTCTCTCTCCCTTCTTTATTTCTTTCCCCTCCCCTCTCTTTTCTCTTGTTCCTCCCCTTTAACATCTTTCCTCTATCACTACTACCACTACGTAATTAGCCAGATAAGAGATATGTCCTTGAACGCTCAGGTCACTTCTGTAAACAACTTTTTGGGCACCACCACGGGTCGTGAAAAGCTTTGTCGCTTCATTCAATACTTTGCACGCTTTTATGCATTTTACCTGCTACGCCAAGGCGCTCCACAGAGCTCTTCACAACGCTGGAACGATTTGAAGCAACATATTGGTAACGGACGCAAGTTCTTCCGTCTCTTCAAACCGATCGAGTTTGTCCAAACAGCTGTACATAGTTTAGGCTCGTCCGACGAGGTTGTTCGTCTGACTGCGGTGGTGAAGCACTTGAGCAACGCGCTCTACTACTGCTCTGAAGTCTTTGTATTGGCAAGTATTATCTTTATATAAATAATTGAAGGGGAGAGTGCTGCTGGGTGGGTGATGCTGGTGGGACCCATATGATTACCTAACTAAGTATGGTTATGTTTACGTGGGTGAGCCAACGAACAATAACAATAACAATGACGATGGGAAAATAATACATTTCATACATATACAGACAACTGCTATTGGTTTCTACAAACCCAAGAACGTTGATAAGATCCAAAAGTTCGGATGGAAATGCTGGTTTATCAGCTTGTTTGCATCCATTTTGGCAAGCCTGTACAAGTTTCGTTTGCTGAATGTTAAGGCAGTTATGCTGGAGAAAAGCAAGAGACACTTGGAAGGAAAGAGAGACCCGGAATTGAATCTGCAAGAGAAGCAGCTGGTCAAGTAAAGTGGCAATACTTAATACTTGTGGCAAACAGAGCTGAGATGCTGATCAATCATTTCTTTTTTTTTTGCCAACGTAGAGAGATTAACTCGAATTCGTATCAACTGGTTCAAGACGTAGTCGATATCATCATTCCTTCTGGAAACCTCGGCTGGTTGCCGGTCGACGAAGGGGTTATTGGCCTCGCTGGGTAAGTTTTTATGGTTGGTAGAGTGTACCACAAAGGAACGTGTTTAACATCTGGACATTCTTATAGTGCGATTACCTCGTTGATGGCTGTGAACACTCAATGGAAAAAGACTCGTGTCTCAAAGTAGAAAAAAAAAGCCATCTGATCATTACAATAAAGTCTGTCGTTACTATTTAGTTACCTTACATTTTGACGATACATGTGTTGCTATCTGATTCAATTTTTAAGGAGCGTGTGCATTATATTTGGAAGCCAGTGCTGTCGGTTGAGCCTAATTCCATTCTCTTTCCAAAATGGCAAAATCCAAAAGAGCCATCAATCCAGCCGATGCTTTACGTAATGATCCCTTTTAATTCTTTTACTTGAATAGGTCATTGTATCGATCTTATTGTGTATAACTCATATTGTCTCTTTTATTATGATTAGGTAAAAAACAACGTAAACGCGAGCTTAAAAAGGTATTAATAGAGATCCTTTGATTTAAAAAAAAGGCGATCAACAAATTAAGCTATCTATGGTTGAAATAGAACAAAGAAGATCGTAAACGAGCTCGAGAATTAGCACTTTCAAAAAGAGACACTGCACAGATCAAGGGTGATATTCAGCGATTAGAGAATCAAGGCAAGTATCTACTGAAGTCGAGAAAGAGAAAAAAAAACGACAGATCAGAAAGGAAATCATTATGCTCACGTTTAACAGCTCGTCATGCACAGTTGGATAAAAATGCACAGTCGCGGCTGGCTCAGTTAAAGGAGGAGCTGCAAAAGGTCGAAAAAGCTAAAAAGTCGCAAGGCGTTGTACTGACAAGGTAAGCGAAAGAAGAACAGCAATGTGCATGATTTTCTTTACAATGAAAGGCGCTCATAATCCTTTCCGTGTAGTGCACAAGCGGCATTGGCTGAACGACAGAAAAAGCAACAGCAACAGCAAGAGTCTCGAAAGATGGTGTACGATCCAAAGACAAACAAATTTGTACCCGTCAAAATCAAAGGTAATACACACCCTTCTACAATTTGTCTGGATGATCATTCGCTGAACCTATAAATCTGTTCAGAATCTAAAGGATCAGGAAGCAAGCGTGATTCTGACGATGAAAGCACATCCTCATCCGATACCGATATGAGCGATTCGTCTTCTAATGAAAGCGACTCTGATATGTCTGAAGCTGAGAACGTTCCTGATGAGATCACCGGCAAAAATGAACAGGAAGAGCGTAAGGTTGAGGATGACGAAGAGGAGAAGGATGATGATGACATTGAACTTCCTGAAGGTCCAGCACCAACATCACAAGTTGCAGCAGTCTCGCCTCTGCCGCCACCACCAGCAAAAGCTGAAGAAGAACAAGAAGAGGAAGATAGCGATGACGACATTCCGTTACCTGAAGGCCCACCGCCGCCACGGCCTTTCCAAACGCAACTTGCGCCATTACAGGCAGTATCGCATCCAAGACCACCGCCACCGCCTCCAGCTATTCCACCTCCACCTCCACCATTTCCTCCAATGCAACGACCACCACCACCACCACACTTTTACGGAATGCCACCAATGGGCTATGGTATGATGGTACCACCACCTCCTCCTCCAGGACGCCCACCGATGCATGCAAGAATGCCGCCGCCACCGCCCCCGCCGCCAGGAATGCCACATCACCCACGTCCTCCATTCATGCAAGGGTCTCCTCATATGTATTCACGCCCTCCACCGCCACCTTATTTTGCCAACAGGTCTGTTAGACCCAATCAGCGCCCACCACGACCACAGCGACAACCACAGCAAGATCCGCTACTAGATGATGAAGCGTCAGAACAACCTAAACCTGCTCCAAAACCATCCCCAGCAACAACAGCGGCTGCGACGATTTCTGCTGAACCAAAACTTCGTGACTTACAGAAAGAATTATTGAGTTTTGTACCTGCAGCTCTACGACGAAAACAAGCTGTTAACAAACGAGTAGCTGCATTACCCAAAGCCGCACGACCTACAGTCAATGCTACGCCTGATGTAGGAGAAGATGATGATGAACAGCAGAACGAATAAACAATTTATTTTTTGTGTTTTTTTACAAAAATCATATTAATAATAATGGTAATAGTTCAATTACTTGCAAAAACAGAATCCATATTAATAGTGGTGATAAGTATGATGGTATTATTTCGTATGTGGTCAGGTATCTTTGCACAAGCACGCCGCACAATGGCAGCGTCTGTACCTGTGGCTGCCCAGACATGCAGGATCTGTCGCTCAAACTTGTAATTGGACACCGTCTTTGTCGATTTGTTGATACCGTTGATCTTTTTCTTCATCAATCGGATAGCATCGCGAGCCGTGAACCGGCGACCAAATGCCATGGCACGTGTAACAGAAACACCGAGTGCTTGCGACGTGGACACAGAGTAGCATGCATAATCGGTAATGGGGCCCTTGGTCGTGTATTGGACTTCTGTCTCGGTCAATAAGTTGCGAATCCCTACCAACCGGTCAATGAGTTCGGCGGACATGGCCTCGCTCATGATACTCGGTCCTCCGGCGTTCGGTGTGCATAAAACGCGCTGCGATGGTAAGCCAAAGTCGATATAGTTGCCATGGACGTCAATGTTGGCAACTACAATCATGGATGCGTCGGGACGATGGCGTAAGGTGGACACAAAGTCAAGCAAAGTATGGCGTGCAACGTGGATCGACATGTCCGGGTAGGACAAGCACAGGTGGTGGTGGCTGCCGTCTTCACTGACAACTGATTTCTTCCTCAAAGTACCACCAGCACCATCTACGCTCGAAACTAGCGTGGTTGAGGTAGTTTCTGTTGCTGCTACTGCAACGCCATCTGCCACCACTAGTTCCACAATCGTTGCTACTGTAGCACGCGGGGGGCTGCGATCGTCTGCTCGCGTCATCGTGGAAACATTGCATTAAGGGAACGTCACGAGAGGAAGTAATAACGGATTTCTGATTAATAGGTGCCATGGTTGTGCTTCTGCAAAGTGAAGAGGAGAGAAATATGTTGTGAGAACAGGGTGATTGGAATAAAGGATAAAGAAAATCATACCACTAGATGCCTTTGGTTATATACACTACGTGTGCCCCGTGGCGCAGCATCCTACACTACCATGTATTCCTCAACATGGCAACAACCGGTGATGTCTGCTGCGGTCAACTTTATACCGCAGCAACAGTTGCATTAGGCAGCAGTGTCAAAGGCCAGGGGTGCGTTACACGGGTGCCATTTTACCACGCCTGTGGATAATGGTAAAGAGTGAGGCTATGGTCCCCATTTGTATTTAGTGGTACAGTACAATGATGAGTACAACCGCATTCAATAAGAATACTGGCAGGGATAACTGATAGTAATTTTGCTGCTACTAGTTCTATCTACGCTCCAATGATCTCAATGATGAAGCTCACGAGAGAGCATTGAGACAATTCTATATGCCACAACACAGTTCTATGTCATTAAGATGACTTCGCTTGCCAATTGGCTTATATCGGGAACTGTTTGCATTATCACACTGAGTTTGATCATGTTTTTCAGTTCAGCTTAAGAGCATCCCCAGCAGACTCGCTAAAAGCTATTTTCGCGACAAAATTAGCGAGTTTGTTTTCCCAGCAGACTCGCTATCGCTGTCGCTATTTTGCGGACTGGCTAAATTTTTCGTCGATCCTCGCCAAAATGGTGAGTGACAACCGGACTCGCTATTATTTTATTTGGCGACCGAAAAATAGCGAGTCTGCTGGGATTTCATGTCATTTCTATGGTCTTGCTATGTTGGCGGCTTTGGAAAGTAGCGAGAAATTTCGCGAGTCTGCTGGGGATTCTCTAACGACTCTCTCAACCATCGAACTTTCAGATACACTAGACATTCACCGACAACGTCGTGTACGGGCTGAGAAATTGATGAAATAAATACAAATGCAAACTTGGAACAAGTAACAGCGATGGGTATATGATATACATACGCAGCTAACGATAACGACGACAACAGCAACAACAATAACAACAGAACGATGGATATCATCTAACAACATGTTGTTGTGCGCCATCCACTTTCAACATGGAAGCATTCCTTCTCGATAGCAGTATCAATAACACCTTTGAAAAGAAGCAACAGTAGATGAACGAAGTGGTATTAAGAACTCCCAAGATCAAGCACAGGATTCACATTGATGATATATAAACGTTTTACGAGGCCAGGAAGGAACAACAGGCATGATTCACATTCAACAAGTTTAACTGGTATTCATTTAATGTACAAAACATTTTCTGCTCCTCCCTCCGTTTATCAGGAGCTTTGTACATACAAAAACCTTCGCAGGCCTCTGTTACATCCCCCGTTTAGCATTTCAAGCTTATTGTAAAATTGTGAGTTTTCAGTGTTGTTGTCCGTGGTAATTGATGCTTGAGCATAATATCCCAAAGTCGCATACACACACATATTACGAATTGTTATTCAATACTATATGTATGATGATTCTCAAAGACGGAGATGTATCAAACATACCATAAATTGATTTGTTCAAATTAGATTTGTCTGTCTATCCATATAAACACATTGGGGTATATGATTTATGCATGCGCGCTATCTGTCTTTCATATCAAGTAAGAATAATGTCACTCTTTCTTACAAATATGGAGAGTAATACTGCTGTTGTTTATGCAGCAGATGTATTGTATAAAAGACATTTCGATTTTATTGCAAACTGGACCAGCTGATATATGTGTTTCTGCTGGCTGCGCTTCACATAACATATTGGGCTTAGCATGTTTATACAGAGAGACAGAGAGAGAGAAATGATAGGATATAAAGTATACATAAACAAAGTTCAGTGCTGCTATTCTAAGAAGGAGCTGTTCTATTACTGAGTACGAACGAAAAAGGGCATCTCATCCAAATTGTTATAGACTAGATCATCATCATCGTCAACATCATAGCTCAGTACACCTTCGCCCCAACCATCCTTTCCCCCAGACTCCTCCTTCTCTCACACCCTAAAACAAAGTTCTCCTTGCCTTTTGGCGCGTCAATCGCTTCTATAATGTTTGTAACTACATCTCTTTGTTTCTCTTTATGTTGAGCATATCAGTTAGTCCCTCGTCGGCATGTACTATTACATCGGGTTATTTTCTTATACATACAAAAAGAAATCGACAAGCTAAGGATCCTTAACATGAAATGTGCTGTGATGACGAAATACTGTAGAAAGACAACATCACAAAGAGTTTTATTTTGCTTTTGTGCATGTTGTGCCTGTCACAAGGGTAATTTGACCCGATAAACTAAAACAAAAAGAAAAGAGCTACTATATGCGAACTCTTGGCTTTGAAAAATATGACTGCATCCCGGGGATGAATGGAAGCTGGTGTTACATATATCAAACTCTCTTCTTCTGATAGACCTTTCGCGTGTGCACATGTATGATCTGCTAAGACGATAAAGCGAAATGGGTATTTTTTCTCTTGTTAAAGCGATACATTGTACACAAGACAGCCTCTTTTTCTTGTTTTTTCTTCTACTGCTAGTTACTGCTGCGCTACGATGATGTTGAGGTTGTATTTTTGTTGTTGTTGTTGTTGTTGTTGTTAAAAGTTGCTACACAAGAGTCATGCAAGAAATAGCATCATTTTGTGTTTCATGTTTTTATTTTATGGATGCTTTCATTTAGAGAAACGGACGTGCAGCAATTCAAATTTAGTCTTGCGCGTGAAAAATCTGGACACTTTTTTTGCCACGAGCACCCCTCATTATCTCACACTCTCTCACAGTTGTTAACAGGGAACGAAAGAGCGAGAGAGAGAGAGAGAGATGCATTGATTTTCATCGTACAGCAGTCAAGCGTGCAGCGGCAGTGCATATCAGCGAACCTATATGTAGCTTTCATACACTAAATAACAAAATCTGCTTTTGATTTAACACATAAATTGCACTTGTCATCATGCCAGGCACCCGCAACCTTCATCTTTTAATAGAAGTCAGTTACTTTCCATCATGTTGTTAAAAGAAAAAAAAAACAAGCCTGTATCGGCAAAAGAGCATATGACCAACAAAATGAACATTAACACACTTTACACATATCACCGATGTTTTACCATTGAAGATAATGATGAGACGAATCAGGATTGGATCAGAACTTTCTATTAACATAGCAGGCGCAAAAGAAAAAAAAAGAAACCTTAACCCCCCGCTGTTCAACCCCTACATCTCTATCCCCAAACGGGGTTGGGGGTTGCGGATCCCTTTACTCTCTTTCTTATTCAGTAATTCTCTGTGTATTGATACCCCGCGTTATTGTTCTCGCATTCACCCGATCAAATCCGTCCAATTGCCATGTGTCCTATGGATCATAATGGGCATGTGCACAGCTGGTAGCTACTGAGTTTTGGTATAGGCTCCCATGGGACAAAAGATCATAAAGGATTCTTCTTATATACATGATGTGTACATATTCTTCACTAGTTATGATTTAGAGAATAATAATAGAACGTTTTCATGTGCAAAACATTTGCGACTTATCTTAAGGGGCCTAACACAATAGGCGCAAATCACGCTTCATCACTTATACACTCGTACACTTGTATATATTCACGAGTGCAATAAGAGAACAAGAACGATTCCTTGTTGTTCATGCATAAAGAAGATCGGACACGTACACACTATTTATCCGCCACCATCAAATCAAAGACACCTAAACTATTATGGCTTGGAACAAATAGCGCATTCTATCCAACCACACTATTACTCGGATAATAACTTGGCAGTTCGGAAAAATATCTTTCCTTATTTTCAATATAGTCTTTTTTTTGCAATGGTTACCCCTCCTGCTGCTCCTCTCTGTCGTATTATTGCTTGCAATCGGAGCTCACCCTCTCTCTCTCTGTGCTGCCCCACATGGAGACGCTATGTTATTTATATTACTATTGTTATAACCTGTGTTCGATCCGCCCTTTACGTTAGAAAAGAATGAACTACTTTAGCAGTAATCGTCAAATCTTCTCACTGTTTTCGTTCTTGGCACATGCATATGTACCGTTGTTGGACCATGAGGAACGTTTTATTTTGCAGGTTGGCATTATGTATGATCCCACAATAGGACTACTTTATCCCCAATGTGTTTTTGGAATAATGCAAAGTAGACTTTTTTAAAAGGGAGAATTGGGGGATGAGAAATAAGACGTACATCTACATAGACAAGCTGCGAGGGGGTGTGTGGTTCTTCATTATAGTCCGTATATAGTAGTAGAGTAAAGCAAAGACCATGTTATAGGATATAACGAGCTGCATGTCATTGTGTTTGAAAGAATAGAAAGATTAATGTGCGCACAAAGAGAAAGAGCGAGAAAGATCAGATCAAAAATAGCATCCCTTTTTTGTTCAATAGGCTGTTATTGCTTGGGCATAATTCAATCTGATGATAGGCTATTTTTTCACTGCTCCATCGCCTCTCTGTCCTTCTTCTATAACGCATTTACTCCTTTTCCGATCAATTGACAGGGCGGGCGCCACGAAAAAGAAAAGATATAGTATCGATATTATGTGATAGCCAAGAACCTGCTCTTTATTATCCTGATTCGGAAAACGGAATAAAAAAAAGGTGGAGGGATGATGGGGTTAAGAAATGATCGACGAACGAGTCCTTTTCTTGTATAATGGAACTCTCGTCCCCTCAAAAAGAAAATGGTATCTTTGAGCGTGTGTGCCAACTTATGAATAGTAATAGGAAATGAAGCGAGGGGAGGGGGCGGTGGATGTATAGAGTAATGGTGTAAGTAAATAAGAAAGGAACAAAAAAGAGCCTGTCGGCTCTTTTCTTACTAGGCAAGAGAGATACTCGATCAGCTTTTTCGGCTGGGGGCAAAGAACAAAAGGTAAATATATGAAAACATGGAAACTGCAATGTGTAACATTTTGCTGATCATCCTTGTCAATTTTGAATGCACTGCCTATTGTCGAATCTATATAAAACCAGGAGATTTGAACGAACCCATCTTTTTTTCTTTAACAAACTTTCCTCTCTCTTCTTTACTCTGTCTGATCCTTTCTCTCTCTCCTCTAACAGCAGCCTTTCTCTTCCTTCCCGACACGAACAAACCCCATCCTCTTATACTTCTACTACCCCTACACATATTTCAACCTTCAAATGATTGATTCTTGTCGATATATCCAACTACCACCACTACATACAATGATGTCCTCCAACAATGCTGGTCGACACCATCTATCTAATCTCGAAGCGATGTCTGATAAGCAGCACCAAAGACAAATGGTAACTATCTTTCAATAAGACTTAGGAAGGGGATGTCGAGAGACTATGTATATGGAAGCTGACATTATCCTTCCTTCATTAGCTGCGAGTATTCAGCCCTGTTATTCTATTTCACGATCATTCTTATTCCAGCAACTCATCAGGCTCCGTAGAGCGGATCCACATCCCAGCGGGAGATCCTTACTACTCTCCACTTATTCAACAGAAGAAGAACAGAATCACTGAAATGCTCGAGTCAAACGGCAAAATGTGGGCCGACACACTTCGCAACAGTCCCACCGAAAGCACACTCTCCACAGCAAGCGCAGCTATCAACAATAATGATGAAGCTACTACATCATCTCAATCTTCATCGCCTGGCCATAATTATCAACATCTCCTTCGCAGCCCATCCCTTCCACTGACACCTTCCTCGCAGGAGCTCGGTGGCCGATCAAGTGGCAGTAAGAACAACAACAGCGGTGGCTACTTTAGCACCATCCCAGGAGCGTCATCATCATCATCAGCAGCAGCAGAAGATATCAGCAGCAGCGGTGACGAAGATAATCATCATCATCAATTTCATCATCAGCGTTACTGTAGCACAACACTTCAGGATTTTGCCAGACAAGAGCCTTCACATGACCTCAGTCATGCCACAGATGGAAGCACGACAACAAACCGTAAGCGTCGTGGCAACCTACCCAAGCCAGTCACCGCTATCCTCAAACACTGGCTTGTCGAACATTGTGCCAATCCGTATCCGACAGAAGACGAAAAGAATTGGCTCAAGCACGAGACTGGATTGACACTAAATCAAATTAGCAACTGGTTCATCAATGCCCGTCGTCGTATTTTGCCCTTGATCTTGATCAAAGCCGCCTCTGCTGATGGTCGGCCTTTGGAGCATCACAGAAAGCGCCGCGGAAAGCCTCCATCTGCCATGACCGCTGCTCGTCGAAGAATGGCCAAGCGCCAATGCCAGAAACCATCTGATGAAGGTAAGATTTTTGGTTATCATTTAGTTTTTTCGAAAAACAAAAGGTACATATGGTATACAGAATGGTATTGACATGTAAACGTATTTGTTTCTTTCAGAACTTTCGAGTGCTACGAAACGTGGCTACAAGCGTTCGTCCACATCCACAGCATTTGAGTCACCGCGTCCCACCAAAAGTAAGCGCATCTCAGTCGTCTGATCGTGTTGCATCGAACAAAAAAAGTTTGGTGTCCGCGTGGGGATCTCTGAGATGTGCATATGGAACTCTTTTTTTTTTGTGCTATAGAAATATCGTATTCTCTCTACCTCTCTCCCTGTACCTCTCTCTTTCTATCTGTTGTTGTAACCTATTAGTGTATATCATTTTGCTCCTCAAATTCTATTTGTCGATATTTTTCTCTTTCCTCTCTTTTCTCTATCTCTCGCCATCATCAACTGTATCCTTTTTGTATGTGTACGCAAACATATCTAGTCTGTCGTTTTCTGAAAAAATATATTTTTATCTTAGCAACAAAAAAATAAGCCTTTGTTGACATGGCAATGAGTTTTATTACTATGATGGTTGTCATCGTGATTGAATTGGTTGCTATAGTGGTTGCCATGCCGGATTGCTACTATACAGTATAAATTGATCTATGAGAGAGAGAGAGCCAATCTTCATGTCGTGCAAAATCAATAGCACAAGATCGCCGGCCCCGTTATTCTGAAACATATAAACAATAACCTCCTTCCTTGATTTCTTCTAATGGGAAAGTATCAGCCGACCCCAGTTACAATTTTTTTCTCTCGCACTCTTCTGGAATCACTTATCTCTGCGAAGGATTAAAGTGTGGCACAAGGGCAGATGAATCGTCGGTGATTGCTCGTCATTCACCTTTTTTTTCTGTTTTATGCAAAAATCCCATCCCGTGTTCGACTCTCAAACACTACATGGTGCAACACGTTATTATGAGTCGTGGATTTACTTATATCTGTGCATACTATGTAGGCACATTGTGAGTTAAAATGTATGTGTGTGTACCTACCCACGCAAGATAAAACAGGCAACTGGCCATGTGCACAGCACCGCATCCTGACGATCAAGTGATAGATTAGGCTTTATAGAGAGTGTTTGTGTTGGCTGAAGAAAAAAAGAGAGAGAGAAGAGGAGTGGTAAATTTCGGGGAAGGGGCAATATGCACGCGAGGAGGTTGAATGAAAAAATGCTTGGATCTTAATAGGTCCGTATATTTTCTTGTCTTTTGATAGGGCGCAACTCCATGCATAGCTTTATATTTAGCAAGTGTGTAGCAGTGTGTATCTAGAAGTGACGTGCAAACTCCCCAGATTTGTTTTGGTCCGGACAATGTCCATGCCCGCCAAAAATGATTTTCCATTCGTTTGGGATGTGCAATCGGGCTCGGTAACACACACTCTCATCGCTGCGCTTTGTCCACCTTCAAAAATTTACCCTTTGCCTGATTTGGGCTTATCGGTTGAGGGCGAGCCATAGCCTAGTCCACCTGTTCCCTTTTTTTGTAAAGAATCACTTTTTCTTCTTCGCAGCAGCACAAACGCATATGGCTGATACACCCACCGCTTTTAAACTCATGGCAGGTGTAAGTGGCGATCCACAAAAAAAAAGCACCAAACCATATGTAGAAAAAGACATTGAAAGGCGATATTTGATGAAAAAGAAAAAGAAGAAACAGGTGTGAAAAAAAAAATTCAATAAGAGACCGAGAACCCTCATCCTATCTGCCATGCTACGGGATTCGGGACCGAAAAAAAAACTTCCCACCTCCATAAAATGAAAAATATATCAACGTCCCGTCGCCTCTGATTATTTTTCTTCCTCTCATTCCTCTGGCATCTTTTTTTTTCTACCTCATTTTGGTTCCATGCTCACTACCTCAACACCTTCTTATCATCATAATGTTTTCTGTCCAACCGCTGGAACGTATAGTAGCTATTACTATGATGCCTTACGTGCTAATAGTCGACGTAGCAACCGGCGAGTCTCCTTGGTGAGAAACACTTTGCCACATCCTCAGCAGATGCAAAATGAACAGAAAAACGACAAAAACAAGTCCCTTAAGAATAAGGGTAACAAGAAGAAATCTGTTCGTTTCAGCGAAAACAATGATCAAGTACGATTATTCTATCAATGGCAAGCACCCCAACAGCAACAGCAGCAAAATGATGGAAGAGAAAGAGAAGAAGCCGATGTACCGTATTATCATCATCAGCTGACACCGACGAAAAGCACTGCGACGGTATCGACGACAAGCGATCAGAAACAACAGCAATATCAGCTGGAACTGGTCAAAAACGAGAAAACACAAGGTGCCACGACCATGGCAACCAAAAAGAACCACTTACCGCTTGAACTGAAATCCATTCACGTTGCACAAGAAGTGCAAGCACCAGTTGGTATTATTGTTGTCGGCAATTGCCATGTCGTCAACCTTGCATTTGAAAAGCATGTCACAGTGCGTTACACCTTTGATAACTGGACGACGTTCACCGATATTGACGCCATGTACCGTGAGTCACTGGCTGACTCGGCCATGGACCGCTTTGCTTTTGAATTCCCATGGGATACCACTGCCACCACCAAGAACCACGAACAATCGTTGCAGTTTGCCTTGCGCTATTTTGTCAACGGTATGGAGTTTTGGGATAACAATGACGGAGACAACTATTGTGCACGTCTCCACGTCCTACCAACTGCGACAACAAAAACAAGTGACAATGACAATGACAATTCCGACCATCGAAAAAGCGAGAATGACGTTACGCAGCAAGACGATGGTGAAAAATCAGCAGCACCCTGGTCGTCTTTTCACCAGCAAAAGGACGATTTGTCCAGAGCAACAGCAATCAATCCGTGGACCACGTCTTCGTTCTGGGCCAACTGCTTTTCTAACTCAACAACGTCGTCGCATTTTCCATCCCTTCAACAGCAATCGCAGCGCCAGGAACAGCATGACCACCGTCCTACCCATCATAGTCACCTTTTAACAAAAGCGACCTCAGCATCATCTACAACGCAACAGCCACAACAATCAAAGTACTTTGACAAGCGTCGCAGCAACAGCAACAATTTCATCAATCATCATCCACATCATTTCTCTTCTAAATCAACATCTTCACTCATTTCATAAACAAAACAAAAAAACCGCGCATTTGTTCTCTCTTAGCAACCCCATCTTTTGCAAATACCTAAAAAAGAGTCTCCTTTATTCTTCCCTATTTGTAGTCTTTCAATTATTGTATTTTTATTAATAAAAAAAAGTATCTTTGTCTGCATACATGTCAACTATCGCAAGGTTTCATGATTTTTTTTTTGGGGGGTGGCGAGATCTTTGCAGCAACGGGTTGAGCTATATATGGGTTACTAGCCACGGTACTATGCTTGAAGGACTCGCAAGCTTGTGAGTATTATAACATCTTTTTGTCGTCCTAAAAGGGAATCGTCATCATACACATACACTGAACCACTGCTATAGAAAATGCTGTTTTTCTTGTACTGTTACTATGTGCAGTAGCTTAAGTATACAGTCAAATCCATAATACGAGAAAATGAGCGTCTTTATCCATTCAAAGGAATAAGTTTTGCGTGTCAAAATGGTTGCTTATGCGTGTCCAATTTCTTGTCCTCAGTTTAGCTATCGTTGCTTCATTATCTCTGACTGTAAGCGTGTCCAGATATAATTACCATGTTTGCATTTCGCTTTGTTCAACACATACAGTACGAGATGCGTTTGCGTACAGTAACCTTCTCATACATTGGTATGTACGATTAGAGGGAGAGGAAAGAATGTACTGTATCTTGGAAGTGATGCTTTTACACTCAACCGCCGTTAAGGACAGCCCTCGAATCTAGCTATGAGTGTTGATAATATCAAGAGTTGACGATTCCTTGGGCAAAGCACATACGTTTTCAAATTAACGTTCTTTTATGGATGCCATTAAAAGCGTTGACCTTTTCGGGGCTTGCCTACAGTACATCAAGGTGCGTTTATTTTGGCTTGATGTTTAGCAAATTGTACCGCTATTGGTGCCCAAAATATGTAGCTATGTGGCTCAAGGGTGGAAACGCATGTATCTTGAATTACACAAGTAGCAATGTTAAAGCTACAAAGTCATTTACGATTTTACTTCTTGTAATCAACTTGAAGGGTAACCTGTTTCCATGAGGTTTAAGCATGCCAGCTCTTCTTCTTAATTTAAGTACAGTGGCTCCCCGTTTAATTTCAACCTCAAAGGGGGTCTATAAAGTGTTGAGACTACTGAGGGTTGACACAAAACGAGGGTGATTCAAGCAGTGTTCTATGCTTAAAGGGGGTATAGAAAAAAGTTGAAATAACTGAGGGTTTATCTTACTGAGAGTGAAATCAAACGGGGAACCACTGTAATCGCTTAAGTTTGACTTTTTGCTTGCCTCCCGTTAAGCCATCATTCCTGGCTTTATTTTTTTATTCCTTTTGCATAATGTATATACATTCTTTTTCATTTAACTATGTCTTTTCTTTGTCATTGAAATGTTCATACTTGTTTCTTTAACTTTATCTTGTCTTATACTCTTGTCCATTGCACCCTCTATTTGCTTGTATATCAATCTCAACGATACATGCAAGAGAACAAATTAAGAGATAACTAATCACTGATAAAGTGTTACTAGTACTCGTAAAGTCGAAAGGCCGTATAAGCGCAATTTTAATATTAATGATAATTATTTGGATACGCTGACGGTCAGGGATGATATACTGAAAAATTAGACGCGCTTAAGGAAGTAGCGATGATATGAAATACCAATAAAGTGTACCAATTTATGCCGGATCATACACTTGCTGAGAGCAAATCAAAGCGACTGCGACAACCACACCATACTCTTTCGTGTTACTTTCTTCATAATTTTAAAATGGCAGACCGTTCGGACCAAGCGAAACAGGGCTTGCGTACCGAAATTACATATATTCGTGACAATGCTCGTGCCCTCTACTACCAACCGCATTACTATTACTGGCAAGACCAACAGCAACATCAGCCGGAACTTCTTAAAATCAGGACTACTACCAGAAATGTTCATTTGCTACTGCCGATGCTACCCGTTCTTGCCACTATGTACTGTACGATGATGTTTCTTACGAGTATTACGGCACGATCAATACCACTATTCCTTATTCCGGCTCACAAACAATGGAGCAGCTATAGGAAAAAGAAGAGTCTGGTTTTTATGCTCCTCCTATTAGAAAGAGAAAAAAAATTTATAATTACAAGATCTAGAGCTAGAGCAGGTATTACCCGTTCGCCTATCATTAGCGGAAGTGATAATAATGATGGAGGAGTAAGCGACTATTGATGGTGGTAGCGAAGAGAAGGACGATGAAGACACCCGAAGCACCATCTCGATGACCAATAATGATGATGAGCAAGAAGCCTACTATCGCACGGAAAAGTAGCATTTGCAGAACACAATGAGCTTCAACTTGGACAGCACTGGCCAAGTTACAAGAGGAGAAAGGCTTAGTGTCAGGTAGCAGTCTTTTATCAAATGAAAAAGTAGAAAAAGTTTCATTGCCCTTTCTCAAAAAGTGCAACTCGCTTTTTTCAACGGACGGTAGTAAAACATTTTTTGTATACGAGCGAGTTTTCTCTCCTCTTCCCTCTTTCAGACCATTGCAAAATTCTCAGATTGCGGATACGGAACTATCAGTTCAGCGTTCGGATTCAACTAAGGCTGTGTGTTTTGGTGATAGCGCAGGAGGAAAACTTACTGCTGCTTTAGCAGGCAACCTCGGTGATTGAAGGATGCCTTTTAATTTTGCGATAAATGGTATTGATAAGTGATATATATTGCAGATTGCGTGACTATAGTTCTGGATATACAAAAGCGTGGAAAGACAGTAATCAAGAGCCAGATTACCCTGTTGTCGCTCTTGCCAATTTTAAAAGTGATTCTTACAAGGCATTCGTTGAAGGCTTCTTTTTGATCAAAAGGCTACAAAAAGATATTTTTGATACCTTCCAGAGGGACAGGAACACGTTCAACTACTTAGCACTGTATCGCCCTTGCATGCTAATGTCAAGGAGCTGAAGCATCTGGCTTTAGCTCTTATAGTCACTGCGGAAGCTTACATTCTAAGCGACGACGGTGAAGCGTATGCAAAAACATTGAATAAGGCTGACGTGCATGTGGTTGCCATCTACACGCTCGGAACAATACATGGATTCTTAAACAATTATGCTACGGGATGTACAACGGTTACCATGTTGAACCAGACGATCGACTTTTTGCACCAACATTGAAGCTCAAACCGGAGTATACACATATACGCTGCTCCCTATTGAAACAATAATAGGATGTTTAGCAAATTTTGGTTCAAAGACACCATCAACCCATTTAAAACGACAGAAGGGGGATTCTTTTGCTGTTAGCTTTGAGAAGAATGAGGGTAGCTACACAATTTGCTACTGGTCGATACTTTTTACAATGAAAATCTGCATCACCTTCCCCGTCCGAGTGTTGTAGCAAATGTTTGATGAGTATTTAGACCCCATCTCCTTTAAAGTAGCTGCTATATGATGTAATGTATACTATGTCTTTTCATGTGCCGAAACGAAGCTACGACGACATATGCGACAAACATGTCATTGTTGTTGTGCTCTCAACCCATCGGTGATACCTACCTACCACTGCACATGCTTTATTTTCCACGTACTTAAAATGCAGATTTAAAAGTAAGTTAGAAGAGCCGAAAAGCGTTTACTGTACTGAACGTCATAATGGCGTTAGTATTGGCTACGAAGGGGTACACACTTCAACTGAATTATCTGCAGATGCATTATCTTCTTCTTTAACTGTAAATATACTACTCTGGCTTAGGTACTGGAAACTATCATACATGTTAACCCAGGTCAAGATTGAGACACCCTTTGTATAATCAAAGCACGCCATCACACATCGCCATGATATACTAGAGACAAACAAATATATAAAAATTTCAGTTTCGTACGCTCCTCCGATGATGTAATGTCACTTGCTACCTTTCAGCCCAAGGATCTTGGATACATCTTCCACGCCAATGCACCAATTTAAAGATGCAACTTGATAAAAGAAGGACCCTACTTGATTATACTGTTGTGCTTTTAGTAGTAAGGGTTCTCTGTCAATAATTACAAGCTGCAATAGTATGTACTATATTGACATTGGGCACGGTGGCAAGACCGTGCATATGACATAAATGTACATGCCCGGTAGCAGTACGTCACACATACGGATGCTCGTTCCTTAATTTACTAGGAAAGGCCCAAAGGAGCTGGCGATGAATCGGATCTGGAATATCTGATCCGTAAAAGTGGGAACATCTTCCTAGCGGTGATTGCCATGGCTACACATATAATTTACCCGATCAACAACATGAAATGTTTACATTCAGGGTTCTGCAGTTGAGATCCAAATAAGGCAAGAGCTTCTAACGAAGAAGACAAAAACAATGCGACATGAAAGGCAAGAGAGCGCGTAAACCAAAACATTGATGCTCTAGGTCATGTTGGTGTAATTATTATTCTTTTCTTGTTCAAGAAAGCTCTCTCCTCCTTTTTATTATTTTATTTTGCTCCACATACACACACACACACACACTCTCTCTTTTTTTGATTAAGCAGCAGTAATAGATGATGCATTATCGACAGCAGCAGCAACAACAACAACAACAACAACAGCAGCAGTACAGCAGAAGACAGACCCCGCCCTTGGTTCCACCTACGCCAACAGGCAGCATATGTACGACAACGACAAGCAGTAGTAGTAGCAGCAGCGCCACATCCTCGTTCTCTGGTAGCTTGAGTTATCCGAGCTCACCATTTGTCGAATGGGAGGAGGAACAGAGAAAGCAGCTGGCTCATGCTCATACAGTGTTAACGCAAAAAGAAGTCCGTCATCAATTAGTTCTGCTCTTGTAACATATTTCCAAGAAAAGAATATCTATTAAGATTGTATATACTCTTTTTTGTACATTACACATCTTTAGTACGAGAATGCACAACTTAAGCAAGCGTTATCAGATTGGAGAACCAAAGCTCGAAAATGGAATGAAGCACAAGAGAAACTGGAAGGTGAGACGACAATGACAACTACACAAGCAAGAATAAAATTCTAAAAAAAGAGAGGGTGGGAGAAAATTATAGAACGGATTCGTCATATGGTGGCCGAGAAAGAGGCTCTGAGTAAGGCTTACGCCAAAAAATGTAACGACGATGCAGCAACAATCTTGGTACTTTCTCAAGAGCTTGAGGCCCTCAAGAAAAGCAAAGTGGATTCTCACCAGCAGCGACCACTTCCAACAATGTCAGCAGATGATGGCAATGAGGGCGAAGAAATGGAGGATGCAGGGGATCCGTGCGCCACTGCAGAAGTTAGTGTACAAACAAACATGTTTGTCATAGAATATTTGGTCAGAGATGCTGTTGCTAATACGGAGAAAACCCTTCTACACTGCGCACAGGAAACGTACAAAAAAGCCGCATCGCAAGCGGTATACGGGAGAAAGAAAGCGAATAACCTGATTGTCGGGATAAACGTAAGTTTATGTTATTCACTCATTTGCTGTGTCTTGCACTTTTCTTGCATAATGAAATACAGTTACCATCATGATAACCATAACACTTCTGTAGGATATGGTTCAAGCTATCGAAGAAGAATTGAGCTACTTACAGTCTCACGGTGTAATCGACAAATCCGATGATAACAACAATGACGATAAGCAGGAGGCGGAGGCAGACAAAGCCGTAACAGCCAGATGTCGAGACACAGACGCGTCCGTAAAAGGGGATCCAGAAAAAGAAACACCCAAGGCCGAAAAGCCGACATGTTGTACAGCTAATGTGCAACATCACATGGATGGCAATTCTCCGTCCGCCACTGCAGCAACAAGGACGGTGGCACAGAGGATGGTTTGCTCTGCTGGTGATGAGGATGATATAGCCTCAACACCGATATATGCGCAAGATCCCCTGCAACTGGCACCAGCCTATGAGTACGACACTGCTCAGCCTCAGAAAAGAGTTTTTCGGCCACGGTCCCAGACTATGGACACCATCGTCAAGAAGGCTAGCATGTTTTTGCGTTCGAGTAATAGTGGCACTAATAATAGCAGCAGTAACAACGGTAAACGGGGTAATGGGTTCGTCAGCAGCAGCAGCAGCAAGACCAGAAAGCCCAGACCACAGTCTACTGTGGATGTACCGAAAAGGGATGCTTCGTCCTTCACATCTGTTGATAACACCTCCATTACAACGACGACGACACAGCAGCCGAATTCAGCAATCGTGCCTTATAATAGCAAAGATGGCCCTCCGAAGACCGGGACAGGAACCAGACGGCAACTATTCCATCGTCTCAGCACACAAGCTCTATCGTCGTATTATCAATCGACGCCTTTGTTCAAGACAGCAACATCATCGAATTCGAAGAGTACCACACATGCCCCAAAAGAGGCGACAACAACAACAACAACAGGCGTGACCTTGCGTCAAGCCATTGCCGCTGCGGAAAGTGCTCGTCAGCAAAAGCAGGAGCAACAGCGACAGCAGCCCCAACAGCAGCAATATTACCAACGACATAACAGTACGTCCAACTCTTTGTCATCGCCCTCACTTTCTTCGGGGTCAGCACATAGTACCACCAGTACCGTCAGTAGCAATGGTAGTATGGGTGGCTCTGAAGACCGCCATGAAAATAGTGGTATTGATGCCCATGACAAAACGATATCATTGCCACCTAATCATCCGCAACAACAAGTGAATACAGCCACCAGTACCTTGATGCATCATTATCGAAAACAGCAGCAAAAGCTGCAGGGAGCAGTGGCTGATGCATCATCACGTATAGATGATGACTCTGTCATTGAGCAACCGACGAATCATCACCATCTTCCTCTAGACAACCACCAGCAGCAGCAACAGCAGCAACAGAAACAACGGAAAAGAAGAAGCGCCATGCTATCAACATGCTCGTCCCCTTTGTCCGGTGGTAGCGTATACTCTTTACACTCAGCAGCAAGAACAGCGTCGTCAATATTAGCTGGAGATTTGTCAAAGCCAAGTCAACTCGAGCACTGGAAAATAAGCAGTCGACGATAAATAATAGTAACTCATTTAAACTTATAGATATCTTTATTACTGTAACCATGTAATCCCCCCCCCCACTCGCCGAGAATCCACATTCTGGTCCTCATTAATTTAAATTAAAAAAACAAATCATAATCGTTATTATTACACTTCAAATACAGCAATATCTGGTATTCATCGTCTTATTAAAAGCTTCCAGCAGCTAGCACTGCTGACAGTTAGAAGCAGCTGCAGCGAGCACATGTGACATTGTGCACTACCAAGACCTGAGTATTTACTTACCTGGTTTTCAAACAAGCAAAAGGATAAATTTAGAAGATGCCTTGACTGCTAGCCCATTCTTTTAGTGCACGTGTCTATTATGGCTGCAGCTCAAAGGTTCTTGCACACTTGAAATGTAATAGTGGCGAAGCACAGCAGAAAAGACACTAGTGGGGAACCCAAAAAAGATAGTGCCATAATCATCAATAACAATAACAAACAGACAAATAAAGGCGCCGAAGGATGAACAAAGAGAAGGTGGTCGTCATTGAGGAAGAGGAAAACGGGATCAACATGATCTCCCCTCCTATTCTTTGTCTTCTTATCTGAGCAAAAAAAAAGAGAGTGCGTATCTGCTATTTCGTAAAGTCATGGCAATTTTTTCCTTAAAAGGACATACGCAAGTTGCAGAAAGCACACACAGTAGTGTGCATGGTGCGTACATGGCAAGCAGCGGCTACGTCGTCGGAGCTACTTATGATGTAAGAGATTTTTCTTCGTGACGCATAGTTTTGGTACGCATCAAAAAATAGTAAACTCGGAACAGCAGTGCTAAATCCGGTATTAGACAAAGAAAACTTTAAAAAAGAACCAGCAGATTAGATAGGCATAGTCTCATAGTAGTGACGGGTTTAAAGACAAAGAGAAACTGTACAAATATTTTTATTATTTTCCACATGACACGGTTTTTTTTTTGTTATATGTACAACCAAAGTAAGTAGCGCCAAAAAAAAGCCCCATTAAAATTTTTAAAAATAGGTATGTGACAAAAGGGGATGCACACAAGAGAATGAGTAAACAGACCCAAACTTGGACAACCTCTTGATAGATATAGAAACGAGGAGATGATGGATGGATGGATGGATGGATTGTTGGGAAAAAAGAAGGAAAGCGGTGCGTGTATAAAGGGAGGTGAAAGAGGAGAGTATAAGGGGGGGGGGGTGGGAGGCCTAGGTTCAAAAAGAAGCTTCCCTTAAAAAAAATATATAGAGTGGAGTAGAATGAGATATATACGAGAAAGATGCTGTATGGGGGGTTGTTGCTGAGGAGATATGCAAAAGATGTAGAAATTTTTGGGGGGGAGGGGAGGTGAATGTTGAACGAGCGTTGAAGTGTCTTCTTTCTATTACATTGTACAATGAATATGTATGTGTGTGTGTAGGTTGGTATTAGATACGGGCGAGGTTTGCGTAGTAGTCGACGATATCCGAGGCGTGGTCCGGACTGTTGCGTGCCAACGCAGCAAAATCGTGTAAATGCGATCGTTGCTCGGCGTGTTTCCATGGCAAGACCCGTAGAGACAGCTGCATGTCGTCCTTCAGAAACGCCGTATTGAAGTAATCAAGCACCTGTCCAAGGTCTTTGGCGGTATGCTGCAGAAGATGTGGCAGGAATTCGGCGTTCATGATATCAAAGACATTGGCGAGATGCCGCACCACATAGCGATCAATTTCTGCCAAAAGCTGGTCGCCATGCTCGACAAGGCAATTGCGGTCCACATGGTCTGCGCTGCTGTCGTCTAGGTCTTCTTCGCCGCAATGGTTGAGTACGAGCCGACGAACATAGGTTTCAATGGCTTGTTTTCCCAACTTATCGCCTAATTGGTCCCATACTAGGGGCAATCGACCTCCAATATGTGCCTGAATGGCTCCAAAAATCTGGGCTTTGAGAATGTCGAGGTCCATTACATCGTACGCACCGGATTGCAGAATTGGAATTTGCTGCTGTGCTTGGTTATCCGATGGTATACTCGTTGTAGTCGTAGTCGTAGTAGTTGTCGTTGTCGTTGTCGTTGTCGTCATTGGATGCATCGTTATCTCGACGTGTTCGCGCATTTGTGAGGCAATGTGATCGTAGCTGTTGGTTTTTATGGTATCGAGGTGGTCGAACTGCCAATGCGTAGCAATCATTTGCGCAAAGCGGTCGACCTGGACTCCCGAGGCGGGCGATGCGGCGTTCGAAATGTCCTGATCGTCGTCAATGTCGTTGAGAGTCTCTTCGGATGAACGGCCATCGATATCGTCTTCGGAAAAGTCAGTCTCGTCTATTAATAACGCAGAGGATTCTTGTCGAATGGGGCGTGCGTCAATGGATGTATAGAGTACTGCACACGCAATAACAAGAGGTAGTGATAGCCTCATTATGTTGTGTGTGTGGTGTATTGTCGATGTGAGAGAAAAAGAAAGAGAAGCGAAGAACAACAAGTGCAAACGCAAAAAGGTAAAAAAGAGAACGATGCGGAAAAAGTGTGGAGGAAGGGGGATCCACAGGCCCCTTTATATATAAAAGGTGACGGAGTTTAACTAAACGGGAAAGGCGGCTAAGCTGTGAGATCGACGGGCTTATGCCAAGAACCGAAAAAGGCATGACGCTGTTTTTGTTATTTTTATTTTTGTTCTTGCTGGTATACAAGACGAGGAGGCGTAGCAGCAACACTAGCAGCACTATCACTACTAGTAGCAGCAGTGCCACTGCCGCTAATACATATACTGCTATCGTTGCTACTAATAATAATGATATTGCTGCTGTCGTCAGTGTCGTAATGGTTACCATGACTATCCGCAGCAAGGTAAGGCCACACAATCTGTGCTTCGAAGAATTCGTCGGATATTTGCATCTGCACCCCATCAGCACCGTCCCGCCAAGTACTGTTAGTTTAATCTGTCTTTCTTTTTGGGTAGATCCTAAGAAAATCACTTACGTGTTGGCCTGGACTCACCAGGAACTTTAAGCGACCCCCCAATTTTCGCAATCCGAGCCAGTCTTCCTTGTACAGGGTTTGATTCACCAACGGCACGAGCACCCCGTCCTCAGCGTATGTCCAGAACCACTGTGAGTATATTCTCTCTGTGTCAGTCATACCCGAACCTTCCAGCTCATCTGTGGGCTTTTTAGTGAACTCACTGCAGTTTCTCCTGGCTTCACCATGGCATCATCTGCAAATCGAACCATTACGAATGCGTCTAGGGCAGCCAGGTTGTCTCTGTATGTCGTGTTTCTGGCATCTTGCAGCTCGTTGTTGATATTTGGTAAGAAGATGTTGCGTTCCAGGTAACCTGTTCGCAATGCTATTTCAGTCTTCTTGTCACGATAACCCCGCTCTGGGCTGTGTGTGTGTATTTTGGCCTTTGTCATACAACCCAGCCAAAACTCAAACCTTGTATATTTCTTGGATCTTTAAAATACTGAGCCTGTATCACTCGATGTTGCACGTAGCCAGAATAAGCACCGTATCGTACCATCGACCGCATCAGCCTGCAAGTCAGGTCACTAGGGTTCATGCAGTTGGGGATGTCCTGGCATAAAGAAAAAGAAAAAAGATCAATTCCTTTTTCTTGTGATACACACCTCACTGAGTACCCTCTCTTATCCAGAAAACAACGATGGCTTTACCGTAACACCTTAGCCCAAGAGCCAAAGACAAGGCCAGAATGGTGAGTGGAGTCCATCATATTTAGTCCCGGTTGAATGAAAAATGTAAAAAGCCCACCACACCTTATTTAGCATACCTCCATGCGGGGACCCAAACGTGATAAGTCGATGAACGGCGGGTCGATTGCAGCGTTGAACATAGCCTCTACAGATTTTGCTTAGCAAGGACGTAGCATGGCCCTTAGACGCACTCTCTCCACTTCCCTTCATCTTGGACCCCGCCACCCCTTATTTTATCTTTCTTCTTCTTTTTGCTGCCTACCTTAGGAACAGACCTCCCTATGAAACCCACATTGCATACAAAAAATAATTTCCAGTTGTGGTTTGAACGATAAATGAACCTGTCTGGAACCTCGACCTTTCAACCTCCTCAATAGGCTCCTTAATTGTTTACCCATCTCTTCGCCTTACCTGTGAAAACCCGACTCCATTGAATCCTTCCGCGAGCTCGGGAATACTGGCCAACTGTTCGCATACTAAATCGATCTATGCGCGAGGAGTATACGTTATTATATTCGTTGTCAAAAAGTTGTATGGCTTTGACTACTGAGCCCTTGTCCCCCCCCCCACCACCACCTTCCCACAAACAAAAGAGAAGCATCTCACACCTGCTTATTCACTTGGCCAAAGAACCCCGCTTCATGGTCCTCCTGAGAGCCCTCTCCAACTTGAATGCTATGAACAAATGTTCCGGGCAGTAATCGCTGTATCAGATCCTTAAGGCGTCCCATGGACTCAGGGTTGCAACATGTATCGCCCATGCCATGCCACAGGACAATTGGCTTGTTCGCTTGCTTGTAGGCTAAGCACAATCCACCCCAAAAGCGCCACCCGCGAAATGTTAGATATATAACAAAGTGAAACGAATGGCAATCTATGAAAGTGGGACTCGGTATTACCACTAGCAATGGTGCTCCATGCAGCGATAAGGAAGTATAACGATAAAAAGAATTTTCTCATCGCCGTCTTCCGCATACTATCGCTAGTAATATCAAGAAAGAAATCAAAATTCCCAAGGCTGCTGACACTCATAAGGAAATATAATTTCCTCACTCTGTTGTCGTTTCATGTCCAAGTGTGGCCTATGGCTTGTTGTTGCTACGTACAGTAACTACTTGTTACTTCTGGATGAGATAACAGCTGTTGCTATGGCTGCATACGTACAGTCATCATTAGCACAGACTGTACGTGCAAGCATGATCACTCTGCAGCGGTAATAGCAGCACCCTCAGCTGCATACTTGATGGACCTGCATAGTCAGATAAGCTTTTTGCTTTTTTATTTATCGGGCTTCATTATTGAAATGTACTACCAGCGCCACCACTAAAGGTAAATGATCAAATTGCTCAATTATCTGTGAAACTAGTCTATCTTTGTATGATGTCAGATTCATTATCTGTCAAAAATTGATTGAATTGTCGAGAACATTCATTTGGCGGGATGCATTAGTTATGTGCTACATATTACAATCGTCCTAATATGACTTTGCAAAAAAAAAAACTAGATGAAATATGTGGTAAACCCCTCGTAAGCCAGCACAAAAAAACGGTCTCGATGCTTTTACCTATCTTTCTATCTATCGCACACCATAGTGGAATTACGTCGTTTATCGTTTTAAAAAAGCGGGATTTATTAAACCAATACCACGCAAATATTCTTGGTTCCGAGTGAAATATGATTGTCGTGGAGGTTTCAGGTAGTTCTGGACTCCTTTTTTTTAGCGGTCATCTATCGTCGTTCCCGTATTGTATATCTGGGGAGTGAATTTTCAAAGGAGGAGGATTTATCCTGCGCTATGCGCAAAAAGAAAAAGTCAGATATTGAAACCGCATCATTCTGCAAGAAAAAACGTCTGCGTACTTAAACAGAGCATGATAAAGAAAATGGTTTCCGAGTCCACTGCAAAACATGCTTTGTTGATCTATCATCGTCCACCCGCCGTTTGTCGTTATATTGACATTCTTGGATTTACGAGAGCCTAACAACTGGTTGACGATCCTGCATATACTGCTAGTACTCTTTTCAACAGTCAGAGAAATTCTTGATCACAACAATCAATTTACAATTTTGGCCTCCTTACTGTAAAGTCTCTTCTGTAATTAGTGAACAACTATCAGCAAAGTTCAAGAAGTGCAGCAAAGTGTGTTACTCGGAGTAAGATCCTGCATCCGTGCTGCATAGCGGACGTAAAGGGGCTCTACTATCTCGCGTCTTGTCCGTTCCCCCCTTTTTTCCAGACACCACTGCTGCCAAAGTTCAAGGGTGAAAAAACAAGGATGGCGAACTATCAGGGGAAGGGAAGAATAAAAAGCGATTTAAGTTTGCCGCTTCCCCACATGTACTAAAATGCACTCATGATGTGATAACTAAAAAGACAAAGAAGAACTGTGTGCGCGCATTTGAACAAGATCGGAATAATCCATACTATACGTTGTTGAAGAATTGATCCCTTCTTCGTTGTTAGTGTTGTTAGAATATGAAAATGACACTTCGTCGTCATCCACACACCACTCGCTGCTACAAATGTGTACCATGCTCAGCGTCCATTTCTCTCTGTCAACTAAGGAGGAGTTGTAGCATTATTAAAAGGCAAACAAGTAGTCATCATAAGTTTTTAGGCAGGTATTATGCAGCTCATGTCGTGATATATATTGTTTTTCATAAATTGTTTTCTTATTTACTCCTGACAGGCTTTTATACAAGAATGATGTATGATATGCACATTCCAACAAAAGCACTTGTTCTTTACCAATAGTCTACAAAGATGTTGTCACGTTTATTTATGCTTTCTTCTTTTGAAAAATTGTGAACCTGTCATTATCCCTTTGAGTGTGCTCCTCGCTTTCGGGGAGAAGATGATGGCAGCTCCAACCTGATGCTTGTTAGCTAAAGCATCTGCTCAAGTAGCATTAGTGACGGACGCAAAAACGACCCACAATTGAGCAGCAATATTAGTGCTACTGATGCTAAAGTTTACAAATTACACGATGTACAACAAGGTTATTCACCAGCAGGATGTTGCCGTTTGATCAATTACATTCTTTTGAATCAAACAACGTATGATGGATCACTTGCACAATATCTCTATGCAGTTTCTTCTTTCTCTCAAAGCTATACGATGGTGAATTGATGATGCTTTTAATGTTTCATTAGTTCATGTGGGTGCTACTATCAAGCTGTCCAGGACTTACACTTATCATTTAGAAGATTCTCCCAAACACCGATAATAATTAAAAAGGGCCCTTACGACGGCTCGACATTAGCGAAGCATAAAGGCAAGATGGTACGTTTTGTATAATGCTATAGATGATCATTCTCTGGATAAATGCCCGTAACGGTGCCCGAATATGATAACAGAAAAATGACGAGCCTCATTATCACTACCAGAAGCTGTTTACAATTGATACCCAAATCATCTTTACGACCATTTTGCGCTTTCAATAGCTTCGCGCGTTGAATTGTGAAGAACGTTTTATCTATGATAGTGAAGCATCGTAAAATAAAATATAAGGGATGGATGCTCCTTCTTAGCAGTAATTCGGAAACGACATAAGCAATTTATAAATGTAGATATGCTCGTATTATACGCACAGGGAGCGTAAAAATGATATGCTATTAGTAGCTCTGTAATGGGGCAGAGAAGAGCATAAAGGCTTACAGTCCACTAGTTACTAGTTTGCATATGCTTTTACTTTTACTGATAGGACTAGTATCATGCAGATACTGATACATTCTATTTAGCGTACAGTAATGCGCAAACAACACTGGTTTTTAAGGAATTCAAAGGCTGAACTTTTACGTACCATTTTTGCATTTTACCAAGTACAACAAACAATGAACATTAGGCTCGGAAAGCACTTGTTGAACAAGGATCAGAATATAACGATATCATATCAGACGAACACACTAGCAAATTCACAATGCAAGAATTGAAACTTGATGAATTCACTCGCGAGCGTCGACTTATCCGCGACAGAAAAAATTTTCAATGCTGCCACTGCTTCATCATTACGTTGTTGAACTTCGCTTTCCTTTCCACATTGGTAGCGATTTTTGTAACTTAAGAAAAGGTTTGTATATGGCCTTTGCTACGGACACGATCCCCACCTTTGACCTTGGGGGGGCATCCATCAGGCTATGTACTTCAGTTTTTCTCTTTCCAAAATATAAACCTTTCATTTTTCAATGATCTCCAACTTTTTTTTTCCAATGCGTCACCAACGTTTCTTTTAATCATTGTCGTTGATTTTGCGTGTGTAGTGTACGAGATATCATAGAAAAAAAGTAAAGAACCGTTTTAATCGCTGTCTTGCCAACACTCTCCATCTGTAGGAAAGAGTACATACTTAAAACTCTACTGCCATTTAGTATTTGTAATGCTCTAGCATAATATACATCAAGATTATGCTGAATAAGATGCGCAGCCACTCCGGCGTGTTCTGGATATATACAAATGTTGGATCAGGGCCAATCGATGCCAGGGTAGAAAGCATGTACTACCAGCGTCACAAACATGTTGCCATAGAAACGAAAAGATCGTCCCATCATGAACTGAATATTTCAATATGGTTGCTTATATGCATATCATGGTATAGGAAGGATAATAGATAGGATTGTGCTGCTATACAGTGTGTGCTGTCAGCGTAGGCTGCTGTTCATCTATGGTCGTCCATAACCATCCCAGACATGCAAGGACACTACTATTTTACCAGTTGAATGCGTCTCAGTCTACCAGCGCACGTTGATATTATTCTGCATACCTGCTCACAGAAAAGTATTTCTTACGTGAATGTACATGCTCATTCGCATTCGTGTCTTTGTTTTCGCTTGACACGGTGCCGTGCACGGCCCCACTCACAAACAAGCGCCGATACCATCGTCGGAGGGTACAGCTCCGCATGGTGAGAGACACGTACCACTACCGCCGCAGCACATTTGTTTACTTGACCACCAAGCACACCCCCTTTCTTTTCCTTTCGTGATAGTCCCTTTGAGCCATATGCTGAAAGCCATACTATTAAGCAAGAGCCAATGAAAATCCATGGAACTTGGTGGAACTTTTTGAAGTCCCGAGCGTGACAGTCAAAAAACGTCTATATAAAGCGAGCAGTTTCGCTTTTCTTTTACTTCTTTTTTTTTCTTCACTTTAGTTCGTTTTGGAAAGGCGTTGGGCTGTATGCGCGGGAGTCACTGTCCGTGCTATGATCAGTTCCGTGCCAGTGCTGGCGATTGTTCAGAGTTTTCTGATGATTGGATGGGCTCAGTGGTCCGCCATGAAGAGATGACTGCAATGTACCAGTGCGGGTCAGTGGAGGGTGAGGAACGAACAGATTATTAATACTATTATTTATTACACACATTATTACACACAAATAAGAAAATGATAAACAAAATAAAACAATCTTTTTCTTTTCGCACTCTTCTCATAAACGTTCTACCGCTTTATTTATTTTTTTTGCTTTGCCTTTTTTTCGTGTGCTTGACAAGTTCCTTATTTTTTGGCCCACCCACAGCTCCGTGCTAAACAAAGCGCACAACAATGACAGACGACAGTAACACGATCGCAACGCGCTTTATCACACTTTGGAATGCACTTTGCACCTTTCCTTTTTTTACATTTCTGTCGTCGCGTAGTTCTGCTCGCGAAATAATCGAAAGGAAAGAATTTGTTGGGAGGGTATGGACTCTAGCAACAACGGCGCTTAAGGCAAGCTGTTCTAAGCTGAGAGAACCAGTTTAATGGTTTGTTTCGCTCGCCACGCCCCTTTCAACCCCTTGATTAACCGAAAACAGCCATGCTGGTCTATAATTTGACAATTTGTTTAAAGCTGCCCACATCCATCATTGCGGGCTTGGACGATCGGCAATCGCTGATTGCCGTGGGCATATACTCGTATGAGAAGACGCTGGCTACGGCGTTCAGCACACATTTACTCCAACCCAATCCAATACACGCTCAGTCATGCTGGTGATAAGATATCATATTAAACAACTTGCATAACACTATCCGCTATCATACCCCAATCCCCTCCTTTCCAGATACTTTTCCTTTTCTTTTGGATTTGAATTCGCCAATAGAACTTGTGGTGACAAGACATCCATTCTGAGTGCATCATCAGCCGCCCTTTTCTTGATAAAGATAAGAGATTTAAGAGATCACAAATGACATACGTCTATGCATCATAACGCGTCAGTCCATATCGGGTTATACCCTTACAAAAGCTGGATCGTCCGAGTATAATGTATACAATTCGGTTGGATTGTTTCCAAGCTACAGTGCTTGGCTGGTTGCCGTGGTAATTGCTGTGTATGCTTTTGGTTGATTTTTAGCCGAGTACCTTATTCTGATGATGATTTAGGTAGTGTAATGATGTGTTTTACCACAGTGTATTCATATATGTGTTTGCGCTCTGTATTCTCTTTTATAGTATAATAAAATCTGTGGCGAAGGTATTCTACCGAAATGCAAGCACACCATAGCCAGTGCTTATTTTTTATGTACTTAATACATAGGAGTTGACGGTTTACGTAAATGCAGGATCCGTCAATTCTCACACCTCTTTGAATTTCACTCAAAAATCGGGAATCTTAGCTTTGAGCTGTTGTCAGGTTACAGTGCCGCTGCGGGCTGCTCAACCCTGTTGATGATCTCTCCATTACAGCAAACAGCGCAATACCCTTCCGTCGACCATAAGATAAGACATTTAAAAAGAAAAAGAAAATCAGTTCGACGAACCGCCGAAACCCTCTGCTAATCAGACATTTACGTCGAAAGGCTCAGCACTATGTTGTGCGAGCTCTACTGTCTGAGATGCGGGTGTTATTGTTGCTCGCTCTTTCTAATCCTGTTCTTGCTCACCAGCGTTGCTGCTGCTTCTGCGGTTGTTGTTGTTGTTGTGATGGAGATGATGGTGGTCAAAACACTGATACGTTTCCAAGATTTATGAGTCCGTTGAAGCATCACAAACTGCTGATGACTGCATTCGCAAAGTACTGGTGCTGTAAAATCGTGTGTACGACAAGCACGATTCAGCCCCGAGGAAAACGTGCTTGTCAAACAGATTGCTGAAATTTGTTTTCCATAGCACAGTGTATGTATCCCAAGTTTTTTCTCGTGTGTATGTCCGACTTGGTCAATCCGGCGCTATAAAGTCCATGTTATCTATATACTCGAAATAGACATTGCGTAGGTCTAAACAATTGCTCAGCAGTTAAGATTTGTGAACGCGATATGGTGAGTGTAACATCAAACAAACCAAAAGAGACAGAATAAGTCAACGAGACCTCGATGGGATCTAAAACCGGGTTATCATGATAACAAAAGTACTCACCAGCATGTGCATTGAACATATTCATTGAGCTCATCCGAGTAAACGTCTCAGATAGTAGCTAATGTGAATTACATGATCTATATTATGACATCTTCTTCCTGAGCATAGCTAATCCGTGTAGCATCAAGATCTGTCTGGATGGGGAGATGTCCGCACATGTGAGGTTACAAGGGAAATCACAGCAATCTTTAATGACGGCTCAAAGGATATGATATGTGTTATTTATCATGTTCGACACAACACTCCAAATGCAAACTACCCTCCCATCTGCCTTCCGTAAAGCCTTTTCGTAGTGATCACACCATGGAAGTGGTCGTCTGTTTTATTTTCCATTGATGTACATGATTTTTATGGCTCATAATATTGCTGCGTGATGAAATTACCTATATGTTGTATATAGTGTACGCTTCACCCAACGACATCTACTTCCTTAATCCTAATCCATGTAGGAGAAGAAGACATGTCGTACTTGGCAAAGAATTCTTACGACTCCTTCAGAGAGACGATGTCGTGTGTTGACGGTAGGATATCGTGTTCGCGTGGCTAGTATAAGTATACACTTTCATTGAGACGATTTAGAAAATTAACTTAAAGACATCATTATGATACGAGGATGACTCTTGGTCTTTTATTTTGTATGAATATATCATCAGGTAATAGAACATCCCGTCAATATATAGTTGGTACAAGCATTATTTGCAGACAAGCCAAAGGACTATCAAAGAAAGAAGTTAGAGAAAGCCATAATACTTGAAGTATATAGTGAAACAAGCAACATTTGAAACAATCACTCACCACGTATTTCCAGAACAGATCGTCGCGGCCCCTGCCCTACCCTCCCATTGCTGGGAGAACCTCATCTTTTGTCTGGGCTCCAGAACCTATCATAGATGCAGATAGAAAGGAAACGAAAAACAATTATCCCCGGCAAAAGAGAAAAAGGTTAGGCATCGCCCAATCCGCGAACCAATCCTGATAAGTCTTAACAACTACAGCAACGAAAGCACGTAGAGAATCATATTATATAGAAGTACCAGAAGAATGCTAACCTAGTTGAAGAAGCATGCCCAGAGGCTAGGCTTTACAGTATGAATATGTTCAATTCCATATTTGGTGGGGTGCCTTTAAGGGCAGAGATGGAGTGCTCGTAGCAAAAGCCTTTGTATATATAACCCCCGTTTCCTGGCGCATATAATTTGTAGGTATGGTAAGAGAAGTGTTGAGTCTTATATCAGACAACGTCGTATTGAGCGGTAGCAAGAAGTAATAACAATGCTTAAAAAGAGGGGACACCATCCTGCTGTGCCATTGAGTGTGGTCCTTCTCGTTTCGCGTCAAAATTTCAAATCCAGTCGAAATCTCGGTCAAAGTTGACTCACATAATATAATAGCGCAGGATTTTTTTTTTCTACATTAACATACACACACGCACACATGGGAGTAGAGATGGGACAACAAGTTTTATACTGCGGTGGTAAGCTTACCCTTGTTATAAAAGAAGGAAAATCACATTCCCACAGTGGCTAATCATTGAGCTTTGCCATTATTAGTTTGCACAATGCCACCAGAGGTTAGATTTCGGGAGGGGATAAACACGATCAGCGAGCAATTATTCTAGAAAAACTGCAGTTTGTTGGAGTAAACTAAACGATCAATATCCCTGTAGTACTGTGAATTCAGTGGTACTCAGAACAAATGTAAAGAATGGCTCCAGGATAATCACGAAGACGTGTACAACAAGATGTATGGTGGCGACGATGTTGATGGTAAGAAGGATTCCTTTTTTTTTGGTGTAAAAAAAAAGGGGTGGGGGAAGAAAGGACAAAGGAGATCATTATGGACTGACTAAAAGGAGAATGTCTTGGTGTAAATGATTAAAACAATAGCCGTGACGGAAAAGGTTGCTCAAGTAACGGTCGAAGGCACTGGTGCTGAGGCAGCTGGCGGCGAGGGTCGATCTGGCAGAACATTTGTCAAGGACAAGTCAGCCAAGTTGGAAGCCAAATTGGAGCGCGAAAACCAAAAGAAGCAGGCAAGTAGTAACGCTTGATGGGTAAGCAGTACAATGCATCATTAACAATAGATCACGTATCTAGTCATCGCGAGTGACGGTCAAGCGGGTTGAGAGAACAAAGAGGAAATGCGTCACGATCGTGCATGGATTGGAAGTTTTCGGTGAGTCTACGACTATTAAATTGGAGCTTTATGAAGATTTATGATTTGCATAAGGAGAGAGAGACAGAGAGAAAGAGCTAGTAGATGTTAATGAATTTGAGGGGTGGTGTTCCTGTTCTAGACGTGGAGCTGAAAAAGGCAGCCAAGATGTTTGCCAACCGATTCGCCTGTGGATCGTCCGTGGCCAAAAATAACCAGAACCAAGACGAAATTGTTGTACAGGGCGACTTCTCGGATGACATCCACGATCTGATCCTGGCACAGTGGAAGCAAGTGCCCGAGGACAACATTGATCTTGTCGAGGAAACGAAGAAGAAGAAGGGCAACTAAAGAAAAGAACGAGAGAGTTTAAATATGGGAATAAAGCAACATATACTGTATATACACACCACCTTTTGGGCAGCACCGTGGAGCATGCCAGTAATGTGTACTCGTGCAATCAATTTGTCGTAGATCATAGAAATATGGCAAGTCGAACTCAATATGTCTCGTGTAACCGTGTTAATGTCCAAACAATTTTGTGTGTGTCTGCTATGGAACCACTTTTGCTTTTTTGCAACAGCAGCTTTCTCTTTTCTTTTCTCTTCTCTTCCCCATTCCACATTCGTTTCTCTTCCTTTTTACATATAGTCCCCCTTCCCTTCTTTATTTTCTTGTTTTTTTCTTTCCATTCCTTTCGTTTAATAAAAAACAGTAACCATGGCAGGAGGCTCGAGATTCACAATGAGTCGCGATCGTTTAGCTGAACTAAGAGTGAGCTTATATACACCCACAACGACGCAAACCGAACTTATACTAAAGTCTATATTTTTGACTGTTACAGGGCAGCGGTGGTCAGGAGAAATACGAGTAAGTGATTCGACAGATACACATCGAGAATATCCACTTGGCGCTTCTATACTACCATCACTATAACTGCTGCTACGTTACTAAAACCCTCCTTTTGCTATAGTCGCTTAGGGTAATACGCTCGGGGAACAAAAAGGATTCGAGGAGTACAGTTTCACGGATCCATACGGGTGAATTGACAGCCTTTTGCTTTCCCAAATTTTTAGCGACGATGATTATCCAGCACCACCCGTCCCTGCCATGCCTAACGCTGCTGGACAGCAAGCTGGTGCCGGACGAGGATACAACAATGATCGTAGCTATAAACCTCCAGCTCAACCTGCGTCCACTTACACAAAGAAAACTACCAAAGAACAGTATGAGATGACTGAAGTCAAGAACGCTCCTAACGATCTCGGTTCAACTGAAGCATTCTTTCGCGAGGTTCGTAAATCTTTCAATCCAACGATATTTTGCGCTATCGCGATCCCTTTGTCACTCAATGAAAGTGTCAAATAGGTCGAAGAAATCAAAGAACTTATCCGAGATATCAATGTCAATATCTCCGACATTGAGGAACTCCATGGCGCTTCCATGATCAACATTAGTGAAGAGCAAATGTCAGAAAACAACTATCGCTTGGAGCAGTTAAGCAAAAAAACGACAAAGCTGAACAATGAAGCGAAAAAGAAGATTAAAGGTAAAGAAAAAGAAGCCTGTGATATAGGAGTCCCGAGCAAAGTGAAAAGCTGAGTGTCCTTTTCTTTTTATATTGGGCCTTTTTAATTAACTTTTCATATATTTAGCGCTTGAATTGAGTAATGCCCGCCTTCCTGCATCCTCGGGTGATCGCCCGATGCGTGTGACGCAGGTACGACCATGGCACAGATCACGACACACAAACACAGAGAGCACATAAACATGGCATATATCTAACGTGCTACTATGAATCTCTATAGCACGCAGCACTGAAGAAGCGGTTCATCGAAACGATCCAAAGATATCAGGATATTGAACGAACTTATCAACAGAAATACCGTCAGAGAGTGGAACGTCAAATCCGCATCGTGAAACCAGACGCTACGCCCGACGAAATTGAACAGGTCCTTGATTCGGATGAAGCACCTCAAATCTTTGCACAATCGGTAAAGATGGGAGGATTGATCCTCTTGCTTTCTTATGGCAGTCTGGGAGCTTGTGTCGTCTTCTGTATGAAAAAGGGATGTGATCTCAACCTCTTTTTTATCTTTGATCTTTTATACAGCTCATGAACACAAACCGTTCTGGTCATGCAAATGCTGTGCTTAATGAAGTCCAGTCGCGTCATGATGATATCAAAAAGATCGAAAAGACCATCCTGGTAAGTGGTAGTAGTGGTAGTAGTATGTTGATATCTTCCATGTGCTGCTTACGGTGGATGACTGACTGATCATGCTATATTATCTAGGAACTGCATCAATTATTCGTGGACATGCAAATGATGATTGAGCAACAAGGAGAGGTGCTGACAAACGTTGAACAGCAGGTGGAATCGACGGTTGTTGACCTGGAGCAGGGCAATAAGGATGTTGAGAAAGCTATTGGCAGTGCCAGAGCTACCCGTGCGGTAAGTTTCTTTCTGATTTCACTGATCTTCCGCATAAGATTGAATGCATAATAAAGTAACTCAAATCTGACGACTCCTGTCCCAATCTACTTGATTTTTTTATACAGAAAAAATGGTGTTGTTTTGTCATTGCAATTATTATCCTGGTGGTGATTGCTATTCTTGTATGGTGGTTCGCATTCGATCATCCTGGCGTTAATTAGACCTGCCCCCCTCTTGTCCCTCTCACTCTCTCACTCTCTTTTCCCCCTCATTTCGTACTCACACGCATCTCTATTCTTCTTTTATTACTTACACCCTAAAAATTCATGTATAGTTTTTTTTTATTTATTGATTTTTGTACAAGTTTTGCGTTGATCCGGGTAGCGTATAGCGCAAACTTTTTTTCTTTTCTCTCTTGCATCTTTATATCTATCATAGCAGCAAGCAAGCAGCTTTTAAAATAACTTCCTCTCTACAACTACACATTATATCATTATCATTACCATATCAGTTATCTTTGCTTTCGTTCATTGAGTGGGTATTATATGTCAGAGGCTTAAAAGAAAAACAAGTAGCCTTGAAAAACGTTGTCATTAGGGGAGGAGCTGTTACTGTTCTGTATAATGCTACTACTGTATGAGGGGCATAAACCAGGAGTAAAGAAAGAGCTGGGCATATACTATGTGTAGCATCAGGAGAGCTTGTTTTGTGTGTACTGACATCGGCAGAAAACAATGTCTGTGTGTCCGTAGGGACATGTCAGCATGTAGGTGATAACATAATATGTTTTTGGCCCCTTATTTATCTTACCGATCACGGGTTTTTTTCCTCTCCTCAATGTGATCCGGGATTGTGGTATGTACGTATTCGAGGATCAAATCCTATTTGGACATGCAGCACTAATAAAGTATTAAATCAAGTACTGATCCACGGACTTTGCTGTACATAGTATCAGTTGTATGTTACACCAAAACAGCACAAGGCGCATCGTGACACTTTGAAGTACGCGATACTGTCTATTGAAAATCGTCAAGGTTTGATTGTTTAGAGAAGGTTATCGAAAAATTCCATTAGCAGCCCCGGCGCAAAAAGAAGAATATCATGTCATTTGTAGTAGTAGGAGTAGTATTCAAATTGTGTGCTTAGTTTTGACAGCGAATATCACCTCCTTGACATTTTGCAGGGGACCCTGTAAGGGTTAGTGGAATTACAATAGGCACGTTTTTTTATTGCTAATTGCCGTTTTCAAAGCTTCTTCCAAAGAACAACAACAACGACCCTTTTGAAATTCACACGCTAAATAAAAAATTACTCGTAGTAGTACACATGTACTTCATAAAAAAAGGATCTGCGTGCTTCTCCCGATCCTGTCCCGTTTCTTTGCCCGCTCTTTTTCTTTCTCTTTAAATAAACCTTATTCGTACTTTGATTTATCAATAGATCAACGACACAATACGGATAATACTACTGATGACGTCTTTGATCAGCATTTTTTGATGTACTTAAATTACGAGGAGAAGAGAGAGAACAAGAGTATTTGTGTTGTGTACGTGGTAGTTTGTAGTTAAGGGGGGCGGGTGAAATGGTAGTAAGTAGGTCGTCAGAGAAGTTAGATTACTATTATCATTTGTTTTTTGGCTGTTTGTGTTATTATATAATATAAATTAGAGCTAAATACGGCCGAATTGGGTTTTTCTTTTCTCAGCACGGATATTACGCTGGCGCTGAAGTTGACGGATATGTGTCTCGCAATAAATGCGGCGCTCGAACATATAGTAGGTATCTGTGATTTCGCAACGACAAACCTGCATGTTTTGAGCATATATGTATATTGTGCACATGGTGTCGTATTTGTGTATGTGCAATAACGAATATAAGATGCTTCTTGAGTCTCTCGCAAATAAAGGAAAATCCATAATGTGGTATGACGCATATATAAAAAAGGAGTGTTGTACGTACATTGCATCTAAAGCAAGCTGGATGGAATCGCCAGCCTTCTATGGTTTGTGCACAGGGGCCTTCAATAGGCTCATCACACGTTCGGCAAAGCGAGTTATTGAGTTGATGATAGTGGCGTTTACAATAAGGTGCGTTGTCAAAGACGTAAAAGGTGTTATCCGGGAATTCTCGATGACACGTCTAGTTGAATGTATCAATGTAAAATATCCACAGGTTAATCAAAGAAAATCAATCGACTAATTATTAATTACAAGGGGAGCGGGTAGGGGGGGGTGGAACAAGATCTTCTCTTACGTGACATCCAAAACACTCGAGATGCCATTTTCCTTGTAATTTACCGTCCGTCGCCGATACAGCTTGCCGTTCAACGGGCTTACCACATGCGCGACAAGACGGTAAAAATAAAGCTTTAAAGTCAGCGCGGCAATAGAGACGACCCTGATGTTCTTTGTAACCGGTGCGTTCGTCAATAGGCTGATAGCAGTGATAACATTTCACATGGCCAGGGTGATAGTGCTGTCCCAAAGCCTTAATTGAGTTAGCGTTGGCAGCAATAAGGCGATCGCTATTGAAAGATTATGATATAGGTTGAAAGCAAAAGGTGTGAGCAAATTGTGTGTGTGTGTGTGCGCGTGTGCGAGCGCGATATATGCCTTTGTTCAACATCAGTGCCAATCGAACGTTTGAATGTTGTGATACATTACCATCCTGCACAGGTGATACGCTTTTTCACCACATTGTAATCCCGTTCACAATACAGTTTGCCGTTATGTTCAAAACAAGGGCGGCGGTGGTCAAAGGGTGCGCGGCATAGCTGGCAAGTGTAACACTGCTTATGGTAGTACTTGTTGCGATCATTCACCACATCGTCGCGGTAATCAAACTCGTCGCCACATTGTGCACAGTGGTCTGCAGAAGTAGCAGCACTATTTGGATGATACGCTCCCATGCTGTTATTACTCTGGTCAATAGGTCGTTGCGTGCTGTCATTGATGTCGCTACCAAAGCTGTTCATCAGATCTGCCATCAATGTATCCAATGCTCCTCCTCGTTCTTTGTTTACATCGTATCCTGTTTAAAAGACACAATTCATTACATCATCTCTTCTCTATTCGTTCTCCAAAAAGAGAGCAGTTTTTCCCTTTTTCGGCGGATATCGTTCCCATACCTTTGCCATTATCGAAATAATCTCGTGGCGAGCCATTAATATTATTATTGTTATAAAGTGGTGATGGTGGTGGTTGCTGTTGTGCTCTTGCTCTGGATGGTGTATAGATAACCATGTTTATATATAAATAACTTTTTGCAACAGAATATAACTGGCCGGGTTGTATGCTGCCCGTTCAGCTAACCGCGGACTGGCTGGCTGCAGCATTGGAGAATAAAACAAGAGCCGATTCAACCGAATAGTCAACTTACTTTTTAGTTGGATCACCAGGAGCAGGGGAGGTACTGTTTAATGGTCGATCATAGGCGGGAAAAACGCCTGTTTTAGGGCTCTTGCTACCGCCATAAGGATGGTACTCACTATCATTACTATTAAAACGCGGCGATGATCTATCATCACGAAACAGCGGTGGGGATCGTTGTCCACCACCTAATGACGAAGACGATGGTGAGGATGGTGGTTGTTGTTGTTGCTGTTGATATTGGTGATCTTTCACTGACGGTCGTCGTAATTCGGACACCAGATTTTGATAAGGAGGCGTAACTGGACTACGTTGTTGACTCATGTTGCTGTATTTGTCGCTTGCAGGTTCGTATCGCTTAATACTGTGTAGAGGGCTGATTGGAGACGGAGACTTGGATGCCATAGTGTATTTATCTGCACAAATTTGTGTGATTTGCTCAGTCAGTCGTTGTATTTTTTGTGCTTATAACAAATCAAAATACACATAGAACATTGTAATTAAGAAAAAACTATCGTAAAGAAAATCATTAGACTGTTTAGTATACCTCTGGCTATAAGATACTGTAATCCATCATCATCCATCTACTGCTTTAAACAAGAGAGATCTAAAGACATACCAAGGGAATGACCTGTTCTAATTGCGTTCCCCCCAGAGACACGCTTCTCATCCTCTTCCCTCACCTTCACAGTGGGGCAAAAAAGAATGAAAGAGATGCGACAGAAGAATAGAAGAGAAACGAAACCAGATCATGGTACAATAGGTACACGATTTTGATTTTGTGGGACTGTTTACCTTGTTGGCGCGGCAGTATGGGCAGTGCTGGAACAGCTGGCATGTTGGAGCAGACGTGTTCGCCAAGTCTGCGAATTTGGACATCTTCACCGCAGTCTGAGCACTTTACTGTGGGCAAAATCTGGGAGATCCGCTCTTTTGCCAACATTATGTGAGAATTGGAGATGAGAAAAAAGGGAAAAGGAAGAGGGAGAGAGAAGAAAAAAGAGAGAGGGAGAGAAAGGGCGACTGCAACACAAGAAAACACACAGGTCGTACACAGGCTCATGCGCTTTTACCCAGCAAAAAACTCACTCGTGAGTGCTTCCCTCGACCAATAAGGTGCTGTTCCTGCAATTAACAAGTGTGCCGCGCTTTGAAGAAAAGAGAGCTCCGCGGACGAAACCTGCTCTTTGCTTCCTTATTTTTTTGACATAATCCACACTTCTATACTACATCCGACATGTCAACATTTAAAGCCGTAATTCTCGTCGGTGGTCCTTCCAGAGCTACGCGTTTTCGTCCTCTCTCACTCGATGTACCCAAGCCCTTGTTCCCAGTAGCAGGCGCTCCTATCATTTCACATCATCTGTCTGCACTGTCTAAAGTAGATGGTTTAAAGGAAGTCTTGATTGTTGGCTTCTTTGAGGATAACGTGTTTGCTCGTTTTGTCGATGATGCCGCTTCAGAATTCCCCAATCTACACATTCGGTAACTATATAAAAAATCCTACACAGCTGACGCTTACATAAAGCGCGTCTTCCTTTTCTCTTATATGCATACACACACACACACACACACTTATGTGAACACCATCTAAACAACAGCTACCTCCGCGAATACCAAGAACTCGGTACTGCAGGTGGTCTCTATCATTTCCGTGACGAGATTCTGCGTGGCAATCCACAACAGTTCTTTGTTATCCACGTGGATATCGCCTGCTCGTTCCCACTCAATGAGATGGTCGAGGCCCATATGAAGCACCGTGGTTTATGTACCATGTTGGGTACAAAGGTAATATAAAAGATAGTAATTTATCGTAAATAACCGGCGAAAGAATAACTTTGGGTTATAGGTCCCTCGTGAGCAAGCAACGAAGTACGGTTGTTTGGTAGCAAAGCCGGGCACGAACGAAGTACTCCACTATGTCGAGAAGCCAGACTCGTTCATTTCGGATCTGATTTCATGCGGTGCGTTTTTGTTTGATACTGCCGTATTTGGTGAGATGAAAAAGGCCATAGACCGCAAAAAGGACTCTACAGAAGAAAACGACTATCTGTGGACTCCCTCAGATGATAAGCTGCGGTTAGAGCAGGATTTGTTGCGTCCATTGTCCGAGCAACGTAAATTATATGTCCATGTTACCGGGAAGTTCTGGAGACAAATCAAGACGGCGGGGTATGTAAAAAAAAGACATTAGTGCGCTTGGCTATATAGAAGATGTAAACGATGATGTATTATATATACATACGTGCTAAAAGAAATCTGTATGTAGATCGTCGATCCCAGCTAACGCTGCCTACCTCGAGCTGATCGCTAAAGAATCACCTGAAAAATTGGCTGTGACCAAGCAGAATGGACCAGAAATCATTGGTGCAGTGTACATACACCCTTCGGCTCATGTTGATCCAACCGCAAAGGTAAAACTAAAAAGTGGATACGAAATGAAAGACGATTTTATATACTAACTAATTATACAATTTAGATTGGTCCCAACGTGTCGATCGGTCCACGTGTCGCAGTTGGCAAGGGCGTGCGTATTAAGGATTCCATCATCTTGGATAATGTTCAAATTGGCGTAAGTTGTTTTGGTATAGCATCAGTAAAGGACTATAAGCTTATTAGACTTTGATTGTTGATCCGTTGCGTACAAACACGTGATCAATTTGCGTATTTTGTATAGGCTGCTAGCTGCGTTCTTCACTCAGTGATCGGTTGGAGTAGCAAAATTGGCACATGGGCACGTGTGGAAGGTAGCCCCGCCAGCGATCATAACATCGACATGATGAAGAACGGCGTCAAGAGTCAGAGTATCACAATTTTGGGTAAGTTCTCTTACACTTTTTGCCCCCACTAAGTGATATACTAATCCAAACAACATGTATGTAGGCAAGGAAGTACTAGTTGCTGATGAGATTATTGTCCGCAACTGCATCGTCCTTCCCCACAAGGAGCTTAAATCCTCGTACCATAGCGAGATTCTTATGTAAAAAACAATATTTAATTGAAAGAATATTAGGGTATACTTTCCAGTGATCCAGAGTACAAAGTATATAAACAAAGCAAAATACATCCACATATTTACTTCTATCCATTTTGATCTCATGTGTTGTCTTGGCAAATGTATGTGTGAAAAATTTATCCAAAAGGAGGTCTGCCGCTGATTCGATCTCCATGCACAGATTCACCCAAGAGTTGGCGAGATTGTTGGACGCAGTTTCAATCAGAACCGTCATGCAAATTTGGAGCGTTTGTCATATTGCCCGTCCTCACGTTTTTTTCTTCTTTATACTTTATCTCCCAAAACCATTTTCAATGAGGTGTTGACATGGACTTAACTAAAACGTAAAATATTTAAAGAATCTTGCTCTTTATATTCTTTATGCAAAATTGCTCAAAAGTATTAATAAACTTTACGTGTAAAAATATAGCTCACCACCGCGGCACCAACAGCACCAACATTCGGAATCGAGACTAGACATTTTACGCGGAGCGATCAGTCGTTACTCTCACATTATCAATACTGACACAAAAAACCATTGGAGAAAGTTAAAAACCCAAAACCTTCCGAGATCGTCAAGAATCCATGTCCACAAGCGATCCGGAGGAGCTTCCGAAATTTACAAGATCGAGGTCGATATTACTGCTCGAGCCGACCGCACTTGGACACTAAGCAGTTGGCATGCATTATTCCAATCTGTCGGAACTCGGAAACTATGTATGTTTACTTCTACAAACGCATATATAATCCGTCACTTTTTACAGTAAAGGATGTATGTACTTAATTTTTGCGAATTGTTGTATCCTAATAGGGGATCAGATGATGGATGAGGTGCAGGTCTTGGACAGACCCGATTCAAACACGGTTATTACACATAGAACTTTCAAGGGCAGCAGCAATGAAGGGTAAAAGAAACAAAGAAAATATCAATGGATTCCCGATTGTTTGAGGCACGTATTTAATAGGACCCTATTATTTGAAAAAACACAACAGATGCGTGTTTGCAGAGAGAACAATACGGAAACCCAGCATGATACGTCACATTGTCACAACAACAACGCCCCATCAGGACGACAACGAACAGTATGCAGCCGCGTGTCCGGCCTTGGCTGGCTACGACGTACGGATATCTCCCGAAGACGACCCCAACTTGGATTCGCGTGTCACCTTCTACTATGAAATCGTATCACCGACGCTATCAGAAGATGTACTCGAGCCGTACGTTCTCTCGCTTGTGACTGGGCCATTGTCAACACTGGCATTACATGGTGCCCCACCCGATATTCTTCGTGAACCAGATTCGTTTGTTAAGAGTCTAGTCTACAATCCCGATAGACGCACTTGGGATCTTGTTTACCAAGTGTCAAACGCAGCGTCATCGATAGGACAGCATCAGCATCATCCATCATCGTCATCTTCTTTCGCAACAGCGAGTGGTGGAAAAGTCGGCAGTGGAGGAGGAGGATCAGAACCAGCGTCACCCTCATCTGCCGTTGGGAGTATTAGCATCCAACCCCCTCGCAAAGGCAGCCTTGCTTCGAGTAGTATGCATTGGCAAGGAGGAACAGGTTCATGGGATCGATCCAATACATCACCACTACAGCTTGCATCATCGCTACGTCATCGACGAGGTAGCTTTATGGGGCCGTTGCTACTACCACCGTCATCCTCTTTATCATCGATACATTCACGAGGATTCCACAAAGCATCGACGGCTATATCTCCAACGATTTCACCATCCTCTCCGCAACAAAAGCGTGTCTTGTTTAGCTCGTCGTACACGTTTGGCAGGAATGATGACACGAAGAGCAACAGAGGGATGGAATGGGGCCGAACACCAGACTTAGTAGTTGAATTGGACAGCAAGACATGGGCCGGACGATCAGCAGCAGCCGTTGATTTACAGTTGGAAGTGTCAGTGGCGGGTATGGGTGAATTGGACTCGAAAATGGTCGACCAATTTGCTCAGTTGTGCATTCGGTGTTATGCGGAACGACAGCCACCACCTGACGATGACAGCTACTACCGCTATTTTGTGACACTGTACCACCCTCCACAGCTGATCCAGTACCTCATTAAAGAAAACGAGGAGTCGGCAGCAAACTTGGCTCGCGAGCCTGTGACGGGGCCGCGCGACGAAATTAATGTGAATTTGCGACTTACGCCCAGAAAGCGAAGCTCTGGTAACGACGATATTGGAGAAGAAGACGCACAACAATCGGATAATATGGATTTTGCGCTGTTTGTGAATGGGAAAGAGTGGCCTTTTCGTTCTTGGGTCGGTGAATCTTTGTTTTTCGACGAAAACAGTAGTGGCACTAGCAGTGAAGAGGATGAGGATGTCGATGTCGATATCGATATTGGTGATCATGATGTTTTCGTGGACGACATGGAGGATGGAGATGTCAATGAGAATTTTGTCGCAACAAAAGAAATGACACCTTCCATCGAGCTCGAGCCAGTGGCCGTTAGCCGATCGTAAGTAGGGGCTGGAAACATTTTATCATCTTGGTCGATACTAACTACATTGAATTGAATCCTCTGTCAGCGATCAAATAGTTTCAACATCATCATTATTAGGTGAAAATCAAGGGTCAAGCACAGCAAGCTCAAAGGAATATGCAGCAACAGAAGAGCAGAAAACGGAACATTATGACACTATTGAGAACGCTGAACAAGAAGAAAAGCAAGAGCAAATGGAGCCAAGGATGAGTAAAGAAGGAGAAGCTGACGATGTCATGGATATCCCAAAGACCGATCCGGAACCTGTCCTAAGGATGCGTAACTACTTTGAACGATTGATCCGGTCTGAAAAATGGAATATGGTTCAAGCACCCGAGCCAAGTAATTTATTTGTGACCATTCGAAAGCTGGAGGTGCCGGGTCATCCAACAGGGGCTTACCTTAGCGAGGCGGTCTGGAACGACTGTAGCGTTTGGGACGTCAAGGCGGTGGTGAGTTGCGTTGGTGCTAGAAAAATATGTACGTATATCAATTATAGAGGACACATCTTGCTGTGTAAGCATATTAATAAGTACCGTGCACATACACGCGAGTAGGGGATTCAACGTATGAGGATGGTGTATTCCTGCATCAAGTATCCAATACATGCACACTGTGGCACCACAAAATGAAAGGATTTTGGACAGTCAGGTAAGGTTTCCCTATTGGAGAGTTGTCAATATTATATGGTTCTTTTCTCACTAATTGAACCAAAACATTTTGAAGTCCTCGAGACTGTGTAACATTTACAAGTGCATATACGTCAGCGTCGTGTATTGATCTTTGCTCCACTTCATGCATGAACGACTCTTATGATCACCACAGTTTACCGACCAATACGCCTGGCTATGTACGCGCACGTTTGGATTTGTGGAATTGGCGAATTGAAAGAATTGATGGTGAAGCAACCTCTGTCAAGCTTATCAACCAGGCCAATCTCCAAGGCTGGATACCATCGTATGTGCCCAACAGCTTATCCGGTCACAATGCTGATCTCGTTATGCGCGCACACCAATTCTTCAATAAGCATGGAGCACCCCCAGACTTGACCATGCTCGAACACGGTAGTCTTGTCAACGTTTCATACGATCATCATCGACAAAGCTGGCGTTGTGAATATACTCGGTGGACAGAAGATAGCACCAGTACGTCAGAATCATCAAGTACATCGGCTGAAGTGCGAATTCGAAGACGTCTGGGACGAAGCTATAACGTTGTGATTGATCCACCACCATCATCGGTCAAGGCGAGCACTCGAACACATGATCCCTATGGTATTTGGCTCGAAATCAGTCACCAGGAGAGCGACATCATTCCCCAACGTGGAAAGATATTGCTTCTAATCAAACCAGGATTTGACGACGATCAAGAAAAGGTGGTGATCAATGGTGATGCTACTGCTGTGGACAAAGATTTTGTCAAATCAATGCGGATAAAGGAAAAGCTTGTTGTCAAAGTGGATCACGGCATTGAATCTGATTCTGATGAACCACCGCCGCAAGTCATGCCTCGACAAGCTTCTGCTGCTCAAGCACCTATTACAGCAACAGGATTCATTGAAGACGACGAACAAAGGAAAGCAGTATCTGCACTGGGAGGAGAAGAAAAAGGTGTAGAAAAGAATATTACGACAATAATCGAGAGTCTACCGAAGTCTCCGGAAGATCTTGCACAATCAGCCCTAGCATTTCTTACACGAGTGTCAGACCAACAGTTTGGATGGTCAAACGTATCTGACAAGAACGGTTTGAAGGTCAGTAAACGACCAGGTACCGCGAAATTGACAAACAGCTCTACCGAAAAGATAATGCAAATGTTTATGGGCGAAGCAATGGAGATACCCGAACCTTCGGTAATTGTCAAAGCTACCAAGGTTATTGAAGGCTTTTCGTTGGAAGAAGTAGCATCCATCGTTACAAATACGGGTAATCTTCGCAAACAGTACGATGAAGCAGTGGAAGAGATCGAAGTGCTTGCTCGACTACGAAATGGATGTCAGATCGTCCGGCAACTAGTTAAAGGCATATTTCCTTTCAAGTAAGCTGGTATTTCTACAAATCATATATTAATTTTTCGGTAGCAACGTACTTAACATAAAAGTTACTGTTAAATATTGTATCGACAGATCCCGAGAGATCTATGTATCTGCATGTACAGCTTATGAAAAAGCACATCTCACGACCAACCCCTCCGCCAAGCGTATTCTTTATGTTGAAGCATCTATACCCAACTTTCCCAGTTCATCCGATCCATCCAAACGACCACCGGCCCTATTTTTCTTATCCGGATGGATTTTGGAAGCCATTGATCCATATACCACAACTACCAACCATCCCATTCCAAGCATGCGTGCCACATGCTTAGCATCTCTAGATTTGGGATCTTCTGTACCAGCATACATGAGTAATCTGGTCACCACGGGCCTTCCAAAACGAATGAAGGCTCTTGAGAAGCTACTACACTCACAAGGACCAGCACCGTATTTGGGACATCCATATGCAGCACAGGTCTTTTCTGGCGGTAAATTAGTCGACGAGCTATCAGCTCAAGGCCCCCTCGAATGGACCATGGTCGATATTACTTATGACAAGGACAAATATGTCTTCACTTGTGACGCGTCGTTTCGACTGTTATCATCACCATCAAAAAAGACGATTGGAAACGTACCCAACAAGTCCAATTTGAGCACGTCATTAGTAAAATCAAATCGACAGCAACAAGGATCAGTATCCACAGGATCTATGACGGCAACGACGAGTAGTAGCACAACGATGGGCAGCAACAGTAGTGTTTCAAGTGATATAAGCAGCAGTAATGCCACCATTTCTACAACCTCAAAGATTGCGTGTGGTAGTACCGGCCGAGCAGGTGGAGGAGCCGTGACAACGAGCATCCCTCCTGGAGAAACATCCGCATCCATTGCTACGACAACACCTCCAACAGCAACCAAGAGCTCAACATCTTCATCATCTCGAAGCAACGATACTAATACCTCCTTACTGCGAGCCATCCTTGATTTACGAAACTACAGCAAGGGATATGAACTCAATGTCAATATGAACCGACGCATGAGTAACAGCAGCAACAACGCTACCACCACAATTGCAAAGAATGTGCTGATGACAGGCGGCGAAGAAAAGGATGTCTCGAGCATGCTATCCGTCAATGTATCTGAACTGGCTCCTGAACCATCCCACCTCATTGCAAATACCAACAATAACGAAGTAGTACCTCGAAAACACGCCATCGAAATTACAGCAAAAACAGCAATGCTAGCGCACGACAAAGTGTATGCTTTGGAACTGCAATTGATACCCGTTACCGAAGAATGCTTACAAAAGCGTGAAACAAGACTGACAGTTTCTGGCGTCCTTGGCGAGGATGATGGACAATGGCATGGTATTGTAATGCTTAACGGACAAGAGATGAAAGTCGATTCCACAGTTGAGGTCGCAGCTTCACCTATCATCGAAAGCCCAGTCATACACCAATCGTACCATCAGCTTGATCAAGAAGATGATCCGGAGCTGCTGGTAACGAATCAACAGCAGCAGCAACAACAACAACAACCCTATGATGAAGCCAATGCATCCGTAGAGCATAATCTGGACGAATCAGTATCTGTGTTAGGCGGTGGTGTTGTAGCAGCTGCTCTTGGCGGCGTCTCAGCCAGTGTCAATGTGAGATTCTCTCCTTCCTTTGGTTTAGGAAGATTCGATTTTAACACCATTTTTTTTCATCTAGCAAATCCAAGATTTTCGTACAAGAATGTTTTCGCCTTTCCGCAATTCTACCTCGTTTTTGGCTGGTGTATCTACTGCAGACGAGGATGATTTCTTTGAATCACCGGCTTCAACACCATCAGAGTCCTCGATAGAAGGAAAAGATGCATTCCCAATGCCTACTACTGGTGATGACACTGCTACCACTGCTACACAACATGTACAACATCGACGCAGTCGACATCGCTCTAAATCCGCGCCGGATTCTGTTACGCGGCGGACAGCATCAGCAACAGTAAGAAGAACCACTGGTACATCAACAATCAACAAAAGTGGTTTTCTTGTCATGATTCTACTGTTACTACTTATCTTGATGGCAACGATACGAATACCGACTAAAGAAGAGGTGCTGGACACCTATACCAATGCAACAAGGTTACGGCAATTATGGCGAATACCTTGGATGAGCGGCTGGCATATTGAAATTATCGCTGTGCAACATCAGTGATTATTCGCTTTTCTCCTCCACTGTGTTTGCGTTCGTTCCTTTATGTTACATAGTATATAAATTGCATTTCTCTGATTGTAAATAAATTCTCTTATATCTTAAGCTGTTGCCGAAATCATTCAGTTCGTTTTGACTGATACGGCTGTAACGCGCTGCCTTTCTTTTACCTCCACGTTCCTCCTCCATTGAGCGCAAAAGAGGCGCTATCATACACACAAGTGACCAAAAGGCGGCTGTCATAAACCGAGCAACTAAAAGGATGAACGAAACTCCGTACCATATTTGCAAACAAAGTTAATGTCTTATGCGTTGCAATATCGTAGACTTTCGTGGGATAAACTTATGGACGGATCGCAGACATACCGGATATTGAATATTTCCAAGATGAAGAAGGACGAGGAAGGTGGAGTTTGGATGTCATGATAATGGATGTTGTCTTCCGAGTGAAAGGAGTGATTTTCGCCTTGATCAGTGTTCCTCGATGCAGTACGTTATCGAGAAAGTGAAGGGTTGAAATCGGGTCAACGTTCCACCGGTTACCATGGCAACAAGCGTTACAGGATACACTGAGCGTTACTGGAAACAGACAGCATGTATGTAATAGGGCGTTAAAGTGCACTTATGCTCTTATATAATATGCATGGGATCCCACAAACAGCTCACGAACAGTTCCAGATCGCTCCACCTACTTCTTACTCTCAAAAGCCTTCTCATGCCTTCTTTTTTATTAAAAGATTCTATTCACTAAAGAATACTCTTAGACTATACTATACTTTGACGCACCATTGTAACACAGCTGCACTAGCGATCTCTGATTCTTAGATAATGGAATTCCAAGTTCAGCTGAAGAATAAAGAGAATAAGAACGCATCCACAACCAGTAAGGTACACACGCACTACGTTTCGTGCCAACAAGGCTGCAGTAATGTTGTTGTACATTTCCCATTTTCTGACCTCATGGACCGACCGAGTTTTTGAGTTTCTTGCCTACATTCTACTCGCCAAGATCTTTCACGAGTCGCTGTTACTTCCCTCCATTTATGGCTTCATCACGACAATGTCAGCGGTATTCTTTAGCAGCTATGTCGGTCATTGGGAAGACAAGTTTCCTCGGCTACCATTCGTCCGCTATACCCTGCTAGCACAAAAGGCGGCCATTATTACATGCTGTATTACATTCTACCTCATGCTGCAGAATGAGGGCAACGACAACAACGACTCGTCGCGTATGACAGGTTACTGTGTGATTGTGGCGTGCAGCTGCATACTCAAGCTAGCATTTATTGGCAACAATATCGCGGTCGAAAAGGATTGGGTGACAGTAATTTCGGGTGGCGATACCGAGGTGATGGTTACGGTGATGCGACGCATCGACTTGATTTGTAAAACGGTTGCGCCCGTTTCAATCGGATTTTTGACCCTGGCACCGAGCGCACCCATCATCGTCGCTGTATGGAACGCAGTTTCGTTTGTGATCGAGTATAATCTAATTTACCGCGTGTACAAGGCTACCCCTGCATTGGACGAAGAATACACACCGTTGCTTGATCATGATGTTCTTCCTTCATCGCCAACAACAACAGCGACAACCACAGCGAATACATTGCGGCAGCAGCAAAACGGGGGTATCTCTTTTACAGACTATGTGCGACATGACATTTTCCGGGCCAGTTTGGCGCTCTCCTTGCTCTACTTGACGGTCTTGTCATTTGGTGGTATCATGGTATCCTATTTGAAACTCGAAGGTTATGATGATGCTACATTGGGTATACTACGTGCAGTCGCCGGTATTGCGGGTATGGCTGCCACCTATATTCTACCCGTACTTTCACAACGCATCGGCATGATACGCACTGGTTTATGGGCACTGTGGTTCGAAGTCGCCTGTCTGGTCCCTGTCATACTCTCCTTTATCAAGTCGGTTCCATATGGTCCGGTGCTACTGTTTGGAGGCATGTCATTAAGTCGCATTGGTCTATGGCTGTATGATATGGCGGAAACAATCCTGATGCAGCAGTATGTTGATGCTGACAAGATCGGTGGAATTGCTGGGTGGCAGCACAGTTTATGCAACTTTTTTGATCTGTCGCAATACGTTCTCACCATGGTGTTTTCTGATCCAAGCATGTTCTCCATCCCGGTGTTCATCTCGTTCTCGTCAGTGCTGTTGGCTACCTTTATATACACCTCATTTGTCAAGAAGGAAAGAGGCCATCTGGTCCATTTGCATATGGACTAAGTAATGGTTATTGTACTGTAGATACTTGTCTAGAAACTCCCTCATTCATTATTCTTCTGCTTTATCTAATACATTTAAACAATATGGTATTAATGCTTTGTATTTATTCTATTTTGATCAAAGAGTTATAGTATAAGGCACAGTACCTGCAAGCGGCAAAATGATAGACCGTGAAGCGGGCTTGATACAAATTATTGGTTGAAGGTTGCATCATATAAACTACGCTTTTCGTCAACCAACTAAACTATTCATATACAACAAAACATGTCATTTACGCGGTGGATTCGGCCAACTTGCTCAAAACGGCTCATTTCTCAACAATTCTATCGCCCCTTGGCCACCGCGGTGCCAAAGCGTGTTTCGCCCCGCCAACTGCTAGAAGGCACCAGCAGAATTGCCACAATGTCGCGTGTCTTTGCAGCACGGAGGACCGTAAGCACCACGGCTGGACCGTCCTATAACGCAGCGTAAGCGATTGCTTCTCCCCACCTTCTACTGTACGAAATAGTTCAGATTTGTCGACAAGCCATATTTACGAAATGCAACCTTAGATCGCTGACGATTGATCAATACCACCAAGTTTCAGACGAGACTCTCGACCATATCGACGAAACTCTGGAAACGATCGGTGAAGAAGTCGACTTGCCTGGTTTCGATATTGAGTACTCGGTATAGATTTTTTCGCAAAAATGAAAGGTAAACAAATATAATTATATATACTTTATTGACAATGTTATTATTGATAGCAAGGCGTAATGACGATCAAGCTCGGTGAGCATGGAACGTACGTGCTTAACAAACAGCCACCTAACCAACAAATTTGGCTCTCGTCACCGAAAAGGTAGCAATAGAAACATGCTTCGCATTTGTGTATGTACATTCTCTTTCCGTATGCTGACAAAGTGTATCAATGGGTGCTTTATAGTGGACCTAAGCGCTACGATTATGACGAGGAACATAAAAAGTGGTTTTATCACCGAAACAACCATACTTTAGACGAGTTGTTGAACGAGGAATTGAGTCAAGTGTTTGGGCGGTCAGTCGATGTCTTGGAAGGTTTTGAGGCATTATAGATATGGAAAGTTATGATAAGTAATAAAACTGGATAAACTAGATATTTGATTTGTATGGGGTATGATAGGACACTATAATGGCTCCTGCAGACTGCGTAATAGAAAGTCCGGTTTGTGGTGTGGCAGAAAAAGTGTGCCCTACCATAGCGCACGGCAACTCTCCGGCTCACACACACGCACACACACACACACACTCTCTCTCTCTCTCTCTCTCTCTCTCTCTCTCTCACGGACAAGTTGACAAAGAAAGTTTCCAAACTCCATAACCCCCAACTCCCCCCCAAACCAAACGATGGACCATCCTTCAGATGGACATCATGCCTCACTCCGATCGTTGACTGCCCATTCGTCGTCAGGTTCCCTCGGACTGTCTTTAAACAAAAACGGGCCTTCTACATACAAAGCGTCTCCTCCCCCTCCTCCTCCAATATTACCGAATCGGCAAATCGGTACAGTCGCAGCCTCGCTTCCGCCTCTCAATCTTCAATCGAACAATAACAATAACATTAACAACAGCAACAGCAGCAGCAACAGCATGGACACTATCGAATGCGATGCCCACTTGCAGCGAACACGCCAACAGACTTGCTCCAAAGTGACAGAAGTTTGTCGCTCACTCTTGTTTGCTGCCACGTCGTTACACGCCGCTGTCCGACGCTGCTTGACATTTGATAGCGGTCTCAATTCGATGTTATCACCGGCTTTTATTCAGTCAACAACTGCCAGTGAACGCCTTACGATTGTATTGGATCGACAGCAGCAACAGCAACAGCAAGATGACGAACAACAACAACAACAACAGCAGCAGCAGCAGCAGCAGCAGCAGCAGCAGCTTGTAAAATTAGCCATCGCTTGCACTCGAGCACTCAAAGAACTCTGCTCAGTGCTGCGCCAAAACACAGCCACATTGATACAATCATTAGATGTCAAGTTTGCTCGTCATATACTGGTAATGGTGCATACAACGGCCGTAGATATTAAGGATGTATGGCGTGTACTATCACGCCATCAGCAACAGGAACAACAACAGCAACAACAGAAAGTGCCGATGCGCGGGCGCTCACACAGTGACCACACAACTAGTACACCCACTGGGATGTCGATGGGATCACCCATTGCATCACCATCGGTCGACGATCGATCACAGTTATACGCTCATTTGAAACTGGCTGTTACACACTCATTGCACGTAACCGAGCTATTGAAACAATCCATTGTGGAAACTCTGGCAACGGAAACTTCATCCGTGCTGGCTACCAAACTCCGGGACTTGGCACGGCAGGCACAGGATGCAGCCGAACGAGCCATGAGGCTGGATAATAATTTACAGATTGTTACCGCCGCGGCTGCTGCTGATGATACCACATCACGCAAAGGATTCTGGCAGGATACCAATCAATATCTCAAGGTAAACAATAGAAGGACAATCAACAAGAAAGTCATCGAAGGAATGCAAATAGTGGCTGGACTCGGTTGTAAATGTATGTATACAATATAATGTAATTAGGTAATGGTATCGGTCATGAGCTCGGTGCGATCAATATCGACACAAGAGGTTTTCAACTGGCCCAAACCGGTCAAACAAGGGTGTCTACAAGTGACTCGCGTTACGGCTGAGGTGGCCAAATTATGGAACCACTGTAGCGCATTTGTAGACGATGGTTTTTATCTGGGTAAAAAAGACAGTACGCCTCTCACTGCATCGACGTCAACCGCGAGTACTACCACCACCACCACTACTACTACTACCGATACTACTACTACTTCTTCTCCTCGCCGACTGACTGCCACTACTACTTTCCCTTCAGATGCTCTCAATGTGAGAGGAGATTTATCGTCATCTGCACCATCCCTATTATCCGACAAAACCAATAACAATGACATTCATAATACCAATAGTACCAATAACACTACATCATCTTCAGCATAATTTTTGCCATTAGCATCTTAATCTCTATATCTCCTCTTATGCTTTCCTTGATGGGAAGGCATACATATATCCTTCCATCCACCTTTTTTATGATGGGCGTCGTGTGGGTACGTGGTAGGTTGTTTAATTACAATACAATTGAGTATGATTAGAGGGCTTTGTCATGAAGAAAATGCTGACATCTATTCTTCTGTAACGCTAATTCTCCAAGAAGTTATACAAAAATGTCGATATTCTCCCTCATATGTTCTTCTTTTATGCGTTGTTCATTTGATGCAGCTAAACAGTAACTTACTCAAACTGCTTCCAGTGCAAGATAACCGGATCTGGTGTCTTGAATAAATTCGGCATTCGGGACACTATTTTGCCGCTGTACCTTCTTTTTTTATCTCTCCACGACAACGTACAAAGAAGCGATCGATCTCCTTTTGTCATGTCACTGTTACTGCAGCCTTTACCATCCCGACATTTGATAAACTCAGTTGTAACTCGGTCAAAACATTCTCGAGCAAGTAATTATGATGGCTGGTGGTCTTTAATTCTTCAGCAACCTGCTCAGGTTATTATTTCCATTCGCTACTATACTTGGATTGCCCCTCTTTTCCTTTGTATTTTTTTTTAGCATAGTACTTACAATAATCTTCTATTTAGGAGCCCCATGCCGCATCATTTACAGCCAAGGTACCCATCGTAGTTCCAACATTTGACGATTTACCGAAACCTGTCAAAGTTGAAGAAGATCCAAAGGAAATCGTCACCTTGAGAGGTGAAAGGATTGAGTTACCACAGAAACCCAAAGCGCCTGAAGACTGTTGTATGAGGTATGTACAATACATTAACCCGCTCCTCAAGTTTGGTTGGTTGGGGAAAGATTTTTTGAAAGCTGATGTTTTTCTTGATCTTGTAATATTTGATATTAGTGGATGTGCTTATTGGTAAGTGCTTGGTTTCAAAATGGGTAACTTCATCGCATACATAATAAGGAAATACTCATGCAGCGATCCATTGATATAGTGTCTGGGATATCTATGCAGAGGATATGGAAGAATATCAGGAACAGAAGGCTGAATTAAGGCAGCGGTTCAAAAAGGCAGGCGAACCGTTACCACCATCACTAGCAGCATCGAAAAAGTCGATAGAGGCTCAGGTGCAAGACGAGATGGATCCAACCATGAAAGCATTTTATGCCATGGAAAAGAAAATGAAGGGCAAGTAAAATGTTTGTGGATGGAAGCAAAATCACGTGATATAATATGTACATAGTCGATACCAAATAGAGCGAAAAGGAGATGAGTAGAGCCAATTGTACCCAATCAATGACAACTCTTTCGTAAAGATATGCTTCGCCTGACCATCCCCCCAACCCCATGTAAATTATACTACATTATACAAGAAAAAATATAGAGAGCAAAAACAAAAATTTCTAGAACGTATTAAAAATCTAAGACCAAACATCTTCCTGGTACCGGCCAGAGCTTCGCAAATTCTTGACATAATCTTGAGCCTGCTGTTCTGTTCTCTGTCCAAACGACTGTGCAAACTGGACAAATGTCTGCTGCACATCCCTAGCCATATTCTTGGCATCGCCACACACATAGATATAGGCACCTTGCTCGATATATTGCCACATTTGCTCGCCATGTTCCTTCAATCGATGCTGGACGTACACCTTCCTATCCGTCTCTCGTGAAAATGCCGTGATCAGTCGTGAATCCTCGCCCAAGGCTTCAAACAGTTGAGGCCATTCTTCCTTGTACAAAAAGTCTTGGCTCGGATGACGGCAGCCGTAAAAGAGAACCGTGGGGCCGACTTCTTTGCCTTGCTGCTGCTTTTGATATACGCGTTCATGAACGAAACCACGGAAAGGAGCGACGCCTGTGCCAGGGCCGACCATGATGACTGGTAGTTTAGTATTGCGTGGAAGCTTAAACGGCGAGCGGCGGATATGCACTGGCACCTTTTTGTCTATGAGCGTGTTGCGTGGGCCGTTTAAATCATAGTATGGAACCGAGTTATCTTCTGGGGAATGGATACGCCATAGGTAGTTAGTATTGACACCATACACGGTACGTTCCTCTTTGGTTGGTTGGTATGAAAGCGTTACGGCCGTCACTGCGACTGACTTTGGCGATGTGGAGGAAGACGATGAAATTGAGTAGTATCGAGGCTGCAAACGAGAAACGCTCTCAATGATCAAGTCGAATGGAACGGTGGAAAAGAACCCTGGGGATACAGTAGTAGTACCCTCGTCGTCGTCCTGGCACAATTCCAACACTTCAGCCAAATTGCGGATCGCGTCGCCAACTTTGAGACGATAGACATCCTTGTCCGAAGCCAACTGCCGTAGAGCTTCCTTGGACGACTCTGTAGGCGCATATTCAACGAGTGTCATGAGAGTTTGACGAGAAGCAGGGGCGCATATGTCCAAATAATGACGAAATAGGGCGCGGTATGTGGTTGGTACAGGGAACGGATGCTTTTTGGATGCAGTGTTATCCAAAGCTTCGACCATGACAGCAGTATCAAGCTTATCGGATAAGCCCAGCACTGCGGCCAGCCGATGCACTTCGATTTCATTGTTGGTGGGCCAGATCGCAATATGATCACCGGTCTGGTATGACATGTTGCTTTTCGATAAGTCTATTTCCAGATGCAGGCAGTGACGGTCGGCCGAGTCAGTAAAGAGGTCGCGAGAGACGGCGATTGGGGCTTGGTAAGGGTGTTTGGCATCATGCGTGATTGTTTGCTGCAGAAGCCTATAAGCAGAAACAGATTTTGCCATATTAAATCTTAAATAGTTTTGTCTGATGTGGCAATGAATTCTGTATACTCAGTAACTTACTGTTCGGGCTTCGTCCATTCGCCGAGCTCGCCCAAAAACAAAGCAGCCCGATCGACCGCATCCAATTCTTGTACGCTAAACATGGCTTGTCGAGGTCCTGATTGCGCGCTGCTCTCATCGACACCCATAGCCTCGCAAAAGACGGGCCACATGCCCTCCTGCCATGCCAAGAAGTCCTCTTCCAGCGAAGCATCGTCGTCTCCTTCGCCTCGCTCTCCAAGACGCTTTGCTCCCAATTCGGTAAGCTTGCTATCCAGTATACGTGACACGGAATTATAGTGCTCATATGTCTTATTGCCCAAGCCAAACACAATGTATCGCAAGTTCTCCAGCGTGCTGCTTTCTGAAAACTCTGGCTCTTCGCTGGTCAAGAGCTCCCAAAAGTCCACAGCATTGTCGGTAGGCTCGCCTTCGCCATACGTGGCCATCACAAATACGACTAGATTTTCTGAGGGCACGCTATCCATAAAAGTCATGTCGTACAGTTCAATATCGGCGGCCATACAGCTCACGCCATATTTTTGTGAGCACTCTTTGGCCAATCTGCTAGCATAGTCTTCAGCCGTGCCTGTTTGCGATCCATAGAAAAAGATGACTTGTCGATTCTATTCATAGTGTGTATAGAGTACGGTTTATCAGATACATTAGCTACGTGTCTAGAGTCTGGCTAGGCTGCTTCACACTCTGCGTGTCTGCCTATCTCAATCCAGAATGAAGAGAAGGGAGTAATCACCTGTTGCTGCATGAGCTTCACAAAGTTACGTTCGGGGCCGGTGTTTGCGGCTTTGGATTGTTCGGCTTTGCCTTTGGTGGCCAATGTATCATCATATTTGTAGGATTTGGTGGACCTGAGTTTGCGTGATAGCCAGATTAAGGTACCAATACCCAAGGTGCCTAGCAGAAGCAAGTCGAGTGGACCCATTGCCAGCAGAGCTGAACTTGACTTTTTGGCGTAAGTCATTCTTGACGTATATGTGCGCGGGTGGTACTTTGTATCTGTGGTGGTGAATGAGAAGATGTCCACTGTTGTTACTGCTTCCTACTGGTTGAGCTCAGTATGTAAACGAGATGGAGAGAAAAGAGAAAGAGAAAGAAGTGTGGGGTAAAACAAAAGTCAGGGCTCAAAAAAAGATTTTATTTGATGTGTGCATGTGGGGAAGAGAGAGAGAGAGAGAGAGAGAGAGAGAGATGCTATACAGTTACAGTGTGCGTGTGCTTGTGCCTGTGTCGCACCGGAGAAATGGGCGGCCGACAGGAGTTGATTCGTACAAATTTGCTTTTCACATGGCCTGGGAAAACGCATGAATGGGCTATTTGATTCAGGATGACGTTGTCAGCGATTGCTCGATCGTCATGGAAACCCCAACCGCTTTTGCGATCGCCTCCACCTGGTCTGCAGGCAATGGCTGAAGAGGGTTGCGAGGCAGGCCTCCCCATCCCAACACACGCTGCATACAGCCCTTGACACCGGGGTTGCCGTACCAGCGGGCCAAAGCATCATCGGGCTCGACAAGAGTCTGCTGCAGCTTTTTGGCGCCTTCAAGGTCGCCCTTTTCGAACAGCTTTTGGATTTCGACACAAGCACGTGGCGCCACGTTGCCCAAACCTGGCACACATCCAACAGCGCCCACTGCCAGTGCGGGAAGGAAAAAGTCTACGGAGCCGGCCAGCAGCGCGAAATTATCTAGTGATGCATTGTCGCCACATAAATTATTAGCTCTCTCTTTACAGCTTCTCTCCTCGCAGTGCACACGAAGCCCGCAGTCTACATCCAACCAGTGTCCGATTTTCGTGAATCATTTACCTTCAGGAGTAATGCGGTGTGCAACATAGCCGACCTTGCCAATGTTACCATCCGTGCCCTTGATGCCCACAATGTTGGGGTGCTTTGCCAACTTGACAATCGTTTGGGCGTCAATGTCAACGCCCTGGGTGACGCCGGGATAGTTGTAGATCACAACAGGAATTGGCGATTCGTCTGCAACGCGCTTGAAGAAAGCATACAGGGCATCACTGCTCATGCTGGGCTTGTAGTATGAGGGAGGCAGAACAAGCACGTGTCCGGCACCGGCTGCTGCTGCGTCTTTGGCCAACTTAATCGTGCCGCGAGCAGACTGAATGCCTGCACCAGCAAGCACCTTGACGGAGGGGTCGTACTTTTGAATGAATTCGCGACCTTTGCTAATCATGGTAATGCGCTCCTCATCGCTCAAGTGGACGGCCTCACCAGTGGAGCCCATGAAAATGATGCCGGCAACACCGGTGTTGCACATGTACTTGATGTGCTTCTCTAAAGCTTCCAGGTCGAGGTCTTCGTTTTCGGGCTTGAAGAAGGTTGGAATAGGCACGAAGATGCCTTTGCCGAGAGGAGTTCCTTGGACCATGATGCGTTGTCTGCTGTAGGTGTGGTGGTAAGAAGAGAGTGGAGAAGAAGAAGAAAGATGCTGCCGGGAAAGCGTGTGAAGCTTTATATGCACACACACACGCACGACAAAAGCGATTATTCCTCGGTAACTCTGTATGCGTGTGTGTGTGTGTGCGGTTAGCCGGACGGATGATAACGCTCTCTCTCTCGGGGGAAAGGAGAAATGCATATTGCCCGAAGAGCAGTTTGGTAGGTGTTCTTAGCTTAATCCTTTTTCCACGGTCCTGTGGTTCTTTCTATCACTGTTCCCTTCCCATATAACTAGTAGCCTTGTAAGATGGAAGCCGCTGCACTGTTCTTCGTGTGCATGTCCCTCTGTTCGCTCGCACAGCATTTCTCTTTCAATGACGAATGCTTGTAGGCTACAGGATTTGGAGCAGATGGGAAAAGGAAGTGGAGATATAATTAAGGTTTGAAGCATTCTTGAGTTTTATCCCTTTTCCGTGTTGTTTCGGGTTCTTTTCTGTGCTTGATCTACAACTTAATGCCCGCAACACACACTCTAAATATTAAGTCAGGGTCTCGCTGCTTGGAGATGATCAATGTATATCCCTCCTGCATCTATGGTTAGGGCCAATACCATATTTGACTCGGGTTGCATTATTATGCCTTTCCGGGCAGTTTTATTGGGGCAGAAGCACCATTCCTTGCCTTCTTGAGCATTGACAATAGAACATCAGATACAGGTACCAGACGGAACATTCTACCACCGATCAATTACAACACATCATCGCTATCACGGACTGGCCAGGAGTTAGTTTCTCTACCTGACTTCTCCATATTTTTTATGTTAAAATGAAATTGCTTGTGCAACTGGTTCACGAATTATAAAGGTCAAATATACACTCTTTCCAGGAAGTAAGTTCGCCTTGACTGAAAACAAATTCACCTAACGGCGAGAATAAATGCATATTGTACGAAGAATAAATTCGTTATAATGGACATGATAACAAGAACAAGATTCATGTACGAAACGTGAATCCGTCTTCGCTGACAAATCGGATGTCCTGTTGCCAAGAATATTTTTGTAGTACAAGCCTTGGAAGCTTTGTATATAAAAGAGTACTCTAATTGCCCGTCTTCTTTTTTCTGTTGTTTTTCGCAATACACACAAAATCGCTTCAAATGAGCATTCAATTTTTGTATGAAAATGGGAAAGGTTCTGTCGTCGATTGCGATTCATGTTGAAGTAATTCGTCGCTATCAAAACACGTGGTTGGACGTGCACCGATCAACACCATTTTTAAATTGTTGAAGGCTGATTATGACCAGACTGTAAGCATTCTATAAAAAGCATCGCTGAGAATAGTTCGTTGAGTTTTATGAAAAAGATTCTTCCTCTTACTTTGCGGAACACACTGTATTCCACACTGGTGAACTAGTCGAAATTCAAGTTTCTCCTGGATAATGAAGTTGATTCATGCTGTGATATACAAAACGGAAGATGTCCAATCTGTTTTCAATGGTATATTTTATTGAGAAAGACAGAGTTATCCTACAGGCCGCTTACTTATTCTAAATTGATTTAAAATTTAAAAGAAATGAGATGGATTCATGGTGCCGATTTCAACGGATGGGAACTTTCAACTGAAAAGATTCGATCGAAGTTTCGACTCGCCAGTTACTGATCCATGTGATGAGATCATGATAGCAATATGGAAGGCCAACAATGATATTGTTACTTCTAGATACCAAGTGAGAATGAGTTGTACTATGTGCAAATTTATGAAACTAGGCTAATGATCTAATAACACTTTTAAAGCGGGGACGTCCTTTAACTAGGAATGTAGCTGCTTCTTTGGTAGACAGTATCTCTGAGGCTGTACCCCAAAGTTTAGACAATTACTGCGAAGGATGGAGATCCTTGTCAAAGTTGGGCACAACCAAGTCATCGGTTCCAACAACTGGTGTATTTACGGCCATATGCTCTCGCCATAAATATGTCCTAGCTCTCATGGATATGTGCACAACAGGAGAAAAGTAATTATGCTACAATATCATTTTTAAAGACTAGTATCATACTATGTAGGGTGCTAACTATTATGATACTCGATCCGTTGACTCACCCTCAATTGTATGCAACGGTCACTTCCTGCATGATACATGGCCCTTGCGGAGATGCTGCACCAGATGCTGTTTGTATGAAAAACAGTCGTTGTTCACAGCATTATCCCAAGCCATTTTCTCCAGAGACACGCGTGAAACGTGATGGTTATCCTATGTATCGACGACGCCAAAATCAACGCCAGCATACTTTCCAACGAAGCCGATTCACCGCCACCAACCGACACGTCGTTCCGTACAACCCGTATCTTAGCCAAAAGTATGATGCTCATATTAACGTCGAAATCTGTACCTCTGCTCGAGCCATCAAATATTTGTGCAAGTACATCACTAAGGGATCCGACCGAGCGCAACTTGAAGCGAGAACGCGGACTGCTACCACTGACACAGCTGCTCAACCTGATGCCATTGATGAAGTAGTCGAGTATCAGAATGCACGATACATAGGACCATGTGAGGCAGTTTGGAGAACGCTGGAATTCAGAGTGCATATGCACCATCCAACCGTAGCGCGCTTAGACATCCATCTGCCTGGCGAACAGTTGATGGTATTTCGGGGCGATATGACACCTCAGGAATTCGAGTTAGCTCGCAATGCTGCAGCTACTGGGACCAGGCTACTCGGTTTCTTTGCTCTTTGTGCTCGGGATCCTGCTGCATGTCAGTACACGTATACGCAAATTCCTTGCCACTATACTTGGGACGACCGAAACGATAGATGGAATCCTCGCACCAACCCACCAGTACAGAACGTAGTGTCTCGCATATATGCTGCTTCAATTTCCAACATGCCATTATATGCCCTTCGTCTCCTTCTTTTGCATGTCCGAGGACCAACAAGCTTCGAAGCGTTGAGGACAATAGATGGGGTTGTATATGCAACTTTTCAAGAAGCGGCCGTCGCCTATGGTTTTTTGGAGTTAGATCTGGAATGGGACGACTGTTTGGCTGAGGCATCCATTACCGCGCCATCCGCAGCTGCAATTCGAGCACTCTTTGTGTATATTCTCATCGATTCATCACCAACCGACCCACTTACCTTATGGAACAACCACCGTGATCGAATGGCCGACGACTACTTTTTCGAAATGGGTAGAACGCTATCACTCTCGAATGAGGATGAGTTGCAACCTGATCAAATCGAGCAAATATATCAACGCGCACTCGGTGATACAGAAATGCGATTGAATTCAACAGGCCACCATCTTTCCGAATTCCCCTCCATGCCACAAGACTTCGTTACCAATTAGATCGTCTGCCACCACTAGAAGCTCTGGAAATTGTAGAAAGGCGCGAGTACAATATAGAAGTACAGCACCAGCTAATTCAAGCTTTGCTTCCCACGTTGAATGAAGGCCAACGTCATGCGTTCGATACCATTGCCAATGCCATAGATGCTCCTACAACTGAGTATACTTCGCGTATTTTCTTTGTCAATGGTTCTGGTGGTACCGGCAAGTCGCAGCTCTTCAAGGCACTCTTGAGCCACACTCGCTCCCACGATCAGATAGCCTTGCCTGTTGCTTCTTCAGGTATTGCTGCTATTTTGTTACCCGGTGGGCGAACTGCGCATAGTCGCTTTGAAATTCCCTTGAATGCCGACGAAAGCACGAGCTGTAATTTGCGTCTTGGTGGTCCGCATGCATATCTCATACAGAGAGCATCGCTTATTATTTGGGATGAAGCAGTCATGTGCAGCAAGCACAATTTTGAAGCAGTCGACAGATCCTTGAGGGATATCATGGGTGCTGTAGATCCCCACTTGGAACGTGTTTCGTTTGGAGGAAAAGTCGCTGTTTTCGGTGGTGACTTTCGCCAGCTACTCCCTGTCGTCAAAAGAGGGACACGGTCCCAAGTTGTTGGAGAATGCATTCGCTCTGCTTCTTTTTGGTCGGCAGTTCAAGTACTGCATTTGACTGTCAACATGCGAGTACTCAATGCAAGTCCTGATGCTGCAGCATTTGCCGATACCCTTCTTGCCATTGGTGATGGTCGTCCACCGTTTACAACCAGCGTCGAGATACCACCAGAATGGCGCATCAACACAAGCGATCCAATGTCATTGATTGACGCCATCTACCCTACTATCTGCAATCCCAATCCTCAACCACATGAGTTCAGCACCTAAGCTAGATTAGCAGCAAAAAATATCGACGTCGGCATTATCAATGATACAGCATTCTCTGTTTTCCCTGGCACAGCACGCACATATAATTCGAACGACCGCGTCATTGATCACGATGACCCAGAAGCTGCTGCTGTCAACTATCCAGTTGAGTTCTTGAACAGCATTAGCACAAGTGGTGTTCCAGCACATTCCCTGTAGCTCAAAGTTGGCATGCCATTGGTCATCCTTCGGAACCTTGATCCTGACACTGGCTTATGCAATGGTACAAAAGTTTTTGTCACCAGACTTTTTGAATGGAGTATTGGTGTTAAGGATGGAGTGTTGGTGTTAAGAAATTGATGAAGGACATGAAGATACTGAGCATTATCTGCCACGGATCAATATGTGCACAACCGAGGGTGATTACCCATTCATCCTATGTCGCCGCCAATTTCCTGTCCGACTAGCATTTGCAATGACCATACATAAGGCTCAAGGTCAAACCCTTTCGCATGTTGGCATCCGGCTTCAAGAAGACGTTTTTGCGCATGGCCAGCTCTATGTTGCTTTTTCAAGAGCAACAAATCCTAATAACATTCGTGTTGCCATCGATCTGTCAGGGTCTGGACCACCACAAACCACCAACATCGTATACCAAGAAGTCCTCTTGCATCCGCCGGCCTCTGTTCCTGAACAAGCCGAAAATTCACCACCAACCTCTCCCACTACAACAATCACCGCATCTCCACCTCCATCACCCTAAACCCTTTTCTGCTCTTTTTCTTTTTGCTTTCTTCTAAACTCTTATTTTAACTTAATATCGTTCAACGTACAATAGAATATTCTTACCTTTTCACAGTATTTTTTTGTAAGTAGATCTGCTGCGAAACAATAAGATATAGAACTGCGCGAAACTGCCGTCACCTTCCAGCTAATTACGACAAGCAGCAATAATCTACAACGATGTTCAAATGAAAGCGGACACATTGATGAACTTTCAAAAATATGTAAGAGCTGTCGATAGCAACAAATAAGTTATACTCATATTAACAGTGAAAATACCAGTCAAAAGTTCCTCTGGCGTCTCTTTTAAATTTGACAAAGCAATGTGCAGTAGGGTTTCGTGTCATAGCAACAATGATAATGTTTAGGGTTATATGTAGTCATAGCAATCAATAAGCTCGTGAAGCGAGCAGTTTCGGGTTTAGAAGGGGGGTGTGGGGGGGAACCCCCCACCTTGGGGGTCTGGGGTGAACCCCCAGGAAACATCCAATCCGTTGAATGACCCGGAGCGCAGCGAAGGGGCTCATTCAGCCGAGCGAAGCGAGGCAAGGGATGTTGATTATAGAATAAAAACCATGCCTCTCTCCCAGCCTATAGAATAAAAACCATGCCCCTCTCACAGCCTATAGAATAAAAACCATGCCCCACTCACAGCCTAGAGAATAAAAAACCATGCCCCTCTCACAGCCTAGAGAATAAAAAACCATGCCCCTCTCACAGCCTAGAGAATAAAAAACCATGCCCCTCTCACAGCCTGTAGAATAAAAAACCATGCCCCACCTACAGCCTATAGAATAAAAACCATGCCCCGCCAACAGCCTATAGAATAAAAAACCATGCCCCACCTACAGCCTGCAAAATAAAAACCATGCCCCTCTCACAGCCTATAGAATAAAAAACCATGCCCCGCCTACAGCCTATAGAATAAAAAACATGCCCCACCTACAGCCTATAGAATAAAAAACATGCCCCGCCTACAGCCTGCCCACAGCCTGCAAACCGTCCATCGTCGTCACTCGTCATTAAAAATTATTGTTGGCTGCTTCTAAGCGTGCCACTCCCTTTATTAAATTATAAGAAAGGAATTTACTATCGTGATCCTGTGTCTCTTTAGCCGTTTCTAAAAGCGTGGCAGTCCGCCGACGTACATGAACACTGAAGACGAAACCAAGTGAGTCAGTTGTTTCCAGCAACAACATCACCGCAAGCAACATCATCACCAGTAGACAGCCTTGAAATACATGAGCTTTTATCGACATCATGTAGACCAGATAAAGACGAAAGTTATGATCCAACTCTTGTATCAGCGCGAGAAAGTTACAATGAAGCCGGCTGATACCCCGTCGCAGAAGCAGTCAAGAAAGTCGTCGGTTATCCGTGCATCGATAACCGCCTTGCCTCTATTACAATCAAAGACCTGCTTAGGCAAAATCCATAGCCTGAAGCAGGTCGCCTGCATACGTCAGATATAGACACAGATTCTTTACAGCAAGCAAAGGCTAGAGACAAACAGCTCGCTGAAATCCAAAAAGAGGTGTGCCAAGCTCTCTGTCACCAGCGTGTGTTATACGCTCCATGTTTTGAAAACATCTATATGAACACGCCGATAAAGTCTTCATGGCATCCATGGCGGGCAAGTTACAAAACATCATCGCACTTGGATTCTATGCAGTCGAAGGCATCCGAATCGAAAGAAGGGAAGCCTTGGCAAAATCAACGCTTTGTAGTCAAGCTCCCATTAGTGCTTGCTCCATGACGGGAAGTTCAGCTGAGCACGGCGCAGATTGTTTGGCCTCGAGTTCTGCCAGAAGTTTCATGACGAATCCCGCAACTGAAAACACCATCGAATCAATGTCAATGCCAACTCGAGCGGAAACAGCAGCAACTACAGCCGAAAGCAACCACCTGAGGCAGAGGACGTGGTCGTGGAGGCCGATTGTTTAGTCTCAACCGGAGGTGGAGCGGGCGCCAGCAATACCTCCGATAGATAAACAATGTAATACAGTGCTCAAGCAATGGCGCAACAGACGTCGTGCATGGGCAGTGACTCTACGGCGAACCTGAATTAAGCATTAAGCATTGCCGACGTCTGATGACCCTGCAGCAGCCAGTTCCGACCCATGGACATTGAAACAACGCCAAGTACAGATTCCCTTTATAGTTTTTCCCCGAAAAATGGTTGGCTACGAGGACCATCGCTTACATATGTCTCAGGAGAATGCCGCTGTCTTATATCAAGCAGTACAGGAGCTATTGAACAAGCAATCCATCGAAGAAATTCCATATATATCACCAGAATGCAATCGTATCTGTTTGCGCTCCGACCGCACAACAAGGTCCGTGCGGTACTGGATTGCTCACAGCTGAACAACTATCAAATACGAGCGTTTCAAAATAGAGGGTCTGCCGACCTTGCGACATATAGTCCGTCCATTGGAGTGCATAGTGAAGTGCGATCCCTAGGATACATATTTAGATATCCCGCTAAATTCGGACGACCGTCCTTCTGAGGCCTTTTGTTGACAATAGAAGACACACCAAGCAAGTTGCCTCATGTTTGGAGTGGCCCATGCCCTCGGTTGTTTGCAAAAATTTGGTCAAGGTGCTTGCCCCACTGCGGAAATAAGGCCTGAAATTGACATTTTATATCGAAGATGTGATTCTGCTACCGTCGAGCAAAGAACAAGCACGCCGACATGGCCAACTTTGGAAGACCAACTTGGAATCATTTGGATTTCTGTTGAGTAAGACCAAGTGTCTCTGGGAGCAGCAGCAGTTTCAGACCTTTTTGGGATTCGAATCAGTACTAAGTCCGAGACACTGGCACTACGCTAAGAGAAAGTGCGCAAGATTTAGAGAGATGCGCAATCTTTACACAAGAAACAACGGCTTTCCATCCGCCAGCTAGCAGCAATAGCGGGCTTGTTGCAATCCAGCATTCCAGCAGTGTATCTGGCCAGAAGCAAAACATGGAGCTTGACCACCAAGGTCTACATCAACGCGACAAACCCAAACAAATGTGGGACTTCAAGGTGCCGGTATCATCAGACATCCGACATAGCCGCTTGAATATCATCGCATCACTAGATAAAGACGTCGGTATACGGATCAACGTTCGATGACCAGTGACGACGATGGACAGTCCGAGATGAACGAACGCATCGAAGTCATCGCTCAACTGTCCGATCAGAAACGAGGAACTCGAATGCTATCCCTCCTTCATTTCCTTAATTCTCTTTCTGTTTGTTTTATCTGCTGATTATCTATACTCCGCATTTTGTTAAAAAAGGTTACCTAACAAAATTGAACAGAAAACGTTCTCACTTCATAGTTATAACCCTTCCCCTAATATTGTTCTCTGCCAACGCCTTTTCACGGCTAAAGAGACATAGGGATATGGTCTTCTTTTAAATCCAAATTTAGTATATAAATATAGGCTGTGGCACACTTGGAAGCGGCCTGTAACATTCGAGTTCCTCATTCCTCCTTGGACAGTTGAGCGATGACCTTCACTGCGCTCGTTCATCTTGGAATAAAAACCATGCCCTTTCCTAGCTTGCAAAAATGCCTGGTGAAGTACCCGGTGAAGGGATTACCTTTTCTCCTGTGTATATTGATTGAATTTTTATTTCATGCCTGTGACGTAAGGACTATGGAGAAATCTGCGATCTGGAATATGGGATATTGATAGTATGGGAAAGATTAATAATAGAAGTAATAGGATATGTTATGTGGGTGAATGGATCGTTACAATACACAAATGGAGAGACGGGCGAGAAAGGGAGTTAATTCATAATCATATATATTTTTGAAAACTATAAAATTTTCTCAATCATTAGATTGTAAACATTTTTTATGTTTTCTTTTATTTATTTTAATATATATATTATGAAGTCATAAACAATTATGACATAATTTTTCTGCACTACTACTTGCTCCACCACTACCACTACTACAACAACAATATAAACAACAACATTAACATGTTCTTGTTTTTTCCTACTAGTAGAAAATACTCAAAATTATTATTTTGATGTATTTTCAGAATATCCAAAAATAAAAACTTTATTTTTTTAGATATTCAAAGAAAAGGATAAATACAAATATTTATCTCTTTTCTTAAAAAATAGAATTTGTTTGTTTTTTAATATATATAAAAAGAAAAAACAAGAACAAGAACAATTTATTGTTGTTGTTGTTGTTGTTGTTGTTGTTGTTGGAGGAGGAGGAATAGAAAAAAAATCATTGATTTTATTTTTCTTATCTTATTATATTATTTATGATATCATAATTATTTATGAAACATAAAAAAATATATTAATGCCAAGAAAATCAAAAATATTTTATTTTTTGATTTTAATCTCTTAGCATTTTAAAAAATTATAAATTATAAAAAATTTAAGAAATTTTCTTAAACATTAGATTATTGAATAAACCCCAAAGAGGGAGTATGCACTAATCCATGGTCAGCGCAAAGGATCGTTTCTTGGGCGACAGTTTCACTTGGCGACCTTTCACATAGGCGGTAGACAGGGTCTCACAGTGAAAATCGTCCAGACTTGATCTCAATGGTACACAATCATTCTTGTGGATGGAGGAGATGAAAGCCAGATTGTGTAAATGTCCCATGAGATTTAAGAGGTCTGATTTCTTTGTGGGTATCTGGACGTGAGCCAATTCGGTGAAGGTGTACAGCTGAGGATGTGTGAGAGACATGACAAAGAAGGTGATCGTCTTTCCAATCGCCTGAAATGCAAGTGACTGCCGCAGATGGAAGATGTCCAGGGCATCTTTGGTGAAAATGGCCGTGTGATAGAAGTCATTGACTATCAGTGTTGGGGACACATTGACGGTCGGCTTATTTCACCATACAGGTTTGTATAGTTGTATTTGTAGCCTGGCGCGTAAATATCCACTTTGTAATCCAGATGGTTGTTGCTGCCAGGTCTTTCATCAGGCACAATATTTGAGCAATGAGCGATTGCCATTGGCATTTTACATAACAAGAGACCATGCACAAATGGATGAATATAACTGGCTATCAGATGCGCTTCCGAGAGTGTTTTCACCTCACAATCGTACAAATTGGATATCAATACAACAACAGCATTAATCGTGGCCCTTTCGTTTGATTCGGCGTTATGAGCGCAGTTAAGTAGGTCAATTTTTGCTTTTTCTTCGTCAATTTGGTCATCTGTATATCCTTGAATGATGGCCGCGACCTGGCAAAGAATTTCTGGGTTGAAAGTGTGACGACTGTAGGAACTGACGATACAAGTATGCATGGAACGCAGAAGGTCGGGTGGAAAGATGTCCACAGGGGAGTACATCTATTATAGGTCTCATATAAATTTCAAACTCAATTACTTAAAAAAAAATTTTAAGAAAAAATTGAATTTTCTATCTAAAAATAAAAATAGTTGAAAACAGATGATTGAAAACTTTATAGAAAATATTTTTAAAATATGAAATGTTTATAGAAAGCTACCATATATTAAAGAAAGCTTTTGATAATGAAGTTGATGGAATAAATTATTTACTAGATAATAAATATATAAAAAAAAGAGATATATGTGACAAATGTAAAAATAATAATATTAAATTCAATTATAAATGAAAATTATATGTTTGTAATTATTATAAATGTAGAAAAACATATTCACCATTTAAAGATACAATATTTTCAAAAATGAAACTACCAATTCATTACCAATTACATATTTTATATGAATTTTTAAAAAAAACACCAATAACTAGTATTTCTAAAAGTTTAAGTATTGATCAAAACAGCTGTAAAAAATATTGATAATAATATAAAGATTGATAAAATTGGAGGTAGAAATTCAATAGTAGAAATAGATGAAACGAAGATTGCCAAAAGAAAATATCATAAAGGCCATAAAGTTGAAGGAGCATGGGTAATTGGTGGCATTGAAAGATCTAGATTAAAAAATAAAATTAAAAATGAAAATAAGAAATCTTTTTTCATACCAATTAATATTAGAAATAGTGAAAGTATAAATAAAATCATTAAGAAATATGTTAAAAAAGGAACAATAATATACACTGACTGTTGGAAAGGTTATAACAATTTAAAAAATATAGGGTATAAACATAAATAGTAAATTATAAAAAATATTTTAAAGATCCAATTACCAAAGTTCATATAAATAGAATTGAAGGTACTTAGAGTGGATTAAAAAGAAGCATTAATATAAGAAATCGAACAAAAAATGGTATAGAATTACATTTAAAAGAATACCAATAGAGAAAAAGATATAAAGAATAGGATATATGGAAAAAGTTTCTAAAAATAAAAAATATTTAAAAATTGAATTTATATATATATATTAAAATTAAACTATTAGACTTTATTAAATTACATCTAAAAATACATTTCAAATGGAAAATTTTATTGATGAATCATTTAAACATAATATCAAAAGAAATTTAGTAATTAAAGAAATAAAAAAATATAATATAAGAGAATATAAAATTAAACAAAATAATGGATTTTTTGAGATATTTATAAATTTTAATGGGTCTTTAGATAATTATATAAAAGTATATTCTTTTAAAATATATAATAAAGTTCAAAACATTGATAGAAAAAGATTAAAAAGATTAAATTAGATTAAATTATAAATATCTGTCCTTGGTAAAGATATAAAACTTACTGGTAGGATGGATGGCAAAAATAGAAAAAAATTGTTGAATAATATCAATCACGTGATATGAAACCTATTTTCCATATAACCCGTCCACAGGAAAGCTTTGGTAATCGTATCGTTTTGTAACACAAGTACACCGGACATGGCCAATAGCTCATTGAAGTTACCATCTATGGTGAAGGCGGCACTTTTGGAGTTATCGAGACACGATTGTCGATACGTATAGAACTTCTTCGAAATGTTGTTGCCGTCTAATTCCCAGTGATTGCCAGTCGCTAATCATGGTATAGGTGGTGGCTGAATCAGATGTGTTTTGTTGACATAGCAGGTGAGTTTGGGTTTTGTATCGAATGTATCAATGCATGAAACACACGCATACTTCACAACGATTTGGTATCGCAGGATGTACAGTACCAAATTGCCTATAAATTTACAATAGTTTTTGATAAATCTCATAAATTGCTTGCTGCTATATTAAATTATATCATCCATTTTGATATTTTATCAATTTTATGACATCGTGTGACCAAAATCATATATTCAATGATTATAAAAATTGAAAATCCATAATATAAATAAAGAACGACCCAATAGATACAACAAACTATACACCACTGATTACAAATGAAGTAAACTCAATTATTGCAAATTATTGGCAATTCCTAGATAGGAATTGGCCTACTGTACATAATAAATATAAACATAGAACTGATTTGAGATATATTAAATTCATAGAAAAAATTAAGGATGAATTGTTACATAAATTAGGTTATGTTGCTGTATTTTATTTTCTAGTAGTTTTATATACAAACAAGGAATATCCCGGACCTTACTTTGAAATTGAAAAAGGATTATTTTTATTTTATCATTTAGTCTCTGGAGTATGTGGTGAAAAATTTGAAAAATACTTACCACATAGCACATTTCATACATTTTAAAAAAAGTTTTGGATAGATGAGGACAACTACAAACGAATCAACAAAATAGTAAATGATTCAATGAATAACATGTTTTCATCTATCAAATTACGTACAGTGAACCCCCGCTTTTTGCAACAGCGGGAATACCGTCAAAAAAGTTGCAAAATCTGAGGAACTGCAAAATGTGAATATGTTACACAAGTGGGATCGATAAGCTGGCAATCACATCTTTCCTTATTTAGTTTAAAAGCTCTTAAATAATAGAATACAATAGTGTATCTCTTTTGTTACTGGTTCGAGTCTCACTGTCTCTGAAGCTTGAGATTAATATACAATATATAAGGCTGAAGCGGGAAATTGCAGGTCCCGATTTCCAAGTTGCAATCTGCAAAAACCGAGGAATCTGCAATTTTACTAAGTGTTGAGCGGGAATCTGCTCAAAAAAGTTGCAATAAGTGGGGATCTGCAATAAACGGGGGTGCAAAAAGCGGGGGTTCACTGTATTCTATCTACTAGAAAGCATAATCCTGACTTATTTAAACATGTAACACTTGTATTGGATGGCCATGATTCAAGAATTAACTATATAGATACTGAAATTGACTACTTTCAAAGAATGTATTCTTATAAATTTAAGAAGAATGGAATACGTACCCAATTTGTTAGTGATATGAATGATATGATTATTTATACTTCTAAAAGTGACTTTTGTTCTGATAGCTCAGATGGTAGCATGTTTTTAAACATGAAATTATTTAAATATATGCACGAGAATGACATAATGGCAGTTGATGGTGGATATACTTTATTTATCACGCAATTTACAGAGCTTGCTAATGAAAAAGGATATAACTTTAGCCATGATAATTTTGTATACCCTATATGTAAAAATGTAAATGAGCCCTTAATGATTACTGAAGATCATTTTAATAAGACATTTGGAAGTTTTAGGACAAAAGTTGAGAATCAATTTTCAGAAATTGGGAATAAATTCTGCCGATTCAATAATAATAAGTCAGTTGTTAAAATGGATAACATAAAATACTATAATCTGGAATTTCGTGTAGCTTGTTTATTAAAAAATATTACAAAATTTGTAGAAATGTTCAATATTCCTATATTACCACACCATAAACTATGGCACAGTAATGATTTTGATTTTCCAGTAGAGCATAAACTAATTGATATAGTGGTCAGCAATGATAAACAAAATAAAGATAAACTGGATAAAATGATCAGATTACAAAATGACCTGCTTAATATGGCTATATCAAATGAAAAATGATTGTTGATAATGAATCTGATAATAATTCAAATCAGAGTAATAGTGATAATGATGATGTTCCAAGATTTAATGAGCGTAGTAAAAAAAGAAAGCGAAATAAAGGGAAACAACGAGCAATGGCATCATATGAAATAGAAGAGATTATTAGGTATAAAACTGAAAATGGTACATATTTATTTGAAGTAAAATGGGTTAGATATAGTGCTGATGATAACAGTTGGTTATCAATTAATAAATTTAATCAAAAGGATTTATTGAAGGAATATATCAATAAGCATAATCTTGGTATATTATAAAATTACATACTCTGGGTAATATATCATTGATACCATATTATTTATAAATATTGATTGTATTTAAGGAATGATTGAATTGAAACATAAATAAAATGGGTTTCCTATAATAACTTTAATAGGTTTGGTTTTTTTCTTTTTCTTGTTTTCTTTTTTTTCAATTTTCTCATCTTCAGTGTTATTAGATTTATAAACAACAAGTTTTTTATTTTTAGGAATATGAAGCTTACTATATTGACAGCAAAGGTAATCCTTTTTACCATCAGGTAAATTTGTTCTGATTTTTCTACCACAAAACTGACCATCACGTTTTCCTTTTTTAAATATATGGGTACAAAAATCATTATTCATGCTCAAGTATAAAAAGTAGTATGTTGAAAACAATGACTTTATTTTATTTTGTAATTTCATTTTTAATTTTTCTACAATATTTTAATTAATGTAAGAATCCAATTCATTTTCTATAAATACATCTAATTCTTTATTAAGATTATTACGTAATTAGATATGGTTGATTGGGAGGAATTCATTTAATGCAACCATTTTGATTGAATCTTTGAAACAATTTCTTTTATCAAATACAAAAATTCAATTTGTTAAAAAAGTAATTGAGTTTGAAATTTATTTCTTGGCATAAATTAATAGTTTTCTGATAACATTTCTATTAAATGCTCTTGAAACCTATATTCATTACTATTTACAATATACAATTCATCATCATTTTTGAAAAATCCTTCAATATCTTGCTCAGCAATTTCAATATATTCTTTTTCATTAAATATCTTTTTAATTATATTTATAAATAAAATTAGATCCACTATTTTAAATAAATTCTTATAATGATTAAATTTAATTAGCTTGCATGCAATAAATATAGGATCATATATAATATTTCTAATTTTTAACTTGTAAATTTTAATATGCTTCTTTACAATATAATGCTTACTATCATAAATTTTATCACTTTTATGTACTAAATACTTTTTTTGATGAACATATTCTAATAATAAATATCTTGCTATAAATTCAGTAATATTTACAAAATATTCTTCAACTGGTATATAACATAATGTGAATTCATACCTGGCATTCCTTTCTTACCAATTATTTTTATATATACACAAAATTCAATTTTTTGTACAATTTGGATTTTTACAGCCAATAGATTTCTTACAGCCAATAGTATTATCTAATATCTAATTAGAGTTGGATGTCCCCTATCCACGTTTTTCATATTTTTCGATATTCGCGTCGCTGTAAACATGTTCTCTTCCGTGATCGCTCCTGTTACGTGCCTCAACTTCCTTTTGGTGTTGCTGGTAGATGTGTAACTGTGCCTTCATAAAACGTGTGTATGTCTTATCACAGAATGGGCATTCCTTCTTGGACAAACAAACGGTCAGATTGTTGTTGTCTGGAACATCGTCGTCTGTGCCCTCATTCACAGAATCGACTTCATCGTCATAGAGACTGTCGCCAGGCATTTGTTTGCTTTTGTTGCTCGGATCATATTGGCAGTGCTGTTGGTGCAACTTATGCAACCCACAGATTGTGGAGAGGACATCTTGAGTAGATTTTTTTTGCAAACTGGAAAGAGAAAGAGAAAACGGCACCAGTACATCACTCTTTCAAGCTATTCTTTCAAGCTATGAGCGGCGCATGTTTTTTTTTCTTTTTGTAAGCTGCGAAGGGGCATGCTTTTTACAGGATTTTTCATCTCCTAGCGGATGTCTGAACTTTTATTTAGGCACAAGGGATTTAATTTTAGGCAGAGTGGACATGAATGAAAGTTAATCTGGACATGAATAATAATTGATCTGGACATGAATGAAAATCGAGCTGGACATGAATGAAAATCGATCTAGACATGAATGAAAATCGAGCTGGACATGAATGAAAATCGAGTTGGACATGAATGAAAATCGAGCTGGACATGAATAAAGATCGATCTGGACATGAATATAAAACGATCTGGACATGAATATACATCGACCTGGACATGAATATAAATCGATCTGGATATGAGTAAAATCAATCTGGACAAAATAAAAAATCAATCTGTACATAAATGAAAATCATTCTGACAAGAATAATAATCAATCTAAACATGAATAATAGACAACCTGGACATAATAACAGTCAACCTAGACATAGTTTTAGCCAACTAAGACATAATAAAAGTTGAAGTACAGGATTTTGAATCCAATCCCAGACATGGGCTCAAAACTTTTCGCGAACGGGATTTTTTTTTCGCTCATGGGATTTATTCTTTTGGTTTATGGGATTTACTATTTCGTTCGCGGGCTTTCTTTTTCGCCAATGAGATTTTCCATTTGCCCAACGGCGTTTTGACTTGGCCAACAGCATTTTATTTCGCTAATGGCCCCTTTTTTCACTAATGGCATTTTCACTTGGTCAACAGCCCTCTTTTTCGCTAACGGCATTACTAATTTGCTTGCAGCAGTTTATTTCGCCAACGGCATTGTCACTTGGACAACAGGCCCTCATGGCGTCTGGTTGATAAATATAATACTCAGTACAGATGATAAAATTATAATAATTTTATCACCCTAAAAGAATTAAAACAATTCTTTCTTCTTTTTTCCGTCTGGTCATATATATTTAGAAAAATTAAAATTTTTCAAATATATATAAATAAAAAGTAAAATGTATCATTTTACTATTTATTGAAGAAATGGGGTTCCATTACCATTTCTTCTAGGGTCAAAGACCCGTCTGGTTATATATAATAAAAGAAATATAATTTCTTTTATATATATATATTTCATTTATAAATTTATTATAATACTATAATATATATATCTAAGAATTATAAATTCTTGATATATACCAAACGGGTGTATAACACCCATATAGGGCAAGGGTAATGGAACCCCCTTGCCTAAGTAAAATGATACATTTTACTTACTTAAATATATTTCAAAATTAAAATTTTGAATATATTTCCAGACGGAAAAAAAGAAAAAGAATTGTTTTTTGTTTTTTTCTAAATATATTAATTATTATAATATAAGGAAGGCATATTACAAAGGATTTGTATTGCCTTCCTGACAAGAATAAATAATGGCATACTCTAGGCATTTTATAAATGAAATATTAATTATAAAGATAATAGCACCCGTTTATTATCATAAATAATGGATTTATTTAATTTATGAGGCTAGTAATTATTTTCCCTAAATTAATATTTCCTCCATTACATATATAGATTTTTTTAATTTTTCTCTTTTTTATATTTTGTTTATTTTTATATTCTTTTTTTATATTTATTTTCTTATTATTAAAGGGGTCAATTTTTTTTTGTTTTTGATTTCTTAAATTATTTTTTTCTATAATTTTATTCTTAATATATCGTTTTTTTGGAATATGTTTTTTAGAATGAGTACAACATAAGTAATCTGGACTTTTTCCATTAAGATTTGTTTGTATTTTTTTATGGCACATATGTCCTTCTTTTCTACCTCGTTTATATATATGTGTGCATATATTTTCACTAGTATTATTACACCAAAAGTTTAGTGAATTAACTTCATTCATTTTTTCTTTAATAGCATATTTAAATACCTTTTTTTTATTATTTATGGTATTTACTAAAAATTCATTATCAAAATAATAATCCATAATTTGATTCATAATATTTTTAATAGAAATTTGCATAGAGGTTTTGCATATAAGTATATCTTTGTTAAGAATAGTCATTATAAAAAGATTGTTTAATATTTTGGAAAGAGTCTTTTTTTATAAAAATAAAAATTCAATTTTTATTTTATTTTTAAGTTGACAAAATTATTTTAAGTTGCTACTTTTTATATAATTTTTAACATAACAACCAGTCTCCCATGTGGCTCACAGGATTAATGTTTCGCCTATGGTACTGTCGTTTGGCTAGCAGCATTTCAATTATTAGTCACTGCATTCTGCATCTTCTACTTAATTCAAGCAAAGATGCTTTGTTACTGCGTATAATTTCAGTTTCGAGTTTATAGCTTTTGGCGTTTGACAGAAATGAAGCCTGCTATTGCCATTTACATTTAACTACAGTAGTACAAAAACGGAAGAGCAAGATTCTAAGACTGACAGTGTTAGCCAGTGAGCGATCATTAGAAGAGTTGGCTCGAAAAGAAAGCTAGAAATAGTCATTTCAACCCATTCTGTTGTCTATGTTTATTAAACGTATTTAGTACGGATATAAGTAAAAACGTATGTTGTATTTAGAATCAAAAGCTTAAACGAAGATGTTGAATATGCCTTAACTAAATAAAAGAAAACTGTAAGCGAAACAATAATCTTGTGAGCCAAATGAGGGCCTGTTGTCCAAGTGACAATGCCGTTGGCGAAATAAACTGCTGCAAGCAAATTAGTAACGCCGTTAGCGAAAAAGAGGGCTGTTGACCAAGTGAAAATGCCATTAGTGAAAAAAGGGGCCATTAGCGAAATAAAATGCTGTTGGCCAAGTCAAAACGCCGTTGGGCAAATGGAAAATCTCATTGGCGAAAAAGAAAGCCCGCGAACGAAATAGTAAATCCCATAAACCAAAAGAATAAATCCCATGAGCGAAAAAAAAATCCCGTTCGCGAAAAGTTTTGAGCCCATGTCTGGGATTGGATTCAAAATCCTGTACTTCAACTTTTATTATGTCTTAGTTGGCTAAAACTATGTCTAGGTTGACTATTATTATGTCCAGGTTGTCTATTATTCATGTTTAGATTGATTATTATTCTTGTCAGAATGATTTTCATTTATGTACAGATTGATTTTTTATTTTGTCCAGATTGATTTTACTCATATCCAGATCGATTTATATTCATGTCCAGGTCGATGTATATTCATGTCCAGATCGTTTTATATTCATGTCCAGATCGATCTTTATTCATGTCCAGCTCGATTTTCATTCATGTCCAACTCGATTTTCATTCATGTCCAGCTCGATTTTCATTCATGTCTAGATCGATTTTCATTCATGTCCAGCTCGATTTTCATTCATGTCCAGATCAATTATTATTCATGTCCAGATTAACTTTCATTCATGTCCACTCTGCCTAAATTTAAATCCCTTGTGCCTAAATAAAAGTTCAGACATCCGCTAGGAGATGAAAAATCCTGTAAAAAGCATGCCCCTTCGCAGCTTACAAAAAGAAAAAAAAACATGCGCCGCTCATAGCTTGAAAGAATAGCTTGAAAGAGTGATGTACTGGTGCCGTTTTCTCTTTCTCTTTCCAGTTTGCAAAAAAAATCTACTCAAGATGTCCTCTCCACAATCTGTGGGTTGCATAAGTTGCACCAACAGCACTGCCAATATGATCCGAGCAACAAAAGCAAACAAATGCCTGGCGACAGTCTCTATGACGATGAAGTCGATTCTGTGAATGAGGGCACAGACGACGATGTTCCAGACAACAACAATCTGACCGTTTGTTTGTCCAAGAAGGAATGCCCATTCTGTGATAAGACATACACACGTTTTATGAAGGCACAGTTACACATCTACCAGCAACACCAAAAGGAAGTTGAGGCACGTAACAGGAGCGATCACGGAAGAGAACATGTTTACAGCGACGCGAATATCGAAAAATATGAAAAACGTGGATAGGGGACATCCAACTCTAATTAGATATTAGATAATACTATTGGCTGTAAGAAATCTATTGGCTGTAAAAATCCAAATTGTACAAAAAATTGAATTTTGTGTATATATAAAAATAATTGGTAAGAAAGGAATGCCAGGTATGAATTCACATTATGTTATATACCAGTTGAAGAATATTTTGTAAATATTACTGAATTTATAGCAAGATATTTATTATTAGAATATGTTCATCAAAAAAAGTATTTAGTACATAAAAGTGATAAAATTTATGATAGTAAGCATTATATTGTAAAGAAGCATATTAAAATTTACAAGTTAAAAATTAGAAATATTATATATGATCCTATATTTATTGCATGCAAGCTAATTAAATTTAATCATTATAAGAATTTATTTAAAATAGTGGATCTAATTTTATTTATAAATATAATTAAAAAGATATTTAATGAAAAAGAATATATTGAAATTGCTGAGCAAGATATTGAAGGATTTTTCAAAAATGATGATGAATTGTATATTGTAAATAGTAATGAATATAGGTTTCAAGAGCATTTAATAGAAATGTTATCAGAAAACTATTAATTTATGCCAAGAAATAAATTTCAAACTCAATTACTTTTTTAACAAATTGAATTTTTGTATTTGATAAAAGAAATTGTTTCAAAGATTCAATCAAAATGGTTGCATTAAATGAATTCCTCCCAATCAACCATATCTAATTACGTAATAATCTTAATAAAGAATTAGATGTATTTATAGAAAATGAATTGGATTCTTACATTAATTAAAATATTGTAGAAAAATTAAAAATGAAATTACAAAATAAAATAAAGTCATTGTTTTCAACATACTACTTTTTATACTTGAGCATGAATA